GAAATTTAATTTAATTTAAAATTGATGTTAATTTCAATTTAATTTGATTTGATTAGAAGCGAAATTTAATTGTTGAAAAAACCGACTAATATACTACAAGTACATACATATACATGTACATACATAATACATATTTCAGTATACATACTAAATTCCTTTGATTTGAAAAAATGAATTATCGTTTGACATTACTACAGAAAGAAAGAAACTGTAATCTTATACGATTATTTGGATATTAGGATACTAGGAATGTATAAAAATGATTATTATATAACACAAACGAGGCTAACCAAAACATATTTGTTTGAAACGCACAATAGTGATTAATGGATGTGCATTTTTAATTAGTCTGCCTCGTGTTATGAATTTTACTTTAACAGAGTATCTCGAGTGAAACGTTTAGTGATGGGACGAATCGTGATACATCTTCCATATAAAATTTTCAGTAATAATTAAAGGAGCTGCTGCAATAAGAAATCTACTTCACTTTTCAGTAATTTAACCAACTCCAAATCAATTGAAGCTGAAACACTCTTTCGAGACGTTCTACGTTGTAACGATAAATTTTTATTCAACTACCAAATATGAGATCTATGTTTTTCTTGAACTGTAAGTTCTCAAATTCCTTGAATCGTGCGTATTATATCGTGTAGTATATAACTACAGCAAAAGTAAGATTCACGTTGAGCTTAATGCATATCATTATTTTGCCGGTGTGGAAAGATCTCTGGCGAACGGCCAGGTTTCTCGTGTCTCGCTTAGTTTTTGGAACGTACTTCCCTTAATTTAGAGGAGGAAGCGAAACGCTCCGGCTTCCACACAGTGTGAATCAGAGTTCAGAACTCATGTGTCCCTTTGCCAAAGAACCGGTCGGTACACTCATCGGTATTTATTAAGCGTCAGCCGTCCTCGTTCGTTCTGTCAAATAAATAATTTCCACCGTAAAGTCCACGTAATCGTTTCTTCTCAACGAACTGTTTATTTTCTTCGCGGGCAATAAGTTGCAGAAGCAAGTCGATTCCACGAATCTCTACTTTTCAAGAGTATGGCAAAAGTAGTCTTCCGTGAAAAGTCCGCGGTAGATGCTAATTTCCTCCCTTCGATTTCCATGGAAACGATTTCCACATAGACAACGTGATATAAATGACAACACACTATAACTTTATGTATGTCAAATGGTACTTCTTCTCAATGTAATAAATAAAAACTCTTTTTTCTTATCTTTTTTTCCTTGAACGTCAAATTTTGTTGATGTTTGAGAAATGTGCTTGATATAATATTTATTTAATACGTAACTTTTCTTTTATAATTTATATGAGAAAGAAAATTCTAAGATGAGATTTAATTCAAATACTAAGTATTATAATCTTATATATAATTTATAAACTTATAATCATGTTTATATTTAATTTCTAGAATGTAAATTTTTATAATTGCGATTCGATTTGTATATGAATATACCTCGTCTGTGTCTGCGCCTACGTTCGCATAAATCCCTGTCATACCGATCGTCAGTTAAACAGACATTGTCTGTATCGCCACCAAAATTTCGACAACAGAATTTTCAACAGATGAAAGTAGATTTACATCGAATCAATGAGATACTCGGCAATACTTGTTATTGTTCAATAGGACAGAATCAAGTGTATTCTAATTCAAAGTATATTTAATTACCATTGAGAAGGATCCTTTAAATTCCACAGTCCATGTTATCCCATCTTTCATCCATTCGTTTGGAAGTTGATAAATCTGTAACAAACTTATTTATTGGATTATTAGTTTTAAAAAATTTAGCACAAAAATGCCATGCCACTAGAACAATCTCAAATGGGAAGGGTGCTAAAAGAAAGAAAGAAATAATTAGCCAGAAGGGCTACTAAAGCATAATCAGTGTCCACTCAACATAAATCCGAACAATAAACCCGAGAGTGGAATATCTTTTTTGTTTCGCAACACTAGTTTATTGAAATCAGATATAAAATAGAAAACTTTCAAAATAAATCATGAAGAGTGCTTTGTAAATTTACAATATTAATTTATTTTGCTATTTAAAAAACTGCCAAAACTATAGCAGGAAATTTTATTTTTGCAACGATAACAAATATTAATTTATGTACTTATGTTGAAATATTCGCAACACTAATTAGAAAAATCCAATGTAGATGTGATGAAGGCTGCTGGTAATTATCTCTGTGCAACTTTTAGCTGCAGCAAGTGATTCAGGAACATACTTCCCCAACCTTGGTGGAAGGAATTCGGGCATTTTATAAACGCAACACTACTTAAAGAAACGCGATCGTTTATCAATGCAACACTAAGAAAATAATTGAAATAGCCACGATAAAAAATATATCTCAACACTAATTCTTAATTTGAAATTTATAATGTCTATTATGTCTGTTTAAAAGAAAATTACTATAATAAAGTCTTCAATTATTCGCGATAACGATAAACAGCAACGCTATAAAATTAATTAAAATTTAACAAATTTCTAATTCACTTTATAATAAAAAATATTAAAAAGAATAATCCGGTATCTTACATAATAATTCATGACAAGCAAACACAATCATTATCGTAAGCAACTCTAATGCAAACCGAAATAAATTTTTTCCCGCAGCTCTATTAACAACGCGAAATCTTGATTAGTTTGCGACTCTAATGCAATCCGTCACTAATTTTTTAAAACACTAATCAAAAACCGCGATTTGCCCATATGGTGATAAGTTGACATCAGCCAAAAAAAACTAAAACAAAAATACTACTACTACATTCTACAAATTCTAAAAGCGAGCATAGTGACAAAGTAGTAAAAAAGAATGACTTTCCATGCTTTAGATGGATTTCCCACCCAGAGGATGATAAGCCATTTGTTGTAGCCCTCTTCGTGGCAGTTTGCCGGGCCTCTTCTTTTCTTCGGGCGCGATGCCCGCTGAAACTTAAATTTAGGCTCGAGTCTTTCTAATCGCAAAACCAAAAAATAACTTATAAAGGTGAAATAAAAAATAAACCGCGGAAGCTGATACCAATACACACGGACGACCATCGATCATAGTGATCGTTGTCCGTTCGCATGTGCGTACTCGAGCAATACCTACACAAACGTTCGTTTCGGGACCTACTCGCGACCTATCCGCGACCGCGACCGCGATACTAAATTCGAAAAATCGAAGAATAAAACCAGAAACAAATGCCATGCTCAATTTGTACCAATTTCACTGTCGATTTTTCAAATTAGATTTCCAGAAATAGGTTGGACACGCGAAAAAGAGACACGCGATCAGAGACTGTGCCAACCTGCCCGGCCCTACCTACTTATAATTAAAACACAGGCACACCAGAAGTAAGCTACCTATCCTAATCAGGGCCCCTATATTTAAAAAAATGGCAAAACAGACACACCAACACACTCACTCTACGGTTCTCACACATACCACTCGGGCGCAAACCTAAACTAGAGAGGACGTCCCGGGACGCCTCCGACACCCGAGCTTAACACACAACTTTCACACTCTAATTTACGTACCATTTTCCTAAAATCGATTGACAATGGCTAGCGAACATTGCGTAAAATGTGATAAAAATATCTATATATATATTTATATTTCAATATAATAATATTTATATATTTTAATTAAATATTCATCATCATATTGTATAAATATTCATAATATTTGAAATAAGTAATATAAAATTGAATACAAAATTGAGAATTATTACATACATGGTTGAATAATAATAGTAAAAACGACGTAATTCCACATCCTAACCACATACACACATGCGAAAAAAACGTCGTGCACGATACACTAATACATTATCAATCGCTGAGAAATTATTAAGCTTATAAACTATAGTCATCATACCCATTGCCTTTTTCCCACCCAAGTAGCACCTGGGCACGTGAATGAGGTCTTGGCAATGAACATGGAAAGGATTAAACCTGAAAATCCTGAGCTAAAAAGAAGGTTATTATATATATTTTATAACTATTCTGTGACGAACTAATAACTTTCTCGTTTTATTTCAATTTTCAATAAGTCTACTTTATAATTTATTTTAAAAATTTAACAAATTACTAAAATGTTATAAATAAATGTTATAAATAAAAAGAGAAATCAGCAATGAATATATTTATCGAAAAAAACAAAGATTCAATGCAAATAATATCATATTCAATCATATCATATGTAATCATCAACTTTAAGTGAAATTAATAAAAATATCCTCAGGCGATCCCATTATCAAAGCTTATTTTTGGAAACAAAAGAAACATTTGAAACTTCAGCTTTGACTCTGAAATCTACCTGTCGCGAAGTGTTTTCTTGCACATAAAGTCTAACATTTTTAGAGAAATAAAATTGTACTTAGACAATTTCATCAAATTACTGAATTTAGAATTAAAATATTATAATATTATAAGATAAAATTAAATATTATTATTTTCTAAATAAAGATTTATTTATGTTAATTTCTTTATATATTATTTCGTACATATATATCTGTAATCCTTGATATGATATATAAAGTAATGTAAGATATGCAATTATTTTCAATAAATATAAACAAAACTAATATACTGTGAAAAGCAAATAATACAAATCTTAAACAAGATTATTTTCATTCTGATATATAACTTCATTTGTGTCTTTTTTAAATCTTTTTAAATTTTCCCTATTAAAACAGACATTTAATATCCATTTTCAAATTTTGCGCTTATTTTCACATACAAATTACATATCCATAAAATATATAAATAATAGATGTAGCTTTAGGACTTTACTATTATAAGGTATATATACTATATAATGTATTATAAATTAATATTAACAGTATGATCTAACATTTTGAAAAAATAAATTAGAACTTAAATAAATTAGAACTATTCGTTTGTATATAAACTATTTTTTACAACACATATCTTTACTATTAAGGAATTTATATTGTTATATATTAATTGTTTGTGTATTAGACTTAAGTTTCAGCTTAAATTTTATGATACTAGATGACGCTGTTTCTTCTTCAACATAACACTCTTTGTCTTCCATTTTCCAATTCCTTTTTATATGATCACAGGACAAGTGAAAGTAAGTTAAGTTAGAAATATTAGAAATTATTGAAAAATTGCAATTATTTCAATATCTGTTTAACTAATTGCTTTGTATTTTTTTTTTTAAGTCCTTACGCTTACAGTAGTAATACTCCAATATTTATGTGATGCATTAAAGTTCAACACATGGCATGTTGTAATAAACGTGGTTGTAGACGTTTTCCAAAAAACTTATGCGAATATAATTTATCACAATTTATAATTTAATATTCATTTTGCTGGTAAATTATTTACGAATTATTTACGAAAAATTATTTATAAATTATATGAATAGTATAAGAGTATCATATTTGTTTTAAATGTACAGTGACGTATTGCACAAAAGCGTGAAAAGCAGATGCAATAACTCTATCACCATTATCTCTTTGTTATTTATATTTCTTTGTTATTTATATATCTATATTTCTTCTAGATAATATCTAAATAATACCTTCATTATAAAAATTTCAAGCTGTGGAAAACAAATAAATTTTTGTTGTTTTACAGTTACAGATTCATCATGCAGATATTTGTTAAAACCCTAACAGGGAAGACCATCACGCTTGAAGTCGAGGCGTCGGACACCATCGAAAATGTTAAAGCAAAAATTCAAGATAAAGAAGGTAACGTTTAAAAAGTATACTGAATATTCCTTCAATTTTCTTCCATGTTTCTTAAATTTGCAATTGTTTCAATTTCAGGGATTCCACCAGATCAGCAAAGATTGATCTTTGCTGGAAAACAATTGGAAGATGGTAGAACTTTGTCTGATTATAATATTCAGAAGGAATCTACATTACATTTGGTGCTTCGTTTAAGAGGCGGAGCCAAAAAGCGCAAGAAGAAGAATTATTCGACTCCCAAAAAAATCAAGCACAAGAAGAAGAAGGTTAAACTCGCTGTATTGAAATTTTACAAGGTATTTCAATAACCATTCTAAGTTTAAATTAATTGACTTGAATTGTAGAAAAACTGATTAGGTTGAAGAAGTTAGAAATAATAAAAACAAAAACAAACAAAACTTTGAATTTTGTTAAATAGGTGGATGAGAACGGAAAAATCCATAGATTGAGAAGAGAATGTCCTATGGAGCAGTGTGGTGCAGGAGTCTTTATGGCCGCAATGGAAGATCGTCATTATTGTGGCAAATGCGGCTATACTCTTGTATTCAATAAGCCCGAAGATAAATAAATACTGAATTTAAAAATTTTGTGAAGATAAAGTTCTTTTGTAACTATATATATCAAATTGAACACCTTACATAACTTATTTCATAATGTTGAAAAAAGTAAAATGTAGTATTTAATATAATCATATTAATTATTATTATATTATAACTGACAAAAAAACGCGGTGTGCAAGAAAACCTATCTAATCTATGAAATAACAAGTAAAATAGACAAGAAAATGTTACTATCGATTGGTATAATTAATACCAGCGGTCACTATGCTCGTCAAAAATTCTACGTAATACAACCAATCACCCATGTCGATTCGGACCTTTCATCCTACGACATGATTGGGTGACCAGAGGAAAGGAGAAGCATGCGACTCACGAATAGATGTAGAAGATGTCACCAGTATTGCTATTGTGTATGCAGTATCCAGACGAAGTCATGAAGTGATTAAGTAGTAATTGTCAAATCCTGGAAGTGGACATTGCAAGAAGTCTAAAAAAAAAACCAATATTGTAATTTGTCTTTAAATAAATATTTGAAAAGTTTTAAATAATGATTAATGGCAATATTCAAAAAAATGAAAAATTTCCAGATTCGATTTCTTAATTAATACTCACATTCTTGGTTTTTAAAGTAGCAGTAGGTTCTTTCTAAGGAACAGGAAGATGAGGAAGATGTGATAAACCTTTAATATATATAAAACATTAATTATTATTATATCTGAAAAATATATGTAATAAATACATATAATAAAATATATAATTTCTAGAAAATATAATGATTGTTCAAGAAATTTGAGATAATTAAACATCTATGAAAACTTGGAACTTAAGTATAAAAATTAAGAATTAGACTTTATTTTTCAATTAACAGTTGTTTAAAAAATACAAGTAATTAAACTAATTGCAGTGCAATACGCAAAGATTCTTACATTCTTGATTTTGAAGCATATATCCTCGCTATATCCTTTCCAGAGAACAGGACAAAATAAAATTTATGAATAATCTAAAACAAAAAATTATTATTGATAGAATTAAATAATTATTATTGATCTATCATAAATAAAAAAATATAGAATATTCACTTAATACACATTTAAGATATTGTTATACATCATAAAATATTTTCTATTATTGTTAAATATTTATAACTATTCTGTAATACAATATGCAAAAAGTATAACTCTATAATATAATATAATATTAACTAATATTTAACGTTTTAAATTTCGTACTAATCAAATAATGGCGTGTTTTGTTTGTCAGTTAACCGAAGCTGCGCAGTATTCAAACAACGCGATGCGCAGAACACGTTTAAACTTGTCCTTCATTATTAACAATATGTGTTGGCTGAATGTTAAATAAACGTTCATTCTTCCAATAAAAAGAAGAAACAAATACGTATTATTTCGTTAAAATAAATCAATGTTACTATACCTTCATGAAAACGTGTCGGAATTTGCCATTAATCAGCGAGCGTTTTTTTGGATCTTGTAGCATCCTCCGAACATTTCAAATTTTCGCAATCAATCAGTAATCTGTACAAAAGAAAATCAAAACTTTTAAACAAACGTCTGCAAGGAATAAATTATATAAAAATAAAATAAATCAAGATCAAATGCTGTTTTGAAAGCTTACGATGCGAACTAAAATGATCCGAAAAAAAAGACAATACGTAATATAAATTATGATGATATTTAATACCTTATTGGATTAAAACACACGTTAATTGAATGAAGTTAAGTATAGCGTAGATATATAGCTTGAGAGGACGACGATGACAATATTGCGCAATATATTAGAACGCAGATAAATAGATACGTCTTAATACTATGATTTTAAATAATGAGCTAACCCCTCGCGCAACGGTTCGCGAGTGAGCTAATTAGGAAGGGTGGGGGGCCGAATGAACGAATAGGATTGGTTAATTTATGGAGAAACAAAATATTCTAGAATATTTCGAATAGCGAGCATATCATATATAATACTGTACATATAATACTGTATCTAGCGCATATACTGTATATATCCATTAATTACACATATTTAACTTAATGAAATAGAATTAATTAAATTGATAAATGCAAATGTATATAAAATTTCGTACGATAAGACTTAAATTATTATATATAGAAATTCGTATATTCAATCACTAATAATGGTAATTAAATACAATATAATATATCGTAACTTTTTGACATAATGCTTACAGTTTTAAATCATAGATCAGCAATACAAAAGTAAGTATGTAATAATCCTTTTTAAATAATACTTACTGTTCTTAATCGTAGACGTATTCGATAATGTAAGAACGAATTTAAAAGCTATTAATTATGACTTTTATTCGACAATTTCTGAATGCCTTCTTCTTACCGTGCGTCTCGCCTGAAAGTAACGCTTCTACAATTTCAATAAATCGATTGCGAGAAATATCGATTATATTGGAATGAAGTAAAATGTAATGAACTAAAGTAAGATAAAATAGAATAAAGTAAAATAAAGTAAAATTATATGAAATAAAATGAAATAAAACGAAACAAAATTACTGAAAGTGGTATAAATCAACGTATAGTCAGGATGGGACCTCAGACGTGAACAAATAAGAATTCAATTAATTGGAAAAGTAAAATTGTTTATATAGAACTTATGTTATGTTAATATAAATGAAACATAAATGAAACAATGCTTTTTTAGCACAAAATACAATTATTTTTAATAGAAAATTTTTATTACATTATCTATAAATTTTACAAAATGCTTATCTATTGTTATTATGTTAATAAGCCTCAAAATTCAATGGCATCTTCTTTAATTTCTATACTTTAGTAACTCTATATACTGTAAGCTTATATTTTCTATATATATTTTTTAGTTTGATTTCAAATTTGTTCAATATAATCACAATAACCTCAGTGCTATTGTAAAGTATTTTATATGACGCATATTATATATCTACAAAAGTTTTTAAAAGCTTTCTATGGCAAATGTTTAAATAAATTTAAACATGAGCCAGTATGATTGAACTGAATATACTTTTCAAAATAATATTCTATCTCGCAGTAGAATTGGACAATGAAAAAATAAATCTAAAAAGTACTGACTGTAGTATTTACTTAACAAGGTTCTGGATGTATCCCGCCTAAAACTAATGTTTTTACGTTACATTCCGATTCTTTTTAATTGGTTAAAATAGATGTATCGATTAATATAAATGTAATCGATTATTGAACGTCGCGATATTTAATTGCATACTTCGCCGTTTCACTGGCGCTGTAATAAAAGTATGACAAGTGAGGTTAAGTGTTTGTGTCATACTGTATAAATAGTAAACACATAAATAAATAATAGTCTTTATTTTCATAAATATAAAATAATCTATATGCTATTCATACATTGTATATTGATTATATATTCTATGTTATAATACTACTTTCTGATTTTTAAAAATATCAAAATGAGGCAACAAATAATTGACACGAAAATTAACTTACATGCATCTGGTGAAGCTGATGAATGCCTTTTTGAATATTTACACGCTGAGATGGTTAATTATGCTCTGAGTAAATCGTGTAAAAATAAGGTAATTATGGAAAATACAATAAATTTAATAATGATTTGATAATTCGTTTTATCTGATGTTATGTAAGTGTTTAAGTATGTGTATCCTTATTTTACATTTTACTAATATCTGTATACTTTGTGTAACAAAATGTTCTCTTACATGAATTTTTTCAATATTGAGAAGGTAATATATTTTAAGATAATATAATAGTAAAACTATTCACAAATCATAATGCATTTAAAAATACATATTACTAAATGAAAAATATACAGAGTATTTTAGCTCTGTAAACATATAATTAGTATGTTTTTAAATTCTAAACCTACATGTTATTCATTATAAAAAGAAACCATGAGTGCTTAGTGATTTTTTACAATATCATTGATGTAAACAATAATTATCAATTTTTTAATATATCAGAAATTATAGAGTTCAACATTAAACTTTGAAACTTGTTTTAATATTTAGATTATGAAAATCTTAAAATTATAGAAAATATTATAATTTTAATACCTTCTTTATAATAAATTAATTTAATTAACTTGTGTAATATATAAAGGAAGGGGAAGAAGAGCTATCGCGACTAGAATGGATGGGATTCAGTGTTGGCTACAGAATTATTGAACGATTGACACGGGAATGGAATCGATTCAAAGATGAATTGGATATGATAAAATTTATCTGTACTGATTTTTGGTCCAGCCTTTATCATAAACAAATCGACAATTTAAGAACAAATCATCACGGTGTGTATGTATTACAAGACAATTCATTTCGATTACTGAATAAAGTAGGTACTAACAGTAATAAGCAATATCTTCAAGAAACTCCACGTTTATTGACATTTACTTGTGGACTTTTAAGAGGAAGTTTAGCAAATCTTGGAATTATTAGCACTGTTAATGCAGAAATTTCTACATTACCAAGTTGTAAATTTCATGTACAAGTTCAAAGAATTTAATATTAATAAATACAAAGCAGAATATGTATAATAAAAGTTTATGTATGTTGTGAAAGAGTATCATATAGTTGAATTTTTCATAAGTAAAAAAGTATATTAAGAAAAGAATATTATTTGTAAAGCAAAATAAGTTTTTCATATTAATTTCACAAATAAAATAGTTTTATGTTTTACCTATAATAGGTAATATATTAAAACATACATTTTATTTATATTTCACAAATCGTATATTTTAATATATAAATTAAATATGTAAAATTAATTATCTAATAGTTTCTACATTTTTAAGTATTTGTACTTTAAACGCAATATGTATTTAATTTAAGTTACTAAGTACATCTAATTTATATTTGTAGTATAATAAAAGTAAAAAATATAGAAAACATGATTGTAGTCAAATAATTCATTAAGATAATTTTAAAATTGATTTAATAATTATATGTTAATATCTAAGATTTAAGTTGTTAAATAATTATTAGATACTGTACCGTTATTTTTGGTAATAAAGTTTAAAATATGAAACTGGTTTACAACCCCAACAAAAGCATCATTATCATCTAAAATTACCGCGTATGGTTCTTTTTCAAGAATTCGTGATAGATATCCAAGAGATGCTGAGTAATTAACTTTAACGTATTGTTTAGTCATAGCCTTTTCTACAAAGTCTGTATATTTTACTGTGCCAGATATTGTATCTGACATAAGTTTATTCAAACTAATAACACCTTTTATATGTATATTATTATCACTAATAAGTAATAATTGTAAACCTGCATTCTTAATCATGTGAATAGCTTCTTGACATGTTACTGTATTTTCTTTCAACAAAGATTGTTTATCAAAAGTTAAGTTTGAAATTTTCATATTCCACCACCATTTATTTGTTTCATTTTGACATACGGGTTGCTGCAATTCATTATTCAATCAATAATTCATTAGTCAATTTTATAATAAGAAGATGCATTATTATATAAATTATGATTTACCAAAAATCCTTTAGCTTCCATCCAATGGTCTGATACAAATTTAGTTAAATAATTCCGTATTCCATCAGGTAAAATAATAACCATACGTTTTCCTTCAGGAACGTCTTTGGCTATTTTAAGAGCAGCTGCAAGTGCAGCACCACTACTACCACCGCACAATAAACCTTCTCGATATATAAGCTCTCTAGCAATATTCAATGATTCATAATCGTCAGTTTTTATCCATTTATCAATAACGCTATGATCTAACACTGTAGGTATAAAATCATAGCTAAAAACAATTTTATTGGTCATTTAAAATGGAAAAAAATATTATATCTCAAATATAATAGAAAAAAATATTATACCCAATTCCTTCTACTTCATAAAAACCAACTTCATCTTTCGATTCTGGATCTAAAATACTTCCTTTAGGATCTGCAGCAATAATTTTTATATCTTGTGACAATTCTTTCAGCTTTCGTCCTATACCTGAAATAGTACCACCAGTACCTGCACCAGCTACCAAATAATCTAATTTTCCATCACACTGTTTCCAAATTTCAGTTGCTGTTTGATCATAATGGGCCAATGGATTTCCAGGGTTAGTATACTAAGCAATATAATATATTATAAATAGAAAATAATAAAACAATATAATACAATATACATGTACATATGCGTAAGATATTACCTGATCAAGAATAATACTATTTGGTATTTTTTTCTGTAATTTTTGTGCAACTGTAATATGTGCTTCCGGACTATCCCAACTTGCTTCTGTTGGAGTTCGAACAATTTTAGCACCAAGTGCATAAAGTGTTGATACTTTCTCATCAGACATTTTTTCTGGCATAACAATAATGCATCTATATCCTTTAACTGCAGCAACCATTGCTAAACCAATTCCAGTATTACCACTCGTAGGTTCAATAATAGTGGATCCTGGTTTTAGCAAACCTGCCTCTTCTGCATCTTGAACCATTCTATGTGCAATTCTATCTTTTACAGAACCACCAGGATTAAAAAATTCACATTTTACACCTAAATAAAAATTATATTTATTACATTATATAATTACCATATTAAATGAACAAAATTAATACTAACACATTTCACATTTAATTCCATAAAATTTGGGAATATTATTTAGTTTTATGAGAGGAGTTTGTCCAATAGTAGTTAAAATATCAGGAAGTATCTTAGTATGATTGTCATTTCTGAAATAAAAAACATATATTAATTAAATGATAAAAGTAACATTTAATTTTAAAAAAACTCCATAAAATATGAATTTTTGTACAAAAAAGCAAATAAACATACTATATAAGTATTAAAAATAACAATATTACATTTTATTTCAAATTTTCAATTAATTTAAATGTAATGCAAACTTATTACTTGGCAAGAGACACTTCTTAATTTTAAAAAACAAATATAGTAAGAAAGAGAGAAAGAAATATTGAATAATTTCTTCTTTGGTTACTTGAAAATTTTAAATTAAATATTTCAAACATGTATTTTTTGAATAATTTATTTTAAGTTACACAGTTAGGTGGTGCTTATTTAGATTTTGCAAAATTAAACTTGTAATTGAAATTTTATTTATTTATAACAAAAATTATCAATTATAGTCCTTTGCCATAATTTAAAATTTAGAAACTGATCATTCATCATCATTATTATTATGATATTAGTTTAATAATATACTAACGATGAACAAATGTAAAAATAAAATTTAATATATACACGCATTATAATGGATGAAAATGAAAACCATATGTTCTTTTAATATATTCAGTATTCTCTTTATCAAGAAACATAACATTTATTCATAGAAAAATATAACCTACATGAGTAAAAAAAAACAAAATATATCAATTATATAACGATGTGATTATTATATTTACATTAGATGATAATTAAATGAAATAACTTATTCAACAACATGATCGTAAATACAAATTATTACGTTAGTTACCTTCTCCTTATATCGCAAAATATTATTTAATTATAATTTTCCTATTTATCATGTATTTGAGACAATAATTTCAATAAAATTACACAATGCTAGTTTTTTTCTTTTGTTATACTCATGTTATAAACTTACTCCATTCTACATGTATGCGGCGAATTTGTTGCATTTAATTTCCACGTGCATTTACTGGGTCGATTAGGCTTCGTAAATTCCATGATCAAGATTTAAATTGCACTTTAATTTCGTAAATTCAATCAAAATGGATAACGAAAAGTGGTGCGTTTCAAGCAACTACTAATAAAAGCAACTACTTGCAACAGACTTGTGCTACATAGCTTTTGAAATAATCTTCAATCACTGAGTAACAGCGCGGTAATGCGATAAGCACTAATATTTATTATTTCCTGATAATCATAACATCGTATTTCACTTTCATCTAATAACATTGTCTAATCGCATATGAAATATATAATTTTTTGAAATATGAAAATAAAACGTACACAATTATTTGACAAATCTGCGGTATTCATGGAAACTATTATGTAAACATTGCATTGGAAACATTGCGCTAAGATTTAAATACTAATATTGATTATTTTTCAATAATCTATAATTATATATCGCACGTGATTTTTTCCCGAAAAATTTTGTTACTGCGCATACCTATTAACTGTATTATTTAACACAGACATTAATTTGGAAAGAAAAAAAAGAAAAATATGCAATTACGAAGACATTACAATTAGATTCATAAAATTTGTTCAGCTATTCTTTAAATAGTTCATACGTTTTATTCTATTTTTATGCCACTAGATGTTAACTAAATTACTACATTATGTTTATGTCCATTACGTTTATAATTTTTTGAAAATTTTAATCTATATCACTACCGGAAAAAGGAACGTAGTATTTCAATATGGTGGGTCGTTTTTGAAGTACGTGCTCTAGTGTTTTTTGTTTCTGTTTTAAACAGCGATACCCATTGATAAAGATCTTGATAAAATAGTGGAAACTTGATGAATAAATAAAAATCTTGATAGGAATATACAAGTTTGCGTGAATGACAATTGATGCATACTTCATAACAGTTCACGTTTTTACTTGAAATGGATTATCATTGCCGCAACGATTGTACAGTTCGTAAAAAATCACGCGTATGTTATATTTCCAAATGTCTTAACAGTGAAAATAGTGCATTATATTATTGGTATATCATTGTATTGTAATGCTATCTGTACTGTGACAAGTTCGTAAATCCACCAAACAAAATTTACAAATATATTGTATAATTATTATGTACTTTGAAGTGGAGTCTGTCCAAAAGTATCCAACTACAAACATGTATGTAACTTTACAAAAAATTTTACGCTAATGTTCTTATCTGAAATTACTTTGTACTTTTGTATTCTTTATTCATTTGTTTTGTATTCTTATTTTAAAACAGCTGTTTCAGTGTGCTGTTATTTTCAATGATTTGCAATTTTATTTTAATAGGAACAAGTCAGTGGAAGATTTGCTAATATCTAGCCGTGAAGTTATGACTAATGTAAGCTCCACTGGGTTAGAAAATCAGAATCCAACAATGAACATAGGTAATGGTATATCGGATAATGTTCAAGAAACATGTACTGGCACAAGTGGAGAAAAAAATAGCCCAGTTTCAAGCCCAAATCTGTCTCCACGGCCTAGTCCAAAAGTACGTAATAAACGAGATCACTCCAAAGCAAATCATGATTCAAATGCCAAAGAATCTAATAATGTGAACAAATTAGATGATCAGGTATATGTAAGACATTACTATGGAAATATCATCCATTGCAAAATTTCCTTTGTTACAAAATAATTTGTATTTCATCTTAAAAACATGATGTAGCAACAGGATATAACAAACAAATCATCAGATTCTTCCCAAACTGTAAAAAGTTCACATGATGGAAAGAAGGAAACACGGAGTAGTGAACGAAATAAAAAGAAATCTTGGTATCATGTTTTATATCCAACATACAAATCTAGATCAGATGACTTTAGACGTATATTTAAAGATGTGCCAGATGATGAAAGATTAGTCGTTGGTAAGTAATTAATTTTAATATACAGTAAATCATTATTGATATGTATTAAGTAATAATTTTTATTGTTATTATAATAATATTAATATTAATCATATTAGGTTGCAAATATGTGTGCATAACAGTACATAATTTTTAGATTATTCATGTGCACTCCAGCGTGAAATATTAGTTCATGGAAGACTCTATGTATCTCAAAATTATGTGTGCTTTTATGCAAATATTTTTAGTTGGGAAACTCTAGTATGTTTACGTTGGAAGGATGTTACATCTATTACCAAAGAAAAAACTGCACTTGTAATTCCTAATGCAATTTCAATAGGCACTGCCACTGATAAGTTTTTCTTGACATCTTTTGGTGCAAGAGATAAAACATATGTAATGTTGTTTCGTGTATGGCAAAATGCTCTTATTGGCGAGGTATGAAAATTATGTAAAATATTTATAACATTACAAAATAATGATAATAATATTAGAAAACAGTGCAAATATTTATTTAAATTAGTTTCATGAAAATAATTGTTAATGTAACTAAATATTTAAATATGTAATTGTTTAAATAAGAAATTAATTGTTTAAGCCAATGAATGCACCTGAAATGTGGCAACTTGTACATTCTTGTTATGGAGATGAGTTGGGTTTAACATCAGATGATGAAGATTATGTACCGCCATTGCCACCAGCTGATGACGAGAAATTATCAACAAGATTATCTGTAGAATCTTTTTCCGAGGTAATTTATACATATCAGAGATTATGCAGCATGCTTTTTCAATTAGTGTATAACATTTCTATTTTTCAATATCCTGCATTAATTTTAATTTCATTGTTATGCTTTAAATCAAAGGTAGAAAGTGGTAATGTGGAACATTCTGTAATTGGAGTGCCAGATACAATCACTGAAACAAAAGCAGAAGTTCATCATTTGCCTCGACCAGATCCTATTATTGATGCAACTGATTTGAGTGATACAACAGAAAGTGAAGCAGAAAAACATGCATGTAAGTTTTTAATAGTGATGTTTTTTGTCAAATCCTTTTTTGAAATTTCTCTACTACAGAAGACCATAATATTTCAACATAATATATATTTTATGAATTCATAATTCTTAAAGATGTATTTATTTTTAATATTCTAATTTCATAAAATGCAAAAAATGTGCCGTGTATAATTTTATAGGTATCAGATAATTTTTTAATAATTAATTTAACAATATGTATTTAAAAAAAATCTAAAAAAATCTAAATTAAAATGTATATTATGCTTTTTATATCAATAATAAGTATATATATATATAAGTTTAAATTATATATTAAATTTATATAATTATTTAGTTGTAAATTTTATTATACATTTATGTTTTTTACCTTATTTACCTATAAATCTAAGAAATATAATATTAAAATAGGTTGAAATATAGGTCCAAACATGTAAATAAATAATTTTGTTGTATAAAATTATTATTTTTGTTCTATTAGAGTAAGTAATAATGTTTATAATGAAATAAATTAGTTGCATATTATTACTTTTATTGTTTATTATTGGAGAATTTCTATTGAAATTAGAAATACCTTTACTTTACAATAGTTATTATAGACAGTTTTTAAAAACAAGACTGCTTGGTTATTCTTCCAACATTTCATCGAAACTAGAGTTAAAAGGTATAGTTATATATGATTTGTATACGATAAAAATATTATTTAAGAATTATATATCTAATAATTGTCTAATGATTTTTATAATAATTTACTTTAAAATTATATTGCTATCTATGTTTTATTAATAGTAATGAAATTATTTTCCATAGTATTATATAAATGTTAAATTGTTATGATTTCAGTAAAATTAGGTGTTCGAAGCAGTGTCGTATGTACTTCACCACATGAAGGTCGTCAAATAAGCAAAGCCACACTTCCTATTCACATCGATCAATTATTTACCTTATTGTTTACAAATTCAAAATTTTTCTTAGATTTTCAAACTGCTCGTAAAACTACTGGTGAGATATAGAAATTACGTATTTAATTATAAAAAAATCTAAAAGAATAATGTAATTAAAATGTAGAAATACTTTTGCAATTTATTTATTTTTAACATAAAATCTTAATTTATGGTATTATCTTATCAAATTTTTTTGTTTGTTTAGATTTAGTACAATCAGAATGGACTCAAAATGAACAAACCGGTCAAAAAGTTAGAAATCTATCATTTACAATAGCACTATCTCAAGCTATTGGACCAAGAACTTCTCATATTTCAGAAACTCAGGTTACTTTCATGAAACTGAAATATTAATTAAATATATATTTATTACGGATTACTTCGATCAATTTCAGTTATATATAATGATAACTTATAATGAATTTTTAGATTATGTTGCCATGTAGCAGACCGGGTCATTTATACAGTATTGATGTAGAAAGCGTGAATGCTGGAATTCCATATGCAGATTCATTTTCTGTATTAATTCACTATTGCATTATGAGCATTTCTGAAAGTGAAACAAGTATTGTAATTTATGCTCAAATAAAGTACAAAAAGAATGTATGGGGTTTTGTAAAAAGTAAGAATTTATGATATGTGTTGATTTTATTTATAAATGGTAATTATATATCTTAATCAATAACAGGCGTTATTGAAAAAAATTGTTGGGCTGGATTAGATGAATATTTTTCGAGTTTAATAAAAGCGTTAACTATGGAATGTGAAGAAAATAGTGGAAGTGTAGGAGTAAAAAGAAAAGCAAGAAGAAGACGTCGTGCTACAGGTCCTGGTATTTCTTTACAAACTCATTCCTCAGATCACACGTCTTCCACTCTACAAAATTCTTTAAATTTGCCACATATTAACGATAATACTGGTATGAAATCAATGGTACAATAATCTATTAAAATATAAAATTAAAAATATGGTATTCATATCTTAAAAATAACATACAAATTTTTACGTGCAGTTCCTGCTACTCGAGGTGACTCTAATATGATAATTAGTTCAATGCTATTGATTGCTGTCTTATGTTTGATGATAATTAATGCCTTATTATATTATAAATTATGGAGTTTAGAAGAAGCAGCAGCTTATACTATTATGGATTTACATGTATTAAAGTATGTATTATTCATATTTTATATTTAAATTAGTAATATTTAATTCATATTTATGTTAATATTTAAAACGCTTTAATGTGCAGAAATACACCAAAAACCGATGAAGATTGGATTCAATTATTACAACAACAAGAAAGTTTGCATAATATAGAAATGAGAAAATGGCAAAGAGTATTACATACTGCTGCACAATTGCTTAGACAAGTAAAATATTTTTAAAATGTTTCATATATATAAAATTATAATATTGCGTTATAATTAATTAAAGTTTTCTTTTTAATTTTAAAGACAGAAGAATCATTAACAGAATTACAAATGAGTATTCATCCAACTGCGACAGAAAAAATGTTCTCTGTGTTGAAGCCGAGCTTGAAAACTTTTAGTTCGCGTACAGAACAGCGAACTCATTCAGAAATGTAAAAAAGAATTATGTAAAAATATCCCGATAAAGGTAACGTAAGTATTATGATGCGATAAGTCATTTAAAAAAGTCATGATTCTATACTTTAAGTGTACTTAATAAGAAGAATATTATACCAATTATTGTTGTACTTGCTATGTACTAACTTATAATGTAGGTACACAAGTGCGCTCTGTGATGACAATTGTTGATAACTTCAAATGCACAACACACATGCAAACTATTTATGATCAATAGAAATTGCAATTTAAATTTGTTCGTTTTTATTATTTTCAATCTTTCCATTATATGTAAAAATTTTTTTCATATAGGATATTAAATTAAGCTAAATTGCACTTTTAATATATTCTTTATATCATACACGCCGAAACATATAAATATGAATATGAATATAAATTTATATTTATATGTTTGTTTGACGAATAGAAATTGTATATTAGCACAATGTAAAAAAAAAAGAATAAATAATTTTTAGAGCATTATTGTATTGCAAATATTTTTTTCCATTACTTTAATAAAATTCTTTTTTTCCCTCTAACATTATGAAAATAATAAAAGTATGAAAAATATAAAACATGAAAAACAATAATAAATAACATAAGATTATATGAGGTATTTAATTTAATAAGTATATTGAGTTATGAAAAAAATTTTACATTAACAAAATTCTTTCAATTAAGTAAAACTTATTTATCGTCTGGTTTGTTAAATACAAGAGTATAACCGCATTTGCCACAGTAATGACGATCTTCCATTGCAGCCATAAAGACTCCTGCACCACACTGCTCCATAGGACATTCTCTTCTCAATCTATGGATTTTTCCGTTATCATCCACCTATTTAACAAAATTCAAATTTGTTTGTTTTTGTTTTTATTATTTCTAACTTCTTCAACTTAATCAGTTTTTCTACAATTCAAGTCAATTAATTTAAACTTAGAATGGTTATTGAAATACCTTGTAAAATTTCAATACAGCAAGTTTAACCTTCTTCTTCTTGTGCTTGATTTTTTTGGGAGTCGAATAATTCTTCTTCTTGCGCTTTTTGGCTCCGCCTCTTAAACGAAGCACCAAATGTAATGTAGATTCCTTCTGAATATTATAATCAGACAAAGTTCTACCATCTTCCAATTGTTTTCCAGCAAAGATCAATCTTTGCTGATCTGGTGGAATCCCTGAAATTGAAACAATTGCAAATTTAAGAAACATGGAAGAAAATTGAAGGAATATTCAGTATACTTTTTAAACGTTACCTTCTTTATCTTGAATTTTTGCTTTAACATTTTCGATGGTGTCCGACGCCTCGACTTCAAGCGTGATGGTCTTCCCTGTTAGGGTTTTAACAAATATCTGCATGATGAATTTGTAACTGCAAAACAACAAAAAATGTATTTGTTTCCTGCAGTTTGAAATTTTTATAATGGAGATATTATCTACTTAGGTTATTTATAAAATTTCATTAAAAGTTATTTAAAGAAATATTCCAAGGTTAATTAAGTAACAAAATTTTTTATTATAAATATCGACATACAGATAATACAATTCAATTTCAACTCAGAAGTAATTTATACAAGCAATACAGCATTAATGCATCCATCATTTTCAGGATTATTTGTAACTTGTGCATATTTTCCCCAAACTACTTTCCCGGATTGAGTTACAAGACCTAATTCTGAAATATTTATTTCAATAATTGTTCCTTTTGTAATGACACCTAAGCTTGTGTACATTGCTGAACTTGGATTCTTTTTGACTCCAATAATTGGTAAACAAAATGTGGCTTTTAATTCGGGATGAGTCACATGTGCCTTTTTGAAACGAAGTGCCATTGGTCTTATGAACCTCTCAAATTTTGGTGGTTTTCTAGTAAAGTTCTCGCCAACGAACGTTACTTTTGTTACCATCCTTTTCCAAGATTTACGTTTAGACTTTCCAGTCCTTATTATTTTAAAAACTTCAGATTCTGACTGCGTTTTAACTTTTGGTATTGGTACATCCCATTTTCCAACTTTTTCTTTACGTTTCTGTTTTATCATATTTGATAATACTTTTGCATCTTTTTTAATGTCACGATCCAATAAATATACAGGTAGTGCTCCTTCTGGTACATTGGATGACTTTTCTTTTACTTTCTTTTCCATGTGAGATTTGATTTTCTTTTTCATTTGAATCTTCTCATTTCTCCGTTCCTTATTGAAAATCTTTGCTTTTATACCACGCAATGTACGAGCACGTTCTGCTCGTTTATGAGGCTCTCGAGCCTCCCTTTTTCTCTTTCTTTCTTCATAATCCAAGCGTCGTCCATACAGTTTACGATGTCTTTCAATATATTCGTTTTGCGGCATGATAGATGTTGATTTTTTTTACTTCTCTTATCTGCAAATTCATTTTTTTTTTTTTTTTTTTGAAAGATTTACAATTAAAAAATAAAATATTTCAGTTTCAAGAAGTATTATATGTAATCTTATTAAGAACTTACCTAATAAACTTTTTAACATTAACTTATTTTCAAAAATTTTTTTTTTAAATTACAAAACGCAATCAAAGTTATTTTAATAGTGTAACAATTTTTTATATAATTACAAATGTATTTAGTTTCATATAACATATAATAGATAAAATTCGAATTCCTTCTTATATTTATTATTAAATTGTAATATGTAAAAAATATTTATTACACATCTACCTGTGTATATGTATTTCTATTCTTCGATATTTATATACACTCAATGTTATTCAAAACCACTATATTTTCATTACTTCAATATTCAAAAGTTTAGTATAAAGAAATGTAAATAACAGAGAGATAACAGTAATAAAATTATAGTATCTGTTTTTCAAGTTTTTGTGCAATACAGTGTTACTATATATTTAAAATAAATATAATTCTTAATTCTTAAGTAATTTTTCGTACCAGCAAAATAAATATTAAATTATAAATTATGATAAATTATATTCGCATAATTTCTTTGGAAAACATACAACCATGTTACCATATACAACATGCCATGTTTCATACATATAAGTACTAAAATATTACTACTGTAATCGTAAGGACTTTAAAAAAAAAGGTGTATACAAAGTAATTATTTAAATAAATATTAAAATAATTACACTTTATCAATAATTTCTAATATTTCTAACTTAACCTACCTTCACTTATCCCGTGATCATATACAAAAGAAACTAAAACTTGGAAGGTAAAGAATGTAATGTCGAAGAAGAAACAGCGTCATCTAGTGTCACAAAATTTAAATGTAAGTTCAGCACACAAAACAATTAATATATTAATATATAACAAATTTTGTAATTGTAAAGATATATATTGTAAAATGTAGTTTACATGCACGTATAATTAGATTCTAATTTATTACCTGCTTAATCAAAAAATTAAACGATATTATTAATATTAACATGTAATACTTCATGTAGTACATATACTTTCTTTTACATTTTAATTTCTTTAAGACGTTAAAAAAACATTAAAAAATGTAAAAATAAACGATAAATAGTGTTATTATAATAATAAAGTTGCAAAGCAACATCTATTATTTATATATTTCATAGATATGTATGGAATGTATGTAAAAATAAGCGCGAAGTTTGAAATTGGATATGTATATTTTAACAGTAAAAATTTTAAAAAGTACAAATAAAGTTATACATCAAAATAATCTTGTTTAAAATATGTATTATTCTTTTTGCATAGTATTATTTTGTTTTTTGAAAATAATTGTATATCTTGTATCATTCTATATATCATATTAAGGATTACAGATACATATATACGAAATAATGTATAAAGAAATTAACATAAATAAATCTTTATTTAGAAAATTTTTGTTAAAAAAATAACATATTTAAATAATATCTATCTTTAATTAGCGGTAAAAAAGCTTTTTTATTTATTATTTACAACTAAGATAGCTTTGGTCACTTTGTCTACGATGCAAATATGTTAATGGCACAACAAGACGACTATCTTTACTTTTATAATACTCATTAAAGTCTAAACGTACACTTAACAATTGTAAAGACACATCTTCTGCTGATGCAAGCATTATAAGAAATTTTTTCACTCTATCCTGTAAAAAAATTTTTTAAATTAATAATTATGTTTAAATATAAGATATTAAAAGATTTTCTTTATAATAAATAATAAAAGTCAGATTATATATAATTGTATGATTATTTGAAAAGTTAATTTAATCAAGAAAAGAATAATATTACCTGATACGTTCTTGAAAGTAATCTAAGTTGAATTGAAAGTGTATTTAAGTATTTCGAAAATACAGCTTGACGTTTGACTATTTCTGCATCATTATTTTCTGTTAAATCTGACCCATTTTTCACAATAGTTACATTTACTGAATTATTATCCTTTAATCGGGCTTTGTATTCATGTGTTGCACGTGTAAGAAACGTTTCTTCAAGATTTTGCAAATCTAAAATTGGACCATATACAGAACGTAAATGATCCATAAGTTCCTGTTAAAAGCAATATTTATATATTATGCATATATATTTGTTTTGTATCAAATACAGTAGTAAACTTAATATAATTAATAATATGAAGAAAAGTTATTTCAAATAAAAATAGATATTAGAAAATAATAATGCTTCGAAGAAAAGAAAAAAAATAATACATGTGCTTACTTGTGATTTTTCATCTAAAAGTGTACCACGTCTTACAGTATCTATGAAATGAGTGTGTGCTGTAATTATATCATCTAACGATGGTGCTTGTGCTAATTGTTTTGCAAATGCATCCCAAGAACACTCGATTACCTTAACATTGTTTAATGTTTTTAATATATTAAGTTAATTAAAACAATTAATTAGCTGATTATTAAGAAAATGAGTAACGTACTATTAATCTTAATTTCCAATCTTACCTCAAATAAGAAAAAATATTGCATTTGATGAACCAAATGTACCATACTACTAGTAATTAAATGAATATGAGTTTGAATTGGTAATACTTCAGGCATTTTGCGAAACATTTTTGCTGAAGTTATTTGACGTTTCCAAATTGCAGATAATATAGATTCCATTCTCTTCGCTCTCCATAAAGCGAAAAATACAGTTTGATATATTTGCCTACAAGGTTCTAAAATCTAAATAAATAAAATATTTTTTTATAAAATTATATTTTAATATTTTAACATCTTCAAAAGTAATTAAAGAATATTTTTACAAGTTTTACAATCTATTTATTAGTTTAGTAAACATTCATAGAGAATAAAAATACTACTTTTTTTTAACAGGAAAGTAGAATTTTATAAGTAGATGTGACATCAGGCTTTAAAAAATATAAATTATTTTACATACTGTTCCAATAGGACCTCCTACATTATAATCCAGAATAAAAACGTCCCATCCTCTTTCATTTTCCGAAGGTGCTAATAATCTTACGTCAAGTCGCCTATGAATATCTAAATCATCTATCTTTGTAACAGTCGCTCTTATTCCAGTTTCCAGAATAGAAGATATGTTATGTGGATATACAGAACTGGCTGGTTTATCTAATTCTGGTCTATAAATATAGAAATAAAGAATAAGATGAAAATTAGAAATAACAGAATAATTAAAGACAATTAAAAAAATATTATTTACTCTAATAAATGCATAAGATATTGAATGAAATTTCCTTGTCCTAATAACAGATAACCCTTGATTGCGTGTAAATGTTCCATGAGGTGATATTCTTTTGTTAACACTTCAACTACTCTAGTTGAAGTTTCTTTGTAGGCTGTATCCATCATCGTTTGTAATCGACCATCAGGATCCATATCGAAAAGAACATCAACTAAGAACATATTAGAATAGAGTTTTTTAGCGGCGAGTACATATATATACGAAGATGTACAAATTTATGTATTCATTCACTTATTATCAGAATTTAAACTATTGAATATAATTACCTTTATATTCCTCGCTGAAACTTTTGAACATTTTTGTATGTTTTCCCTGCCATGGAGTAAAATCTTTACATACTTCACGCAGAAAGTTAATACTCTTTCCTGTTCCTAAAATTTTTTTAGCTTGCACTTTTGTAATAAAAGATGGTAGCATATTGTTGCGAACTTGATATTTCTCGTGCCACATTCTCTCCCCAGTAATGTCAGCACAAGCTTCAATAAAAAATTCTCTATATGGATCATCTAATTCACCATCTGCAATCCATCTTATCAACATATTGTACAGAGGATCACAGACACTTTGCAAAATCCTCTTAACTAATTTTTTCACACTAGCATCACCATGATTACTAAATTCATATACTGCAGAAGCTAATGCACCACCTTTTTGTCCTTGACAAGCTTTCACTATACTTGCTAGCCATTTTAAGGCTTCTAAAGGGTCATATGCCCAAAGATGCAAGTGAGACAAGGTAACTCTGTATAATCCTGATTCAGATTGAACTCTATTACATATTTAAACATATTATCATTTATAATAAACTGATACAATATTATGTATTTTCACATTATATTTTTAGTTAATACCTGTTTACTTCTTCTTGAATAACGGCTATAAATCTGTAGTATTCTGATAACTCAGAATGTAATGCTGCAACAAAACTATCGGCCACTTGACCATTTGAAGCAACTGACATTCTTTCTAAACCTTTTTGAATTATATTATGTAAATATCCAAGTTCACTTAATCTCAATGTAGCTTGTTTCCGTGGCCTATCAATGCTAATCATTGGATCTATTTGAAAACCATAATTGGAATCTAACTTCAATATCTTTCCTTCAATACCTAGGAAAGAATATATAAGATCTTGAACCAATATATCTTCTGAAATATATTCCTCTCCATATATTTTATTAGAACTGGTTAAAAAATCTCGTGTATTTTTGTCTGAGTTGTTATAAACAATTTGTGGTGGTGCACAAATTTCAGATGACTGTCCTAGGAAGTAAAGCACATTAATATTACACATCCTAAATTGCATTAAAATTTTAAATTAGTTAAAAAATAAAAAAATATATTGTTTACCACTAGTAGATGCAGAAGATGAGCATAAACCTAATTTTAAATCAGGTGCTGAAAAAACTCTATCCCTTAACTGTTCTGCTGATTGACACACGTTTAACAAAAATATCAGGATTTGGGCTCTGTTCTTCAATGGCTAAATAACATATACAAATATATAATGATGACTTATCATTTTTAACCAAAATGTATTAAATATGTCTATAAAATTATTTTTATTTCTTAAAATATTATGACAAAAGGTAATTATGATCATAAATTTTATGAAATATAAATATTTTATAATCAAAATTTAAATTTATATCATACTCCAGATCTCAAATCATTATATAATTTGTCAAACTGTACTGCATCACAAACTGATAATTTTTCTCTTATTTGACTTCCTATAGTAATTTCATCTTCTTGTAATGTTTCTACTCCTTGAGTTGATGACAATAATCCAAGACAGAAACGCATCCATTTCCTAATTATTTCTAAAATCATTAACATAAAATGTGAATTTTCAAATGGTTCTCATGGATTTGCTAGTAAAATGTTTATATATAATATACAATATATATAATATATAGTAAATACAAAATATGCATACAATATATTGAATCTATCATTCTTTCTAATTGCAGAATATGTCATTTCATTCTAAATATCATTCAAAACTTTAATTGTTGTTTCTTTAATGTTTGTTTACAGAGTATCATATACTACAATCATATACTGTTGTAATTTTTTATATTTTTATGTAGTTGTTGAAGTTGTTCTTGCTTATTTTGTTTATATATTTGTTCTTGCGGAAAAATATATGTGTATTCTATCTTAGTGAACCAATAAGAAAATAAAATAAAAGTAAAGAGCAGAATGAAAATAAGTGAAAAATGTTTTATTTACAATTGTTATTATTTAGTAAATAATTTTCAAGCGTAAAAAAAAGTTCGAAATTATGTTTTACCTGGTTTCTGTTCTCCACAAAGCGAAATAATCATTTTTTGAACAAGATTACCAACAGTTTCACCCTCCATCACGTTTACGTATGATGTTTATTTCAAAAATATTTAATATTTCAGTCAAAGAATATTTGACATATTCAAACTGTCACTAAATAATCAAAACTCATAAGTTTAGGAATATTATTTCGTGTGATCAACAAACGTACGCGCATTAGTTTATCATGAAATTACAATTATATAGAGTACGAATCTTCGTTTCTGATATACTTTAAAATAACAAATTATATATAATAGAATAAAAGTTGCATTAAAAAAGATAAATATTATAATTATTTTTATGTAATATTACTTGTAGTTGTAACTTTCAAATCAAAATAAAAATATAAATGATATGATAACTCGGTGGTACTAAAGTAGAAAATTCTATTTTTAGTACCATCGAGTCATTAATAGATGGCGCCACCGTTGCCTTTAAACATTGACAGGTGACAAGAAATTAATTAAAAGGAATTATTTGTGAACTGTTATGGTTGCGTCTTCGATTTCAGACCCTAAGCTTGCATTTTATGTTTTGTTTAAGTATAGTTTACGTATGTAAAGAACGTTTCAATTTCATTTACGTTAGTTGTAGTGCCAGTAGTGAGTGCATAATTTCGCGCAAACTATAGTGAATATTAGATTCAGATTTATTTGCGAACGTAATTGATAGCATTATCTTTGAAATATGTGCTCGTGGAGTGCAAATTAGTAGCGTGAAAAAATTAAAATTAATTATTCCCCTGATGTGGTTGTAAAGCGTTTAGTTCCACCGGTTTGCCACAACACGGCGCTAGTGTTTCTTACCCTGTAGTTATTACGTGATGATTTATATTTATATCACAATACTACAAATAAATAATAACTCCGTAATTAATTTTAGTTGTTTATATAAAAATATTATCAATATAACAAAGTATACAATTACTAATAATTTAATGAAGATTAATGGAAGTTAAACAACGAAATAACGAATGAAGAATTTCTACTATGGTTGCCATATATATAAGTGTGTGTAAACATTTCCATGGTAATAATAAAATTACTAACAATTTTTAAATATTCTATTGTTTATATTAAGTACACATCTCGACGGAACGATTTAATGAACATAGATATCGTTTATAGATCTAAATATTTCAAAGTAGAGGTCGCTACTACCCCGTAAAACAAAGAAATTTTCATTTGCGAAAAAACCTAATTTAGCGAAATGAATTGTGAACTTTGATGATTTTACTCTAATTAGACTCTTAGCTTTCTTTTCATACCCCATATTACTCTAATTAGACTCTTAGCTTTCTTTTCATACCCCATTTGACCCGTAAAATGCAGAAATAAGTATTTTTGTAAATAATTGGTACCATCGAGTTACCGCTAGATGACGCCACCATGTCCATTTTGTGACAGTTCGCACTAATTACGAAAAAAACCTAATTAAGACGAATAATTTGCGAACTTTTATATATGCCTCCTTAAAATTACGCTCTCCGCTTTCTTTTTATGTGTGTTTGTACTAGAAAAACGTGTGTGTAAAAAGTTAAATTTTTTTTCAATAGATCGAAGGATGTCCTTGTCGCACACTGTTGCTTTCCTTGTCTAGCGTCATTAGACAAGGAGGGCACTAGCATGCGACAAGGACAGACATATTCACGTGGTAGACAAGGAGGGCGATAGCATGAGATAAGGACAGACATATCTGTGCGGTAAACAAGGAGTGTATTAGCGTGCGACAAGGACAGACATATTCACGCGGTAGACAAGGAGGCCGATAGCGTGCAACAAGGACAGACATATATGTGCGGTAGACAAGGAGAGCGATATATCATGAAGTAAGGTATACTATATAAAACTTAAAAATGTATTGACGAGATTTAATTCCGCAACATATTACTAATAAAAATTAAAAATTCAAATTTTTAAAGTTATAAATATACGAAACATTAAAGTTATATTATATTTGAGACTGAAATTAAAATAATTTAAGATTACTAAAAAAAGAATAAAATAAAAGAATAAATTTAACAAATAAGAAAATATTTATTAAAAACTTTAGCCAACAAATAATATTAAAGTAATAATTTATGCAAAGAATAAATATATTAACAGTAAAGGTAATAAACTAGTTAAATTTATTTTGACTCAATATATATAAATAATTTTATAATATAATTAATTTTTTCATCTTTTCTATTTTGGGATAATTTGACTAAATATAAATTTTAACGTATATGCTGTTCAATAGAACAATTATCCAATATAAATAATTTATATTTAAATACCAATTTAGTTTTATAAAATTTTAAAATATATTGTAAGATATTTAGAATAGTTTGGATAATTGTTTTACTGTGATGGAATCAAACATTGGGTTCTGTATTAATATAAAGGAATTAAAAATAATATTTCAATATACTTGTGATTGCAATATTGCTTTTTGTAATAACATACAAAAGGTTTCATTCACTTCCTGACATAAAATGTCTGCAGATTTATCTCCCAATGCTGCTTGTGCAGAATTAACTCTACCAAGTTGTAAAAGTAAACCTATAGTATCCTCAGCTAATGGTGGAAAAGCTAAACATATACGCGTTAATGCTGATAATACAGGCATAAATAAAATCACTCGATCTTTAGCAGATAATACTCCTAAGAGTGTAATTAAAGTGTTAATAGCTAAACGAGAAACACTTAAAGCTTTTGGTAAAGCATATTGAATTGCAAGATGTGAAGCTAAATCTACAGCAAATATTTGTTTTTCTGGTTCTGGTTGTGATAATAATTCAGGAATCCAATCAAGACAAATATGCATAGATGGAATACCAGCAACTGTAATAGGTAATAATTCTCTTGGATAACCCTACAAGTAAAGATAATATTAAATTATTAAAAATTAAATATTTATATAGTTTGTAATATATGTTATACAAAATAGATCAATAATTTTTATCACTTGAATTATTTATTCTTGTTACTTTTAGATATTGAAGAACATACTTTCTGATATGTATATTAGTAATTAGTATGCAATTTAATCCAAAAATAAAAATAAATGGATTTAGTTGTACATACTTGAAAATGGACCAATTTAGCTAATGATGGATCTGCTATAAATACTTGATGTAAATATGAACAGATTATACTTTGTATTTCTCTTAATGACCACATCTGTCCAGGGGTTTCTCTATCTTCTGTTGTTTCTAAACACGCCTCTAATAATATTTGTACAGCAGCACTTTCTTGACCTGCCACTAATGCTATTCTTAAATCTTCTCTTTCAGCTTCACTTGATAACTGACCAATTTTTTCTGTTAGTGGTTTGTCCTGTATATGTCTAGATAACTGAGATCGAGAAGCTGCTAATGCAGCTTGTAAAATTCTAAAAATATTTATTATAAAGTAGCAATTGATAATAGATAAATAAACGTTAAATATTTAAAAACTTACTCAATTTTCTTTTTACCTTAAAATAACAGACAAAATTGGAGCACATCTAAAAACTCTTGTATCACATCTCAATACTTGTAAAGGATCTAATACAATATTTTCTTGTGTTAAAAACACATTTTTTACAAGAGAGTTTTCTATCAATAAAGCATTTATTGATAAAACCCATAAACATCTTGGTAAAACTGTATTTAATCTAAGCCATACTTGTTTGTACAATTCTGAAAAATTACGATAAGTGAAAAAGATTATTTTCAAAATGTTAATGATGTTGATGTTGATATTTTACTTAAAAAAATAAATAAAAGAATAAATCATTACCTTGAATGTATCTAGGAACTCTTGGACTTATAGTTGCTTTGAAATAATGAATTATAATTTCAGCATGTGGCCAAATGTCAGTCGGTTTCATTGACATTAATTGTCTTAAGAGTCTTCCTGTTCTTGAGGGACATGTTTGAATATGAGAAAATGTTTCAATAATCATGATATCAGTAATTTTCACATCTTCATAATTTGTTACTGTAGAGTCAATGTTAATCATTTCATTATCAAGCCAATCATCTACTAATGAAAGATGAGGAAAATGTGTTGCTAGTAATCTGAGAAGAGGTGAAAATAATCCAGCATAATTCATTTGATCCCTTTGAACCAACTGAAGTAGATATTTTATTGGCAACTCTGATAAAAATTCAGTTGAATATGACTTAACTTTTCTATCTTGTGATATAAAAGTATGCATATTAGATAATCTAACATCTTCATATAGCAATAAGTAATATAACAATAGTAATTGTGATGTAAGAGAAGGTTTTGAAATGTCAATATCCATATTATCTATTTCATTTTTGGGGACACTATTGATATTTTTCTTAAAATCAAAATTTGCACCAAATACGCTATTTTGAAATACTCTTCTAATTTCATCTTCAGTAATTGGTTTATTTGTATGTTCTGATGTTTTGTTATTTGTTACTAAAATTGAATTGACATATACTTCAACTAAAGCAGGAAGAACTGGATGCAATGGTGGCACACTGTTGCAAATTTGTTTATAAATCCAATTTTTTATCGGTACTCGATGTTTAGCAAATGCTCTTGACTTAAGCAATTGGTGAATACAATGTACAGGTAAAAATCCTGGAATATTTGCATTTAAATTGGCTGTTACTGGTACTTTTACAGCATGAGAAGTAACAACCTGTTCAGTGAATATCTCTTGCATAAAAATTTGCTTCATTCTAGTTAAATTGTTTGGTCTAATTGGTATTTTCATTCCCAATGTAGCACATACAAGTTCACAAATAGCTGACAGTTGATTGCTATGAAAATGTATTGCCATTAAAAGTAACATTTCTCCAAAACTTGCTGTTACACCACTGGCACTTTCAAAATAAGCTTCTTCACGTACAAGCCATTGCACCCATTCTATGCTTCGTTTTTCAAGATTATGGTGACCTATTAATGAAGAACATGCAATAAGCATACAAAGACCTAACGAAACAAATCTCACACCAGCTGGCGATGGAGGAGGATGAGATGTTAACAACTGTACTATCATTGCTACTTCATCATCTTGGAATTTAATACCTCCAATGCCTCTTAATGCACAATAAAGACGTAACAATGCACTGGCTTGCACAACTTGACTTTCTAGTAATTGACCTGCATTTTGAGATGTTATTGTTTGCAATCGTTTAAGTAGTTCTTCTCTTAAAGATTGTAATGCTGTATGAGATTCCCATTTACGTTTCTGACCATTTCTAATAAACATTGCAATCCATGTTCTTACTTGTTGATCACTACCAAGTAATAATCCTGACACAAAGGCAACTATATCACTTTCTGCTAATGAATTATTTATATTCTCATGTTCCAAGCTTAATGTAATTGCTAAAGCAGGCATTCTACAAAGTTCTACACATTTGGCTCTTACTGCTAATGCTTGACTTGGATTCATTTGACACAACATTGTCAAAGCCATTGTTCTAATCCTGCCTAATGCTGATTCTTCTTGTCTTTCTCCATTAGCTATTAAATGTGCACAAACTTCAGAGAAACTATCAGGGATATTGGCAACTATCCAACAAATTATTTCTGGGCCATATTTAACATGTAATAATGTTTCTGCAATATCCAATATTGATAATACTGTGGGCAACTCTGATAATGCCACACAAATCACATAACTAATCTCTTCCATGTAAACTGCATTATCAAATAAATCAGATTGTTTAATCTGAAATTCCTGGTTTTTCTGTTGTTCCTGTACTTGAGAAGCTATATACAATAGTTCACTTAGAACTAATCTTATTCTTCTAGTAGATTCACTGCGTTCAAATTCTAAAGCAAGGCCACTTTGCAATGACTGAGCAAGTACACTGTCCCTTTGCAAACTTCCCATCTTTTGCCTAACGAAGAGATTATATCAGTTTTATAAGTACACTTTGTATATTTTATATTTTCAACAATATTATATAATAAAAGGTAGATGTTTATGATACAACTGACCTTAATTGTTGTTCTTTCCGGACATCTGTTTCCAATGCATGAAAGTCAATTGAAAGCAATGCAATTATTGAATTTACTGATTCAATACCAGATAGAATTGTCAGAACCTGTTTCCTCTGTTCTACACATTCTTTCGTTACGTCCAATGGAGATATAAGACTCATTCGAACTAAACATGGTAAAATTGGACGTATTTCTTTGTGAGAACACACAGCTAAAACAGGTATGTCTACATTTTGTATTGCAGTAAAAACCCGTGGTGATACACGTGTATTCTCTTGCATGGTTATCATTTATTATCTGTTTAAAATTAATCAAACAGTAATACTTCACATTACAAAATTTGTAATATAACTATATTTTTATTTAAATTACAATATTATTAAATTTTAACTTATTTAGTTTGGAAATAAAATAAAATATTTATTAAATCCATGGGATTTACTGCAATTACTTTATTTGAATTCAATTAGGTTAGAAAACATGAGTCTGTCATCCATTTCTAATTATGCCGCCACACATACACGCGCGCGCGCGTGTGCACGTATACTTACACAGAATTAGATAAAAAAGTTATTTGTAATATTTTTTTAGTAGTAAATCATTTATTCATAAAACGAAATCATACTCTTTCTTTCCTTTATATATAAGAAAATATCACAGCTGAAAAATAAAAATATTACATGGAATGAAATATTTCATTACACAAAATAAACGAAATATGATATTAATATAATTTATTTTTATACGGTTTTGTATTTTCAATGTTTTCGGGGTAATCAAAAACAAGTTTTTACAATTACATTTTTATATTTTATAAATGTTATAACATGTATTTCAATATTAACGAAATTATCCATAAATAAGTATTTAATTTTCAAGAAAAATTTTCATTTGTAAAAATTTCATGAGTTATAAATTTCCAAGAACCAATAACTTTTAATATTCCCTTGTATGTAATAATAATTATGACTGCCATCTACAAATATTATAGTAAACGTGGAAGTTTATTGTTTTACGAAGCAACGTGCGAATGTCTTATCGTGTATGATCTTTCAATTTTGTAAAAAATATGGAATATATTTACCGTTTACCGTTTTTAGCGCTAGAAGTACCTAATTTAAAATTAAAAAGACCATCATGGTTTGTGAAACCTAGTGCTATGGTAGTTTTCTCGTTTATACTTTTGTCATATTTTCTAGTAACTGGAGGTTAGGATTGTATAGAATATCAGTTTCTTATAAATTTTTGAATGAAATAAAGGTAAATACTATTTATATTTCGATGATAAATTTTTTAAAGGTATAATATATGACGTAATTGTGGAACCACCTAGTGTAGGATCAACAACAGATGAACATGGTCATACAAGACCTGTAAGTAAATGGAATAACTTCATCTTAAAAATGTTTAAATTAATGTGTGCAACTTTATTATAATTATGTATTTATTTTTTATAGGTGGCATTCATGCCATATCGTGTGAATGGTCAATATATTATGGAAGGACTGGCATCTAGTTTTCTCTTTACTTTAGGTGGAATTGGCTTTATAGTACTAGATCAAACGCATAGCCCATCAACACCTAAACTGAATAGAATTCTTTTAATATGTGTTGGATTTATTAGTGTCATTGTATCATTTATCACCTGTTGGATTTTCATGAGAATGAAACTACCGTAAGACTTTTATATATTATGCATTATATAATTTCTACAAGAGATTTCTCATTGAAAATAATGTTTTCTTTTATCTTTGTTATATAAAATATAATAATATTTGATAAACATTAAAGTATTATTTTTTCAGGGGATATTTACAATCATAAATTCACTGAATTTAAAGGGGTATTTTGGTAATCCAGCCTGAAATGATCGACTTCTTTGGATTTTTTTCTAAGGAAACCATGATACCTTTTGGTATGCAGTTGCACATGAATTTATTCATACTTAAAAGTATGATTGGGGAGAATCCTTCGTTAAATATATTCACCGCCAAAAATGTGGTGATTTCAACAGTTTTTAATCCCAAGTGCATATGTTTTGGAACGAAAAGTCAAATCAACGAATTAAGTAATTCATTATTGTTTTGTTTCCACTTCCAAACACCTTTTCAACAAATCATCTGATGAAAAAAATAATAATATTAATAATACTCGAAATAGTAATGTCAAGATTTCCATTGTTCTGTAATTTCTCGCTCGATATACGAGGATTTTCAACGTCTTCCTCGACAGTTTATTGATTCCCATAAAATCTTAATCGTTTGGGACGGCTTGTCTGAGAATAACTTGCTTTTATTCTTTTTCTATCCATTTCAATGTACTCAAATTCTGGTTATTAACTTTTGAAAATGCGTACGCTTGTTAACCGAAAATAAAATATGTAATATATTTTTATCGTAAATATTGCTAAATGCCTAAAAATATATCTACAATGGTCAAAATGGACAGCAGGAATCCCACTTCAAAACCCAAAGCCTTCGACAATAAAGATTGAGAAATCGAGGAAATCATACATGCAGCTGTGGTACGTCTGTATGTCGCACGTTGCCAGCAGTACACCGTTTCGTTTAAACATCTATAACTTTGTTAATTTTACGAATTCCAACAAATACTTTTACATAGGCATTCTAGAAAGCATATACTTTGAGAAAATGTAAAAAAAAAATCGATTTTTTTAAGCCGAATTACCAGAATATATGGTATGGATTAAAGCTTGCTAACACATAAAAACTGTCACATTTTGTACTAAATATATTTAAAATGTAATTTACAAATAATATAAGAAGGTCTGTCAAATATATTTCAAAAGGCAAACAATTTTCTCTTTTTCTTTCCTTGTTATTATTATTTAATTTTTTTATTATATAAAAATATATTTTATACAGGTTTTTCTTCATGATGATCAAAGTATATTGTGATATACTATTTATAAATAAAGACAATATATGAACATAAAGAAGAAACAAAAATAATATTAATTTATTTATGTGATGAAAAAGGATGACATGTTTGTAAAATTATTTCATTGTATAAAAATAATAATACTATGTTGTAAATAAATGATCATAAATAAATCTATTTTAGAAATTACATTATAAGATAAATTATAGTAATTTTATTGGAAAACAATAATTATATTACAATGATATAATTTGTTTTTTTATAGAGATAGTACGTAGCACACATATTTTATTTTTTAAATTTCCAATATAAACTTAGTATCTTATTAAGTTACAGAAGTGAAACTTAAACTTCAAAAAGAAATGAAATTTTTGCAAGTATTTATAATTTATTGTGTTTATTTCATTATATTTGGTTGAAATTTCAATAAAGTAATTGTTAAAACATTTTTTACCATTCATACTTTATGAATAGTTGACATCTGCAAATAATAACAATTAGGTTGTTATATAGTATATACACGTAAGTTTGGTTATGTAGTAGTAGTACAATTGTAGTAGTTTCCAATATGGGAAATAATTTTTGTGTTTAAAAATTTTATAAATATAAAATATAATGCAAATAACAGTAATTAGAATATTGTATTCTTTTTACTATTAGAAAACATGTTTTTTCTGGCATTTTATGAAATATTTTTTGTGCACAAAATGGTATGACCCTAAATGTACAAAACTAATGCAAGTGCCATAATTAGAATAGAAAAGGTTCACAAAAATTACACTTTCATATATAATGTAAGTAAATTTTAATAGATATATCTATAATAAAGATTTTAATTGTTATAATAAAAAATAATATATATTTTTCCAGTGATAAAGTGTATAAAAAAAGAAATTATATATTTTTGTATAAACTAGAAAATAATACCAAGTATTATCTAAACTATGTTAATCTACAAATTAAGAGCAAATACTAAATATAGCTAATATAATTTAGCTATGATCGTTGAATTATTTTAACAATTGCATAAAAGTATATAAAAATATGAAGAAAGAACTTATTTTTTTAATATTTTGTGTCATTACAACACTCATCTCATTAGTAACCATAATAAAAACAAATATAAATAATACAAAACTGGAATTAAAATATTCACACAATACAAATAAAAATTCCTCACTTACAAAATTTATCATTGAACCAAAGTGTAACTCTAATTTTGTTGTTTGGATTGTTACATCTCCAGTAAATGATCCTTTATACAGAACAGCATTAAGACGTGCATATCCAAATGAAATGTTAAAAAGTTTAAATATCACAAGGGTTTTTTTATTAGGAATGTCTAAAGAAGAAAGTATATGGGAATATATTATTCAAGAATCACAGCAGTATAACGATTTGTTGCAAGGAGATTTCTTAGAAAGTTATAGAAACCTTACATTAAAACATTTGATGGGTTTAAGATGGGCATCAAGTAACTGTAGATCTACTTTCCTAATAAAAACTGATAATGATATTGTATTAGATGTTTTTGAAATGTTAAAACTTTTAAAAAAGAAAACTATGAATGAAAATGCTATATCTGGATATGTTTTAAGAAAAATGAAACCAATACGAATATCAAATAACAAATGGTTTGTTACCAATGAAGATTTTTCAGGTGATGTTTATCCTGATTTTCTCTCAGGATGGTTTTATATAACCAATTTAAAAGTTGCACAATTATTAGTTTATGCAAGTGAAAAGATTAAGAATTTTCTTTGGATTGATGATGTATTTATTACTGGAATTTTAAGGCAAAAATATGATATTAAAATTGAAGAACTAAATAGTTTATTTGCAACAGATTATAGGTAATTAGTAAAATTACTATTGTAAAATTATTTATTTCATAATATTAATCGCTATTCAGATATTTATTGAATATTAAATATAAAACTGTTTATTAAATTAAGTTAAAATTATTTTATTTCTTTTGAGGAAATATGAAAATTTTTTTACTAAATTATAAATTGTAGTTATTTTATTTCTCTTTTATTTTTCATTAAAAAAATATATTAATTTTGTACAGGTATTTGGAATGTTGTATAAGAGACAAGAAATGGAAATTGAAATGTGGATTTATTGCAGGACCCGATGGAGACAAAAAAGAATTACATATTAAATTTAAAGAATTTTCTGAATATTGTCAATGGAATTGTACTGAAAGGATGAAAAAACAATTAGTATCAAAGACTTGTGTAGCTACTTATGAAGAAAAAATAAATATTATAAATTCTAAAGTTCAGGTTCATTATATATAAAGTTTGAAAAATTATTACTTTTATTACTAAAGAAATATTACAATAATGTATAATTATTTTTTATTTTCTAAATAAAAATAAATTTTTTCTAAGAAAATTTCTATTCTTCAGCTTGACTCAAATAAAGCTGTGCTACTATTAATTCAACTAAATAAATTATTGTAGATCCAAATAGTGATGAAAGTATTATTTTTAAAAATACTTAATTCGTATTACATAATAATAAATTATAATCAAATTGATTACTTTATAATATAATTATAATCAAGATTGATTACTTTACATTTGGTTGAGGCAAATTCATTATATATTTTAGTACGCAATTTACATTCTTTTTGATCGTGAAAATTAAAGTTTGTAAATATTTAAAAAATGAAATAGAATATGGACTAATAAGGACATAGATTTATATTTATCAACATCTTATCTTAAATCTTTTATACTATCACAAAACAAATTCATTGAATTTATCTTAATTTTTCTAGCTACTGAAGTAGTTAATTATATTGTTTTTTATATTACATATTATAATACACATTAATTATTTCTGATTGTTCATCCAATATACGCAATAAAAAATTTAATATACATATAAATAATGATAAATACAAAATTTCAACATATTTATCAGATCTTAAATTGAAATTACTTTGTAAATAAGAAAATTAAAATGGTTTTACAAATTAAATTATAGTTTTAATAGATAATTTATTTGGAAAAAAATGTAAAATGCTTTGGCATATTTTGTGTCATTTATTATTAAAATTATAAAAAATATTTCCCACGAAGGTGAAATTTTTGAATATTGAATATTTTTTATATTAAATAAATTAAATTCAATAAATTATACAAGAAACATTTGTTACTTCTATAAACAACGAAGATATTTTAAAATAAAATTATATAAAGTAATCATTTATGAATCAAAAATTTATAATAATATCATATTTCTTCTATTACAAAGTAATTTCTATTAAAAATTTTATAATACATTAAAAATTAACATACTTTATAAAATAACTAACTCAGTTCAGATTTTTAGTTAGGCTATTTATCATGATAAATATAATATATATAATTTTATATACAATATATCATAATTATGACAACCTTGATAACAATGATAATAACAATGATATTAGGTATCCCATAAAGTGATTTTTGTAATTTAAAAATAATAGGAATGGCTAATTTATTAATTTGAATAAAGTATACATCATTGAGGGATAAACTAATATATTGAATATATTGCTTTTTTGAATATGTAAAATAAAGAATATTTTTTAAACATTTAGCAAGGGAAGACTCTAAATAAGGATAAACGATCTTAAATAATTTTGGAAGATCAATATATCAAAAGTCAATAAATTGAAAGAAAAAAATAAAAATTATTTTGAAATTTTATTTCCATTTAGGTAATACTTATATGCTACATATCTCTTTGAAGCAAAGTAAGTTTCATTTGAAATATTTTTTTGAATAAACTTCAAGATATAAATAAGCTTTTTAAGATACCTAATGATAAATATGATAGCTAGACTGTGAATGTTTACAAATGCATATTTTTATCAGCAGAAAATAAATAAAGAAATGGAATCAACATAAAAATTTTGTCATTAAAAACTTCTAAAAAAATACTTTTTATTTTACATATTGCATATATTTTGAACATTCGTTTGAATGAATTAATTATTTTAATTTGTCAATAGTGTCATTGGTATTCTTTAAAGGCAGGATGACAGCTACTAGTCCTGTTTTGACTAGGTGGAAGTTTGGCAGATTTATGACACATTTAGACCATTTACAATTACACAATAGACAATGGATGTTACAATAAACTAATGTAAGTACTTTGAATTTCACTTTCACTAAAAAATTATCAATGTCTCAACTATGCCATAAACTATATTAATTACATACGTTAATAATATACTGTACTTTATATATTTTGTTGTCATATTTCATTTACATAAATATCCAAAATCTAAAACAATAATATTAAATAATATAAAGTTATAATAAAATTAAAATAATACATAAATCAGTCTAATATATTATAATTAAGTAATTTAATTTTATAAATAGTTTTATGTAAGAGATATTTTATCTAGTAATTATATTTATATCTACTGATAGGACATTTCAATACCTCAGTAATTTAATATTCTATAATGTATGTATAGACATATAGAATTGTCTGCATATAAAGTTTCTAGAAACAGTTCATGATCAGTCAATAATATTTTATAAGTCTGCATATATTTTTCAGGAATATTGTATGAGAATTGTTTACATATCATATATACACGTAATATTACATATTATATACTATAATATGTTATATATTAATTTGTTATAAAATTTTACCGACTGTCCGACTATTTATAAAAACATTGTATGGTAACATAGGCCTACAGATAATATCTATACGACTGCACATGTTTTAAGTGACTTCATACGAGCAAAGCATTCCAACCAAGCGTATTTTATGCTTAAATAGAAAGTTTTACAAGCTCTAGCAAATAATTTTAAACTATTTTTTCAACCAGCCATTGTTGAATGTCTATTTTAATCAAAAAAATTTTCTCACCATTTTCCTAAAACCAGTGCTTTTTTTCTCCTTTTTTTTTGACATTGATGTTATGCTACTACTTCTAGATTCATCACTTTGATCCATTAACAAACCGTTAGTAGCTGTATCACCATCAGTATAAGTTTCTTCTGGAGATAATTTTGAAGGAATAGAACTTACAGTCTTGTTATTAGGATCACTTAAATTCTTACTCCATTCTCCATTCACATCATTTGAATAAGCTTTTCTTTTTTTTCTTGTACTTAAAGCAGTTTTCATAAAGGAAGGTGTTACACTTAATCTCGTGTTCTTTAATGTACTAATATTTTTAGAATTCAAAAGATCTTCGGATCCAATGATGGTTTGTTCGCTGTAAGCATTTTTTTCTGGAAATATATCTGCTAATAACAAATTTGATTCATTTGAATTCTCAGTACATGAATTATTTAGCTGGAAATTTTTAATAGAATCTGTTTCGGCACATGATAACCTTAATTGTATATTGCTCTCTTCATTTTGCCAGTCAATCATATTTTCTGGAGCAGATTTAAGTCTCTTGCATATTTGTTTTTGAGAATCAGTCGTATGTAATACTTCAATAGATGAAGCAGTTTTTGGTGCTATTTGCATTTCGTGCGTAATATTTGTTGGAGATTTATACTGTATTATTGGATAAATTTCTGTATCATTAGTTACATTTGTTTGATTATCAATTAAAGCAGTTGGTTTTTTACGTTTCCTCTTCTTCTCTTTCTTTGTTTCATGAGATTTATCAATAATCATTAAGTCACGATATGTACCTGTAATGTGAGAAGCTATTTCGCTTGGTCTTCGCTTTTTTGTTTTCTTCATATGTGAACTAAAGTTTTCTGCACTTTTACGCCGCATTGTATCTTTATCTGACTGTTGTTTCTTCTTTACTTCAACTCCTTTATTGTTATTTGTCCAATAATACACTAAAATTAAGTATATCACAAAAACTTCAGAACATATTAACAACATATGTTGACCTATTGTGGAGATTTTTCCATGCCAACTATCACGATCATACAAAAGATTTTTCACTGAGTTCGAAAGATTAACGACTGTTTCTTTTAAAATAGCAATTTCTTCTGCTCTTTTTGATTCACGTTCGTCCCTTTTTCGCGTTTCTTCGCTCATTGCCGAGACTGTGCGTTCAAGAGATTTTTGCATTTCTTCAACCTGTTTCTTATATCGACGACTTAATTCTTCCAAGTACTGTCCACTCAAAGACATATTTCTTTCTAATGCCTAAAAATAATGAAATTTTAATAAAATTTATATTCTAATAAATGATATAAATTGATGTTACTGTATTGATTATACAAACAGTGAAAATAAAATTATTTAACAAAGAAATTTCGTTTTGAAAAATTCTATTTTAAAATTGTCAGTATTATGTTGTAAAATTTATGTTCTTATTAACTACATATACCTTTATTCTATTTGAGAGTCTTAGAAAAACAGATTCTTTTTGTGGCATAGTATTCGTCGTTGATTGAATCACTGAAACACTTGCAATAGGACCATTTTGAATATGAGCTGTTTCTCCTTCTAAATCCTTTAAGTCAGATAATAAATTATCAAATGTTAAAGAATCTTGAGGCGATAACTTAATTTCTTGATCTAGATTCTCTGCTGGTTCTTGTTTTCCTTCTTGATCCAAACGTTCTACTTTCTCCATTTTATTAGGTACACTCGTAAACTCCAAAGGTTCCATGTCTGATATATTATCATTTGAAAATTCGTTGCTATCAGTAACAGGTATTGAAGTAGAAACAGTTGTTTCAGGTGAATTTTCAATGGAAATACTAGAACTTATAAATGGCTCTTCAGAGGCCTTTATAATTGAATGTTGTTCCATATTTAAAGTTATCGGAACAGTTGTTAATATTTCAGCTGAAATTGTTTCCTCAATTTCTAAAATTGGTGTCAATGTTTCATTTTTTATTTCTTCTTTTTCCAAAGTTTTAGTAGGCTTTATCTGTAAAACTATATTTTTAGAACTAGAAGAAATCTCAATTGGTGTACTAGTGAATATGTTAGTTTCTTCACCAGATAGTTCCTGAGTACTTTTTTTAAATTCTCGAGAAGATGTATCAACATTTGTATTCAAAGTACGTGTAGCTGATGTATGTTGAAATGATTTTGTGTTACTATTATAATCTTCTTTATGTTTATGTGATGTATCTTCTTTAATAACTTCTTTGAAATCATTCAATGGTATTTCATGACTTGTGTTCATTACCATCTTACGTTCTTTTATCGCTAATACATTGCAAAGTGCTGCAATATATTCAGATTTAAGTATAGATGTTATGAATGTCAATTGAAAATTCTTACTTGAACTAAATCTTTCTTTAAATTGATCATGTCTTTCCGTATCTTGTATATTTTCATTTTGTGTTTCTTTTTTTGCAAAAGTTTCAACTCCTACACCATGAATTTTACATAGTCCATTTTGTCTTAAAGTTCTATTCACTAGATCAATTTTAAGCAACTCATTTAGTTGTTTCTCCCTACAACTAATTAATTGGAAGATTTTTGCAAATTTCTGATCTGAGCAGCTATCACAAAGAATGGTATATCTTGGTGTAGTACAACTAACAAAAGAGTTTTCAAGAATATTACCACTATCTATACTTTGCTGAATTTTTGTGATATTATTATAGGTTAAATCACTAGATTTTACTAATACCTCAGCTGCTTTTTTCATGATGCTCAACACAGCATCTCTGGCACTACCAAACAAATTTCTTGGTGGTTCACCATCTTCAATATCTAAAACCTCCTCTTCGTCACTATCTTCATCGTCATCTATATTTGTATGTGATTCCCTCGGGATTTGATTTTCTGTTTCAGTCTCAAGAACCTCAAATTCACTGGTACCATAAGCACGAAACAAAGAAATAGGACAAAAATGCTCAGATCCATAATAAGTTTGTAGTTCTACTTTTATAAATTTTCCAAAAAGATGTGGTTGTAGAACAAAACTTTGAATATCCTTTACGTGTTTTGCAGTAAACTGACCAACTGGGCTCCAATCTCTTGTAGGAAAACGATCGCTAATATACACTGAAAAATCCTTCGGTGACGAACTAAAAAGCTCAAAATTGGCTAATTCGATTTTCTTAGCTTGAATCGCCTCACAAAGTTCTACTACGAACCATATACGTGACGTACATGTATTGAGCATATATTCATCCCTGGTGGAAACTAAAACGCTTCCAACACTTCGCGCTTCTGGATTTGCTGCTACGATTTTTGCACCACAATCTGGAGAAGCATAATTTTTAGAACGAACTTTCATTCCACCAATTCCTCGTGTTGGTGTTCCAGAATTCTGAACAGAAGCATTTGGATGTGCTACAAAAAGGGTAATTAAGATTTTAATAAATAAATTTATAATTAAATTATAATAACAATATATTTTACATTAATTTTTTAGCTTTTAACATTGTTGAATTTACTAATAAAACTTACATTTTTTTCTTTCAGCTTCTTCTAATCTTTTTTGTGTCCATTCACTGAAGGATGGAATATCTTCATGTGGATTTGAAGATCCTACAGTTACAATTCCTTCACCAAGAACAACTGCAGCAGTGTCATCTCGATTATCTCCCACTAATCGAGCTTTAGCATCAGTATCACTTAATTCTGGGGTTGTTGCAAATGTTCCATCAACTTTAGTTATCTCATCAGGGAATACTTTAACAACATTATCTTCAAGTTTCAACTCTAGTTCATCAGTATTAATAGAAGTTTGTTCAGCTCTTACTACTACCACTACTTCAGGTGTTTCTTCTTTTCCAATTGAATTTGTTAATAATACAGATTCTTCCTCAAGATTAGTTGTTTCATTAGATTTTTCAATAATTTCATTAGTAATAGTTGGTGATGGTGTTTGTATATTAGATAACATTTCTTCTTGTCTCTTTTTTGTTTTCTGTATATTTGCATTTTTTTTCAATAGAGATGATTTCTTTGAAAATAATCTGGATTTCGAAAATTCAGAATTAAGCTTTGATTCTGTTAAACTTTGAAATTCTCCTTGTACAGTTGTATTTATCGAAGTTAAAACTTCCTCATTTTCAGAAATTCTATAAAAAAAAAAAATTTTTTACAAAATAAAATAAAAGATAAAATTCTTTAACTGAATTAAAAATTTTATCTATTATTCATATTTAATAGTAAAATATTTAAAGTAATTAGTGACTCATCTTTTTTTATGCCTATGCATTCTTAACATTTTTATCTCTCTTTGTTAATATATTTAATTGTTAATTTGTGCATAAAATGCATTCTTAACATTTTTATCTCTCTTTGTTAATATATTTAATTGTTAATTTGTTTTATATTATATAATATATAAAATATATATGTATATTTATAAAAGTTTATGTTACATAAATTAACTATTCAAAATATATTTTTTGCTAAAAAGATTCTCTTATTCTTTTTACATTTATTTCTTATCTTTCCTATTATTTCTTTTCAATTTATTCACTTAATGCAATTATTGTCTTATTGGCTATTATCTTATCTTTTATTTCAATTGGCAAATCATTAATTATTCACATTTTTTATTTGTTGTAATCATAATTTTGACAAGCCTATTAAAACTAAAATATTTTATGTATTATGTCACAATATTTTTTATATTAATAAATTTTTATTATTTTAATAAAAAAAAATAATAATGAAAGACCATATTGTGAAAGCACAACTTTGTGTATAATTATGATTTTTAATACTTTTTACGCATAATATGATAATACTTATCTAATTTATATTATTTAGTATTTTAAATATTATTATATCTTACATTTTATCTTCAAAGTACCATTAATGTTCCACAAGAATATTTTCCTAAATAATGAATAATTTAAGAATTTGATTTTTTACTTAATTATCTTATTTTTTAATCTTTTAACTTACTAACTATGACGTTTAAATAAATATTAGACCAAAAAGCTTTTTCATAACATGTTGAGATATTTTTTGTTTAAACATAAGAATCAGAAATACTCAACATATATTAAATAATATATATAGGCTTTACTTTTCATCTTACATAATCAAATGTAATAGGATTTTCTTGTGTAATGTTGACATAATAAAAACTTACCCCTGAGATAAATTAGGTTGTTGAGTAAGACTTTCTGCTATATCTTTGTAAGGATTCTCTTCTTTTTCTGCTTTACCATTTATGACTGTTCCAAAATCAATAGAATCCTCAATATACTTTTCCTAAATTTTTATAAATATTAAATTAGATATTTTTACGCAAATAGAAATTTTATAAGATAAAAAATTATCTAACAACTTTTAGTAATGTATTAATTTATATATACATTTTTTTATTTTGAATCCTTACTTGATAATAATGATCTTTATAATTAGTTTCAAATTTGTGTAAATCATGTAGTTCATTAATTGTTATAGTGGATGTGTCTAAATCATTAACTTCCATATTATTTAATGTATCATTATCATCAGTCTCAGAAGTTTCATTCATTCTAAGAGATGAATGATAATTGCTTTGTGCATTTTCAGAAGCAACTATGATGAACAGAAGTGCACTGCAAATAAAAAATATATCATATATTAAGACAAAGAAAGAAAACAAATTAATTTTCCTTATTTTACTTATTTTTGTAAATATCTAATACACAAGTAATAAATATAAATATTACAAAAGAGGAATTATTTTGTTTTTAATTGCTTTCATAGTTTATAAAGAAAAATCATAAATACCCTATTATAAAATTTGTCTTATATATTAGATATTCAACCATTTAATCTGAACATGTTAAATTAATGTTTTGTATAATATTTTATAAGTTTATTATAGTAACATATTATGTATTAAGTATGTCTGTTATTAATATTACTTTTAATAGACTTAAATAGAATTAAAACAAAAATCTGCAAAATGAATTTAATTTTAATTATTAATTTTTACAATATTTATTTAATACATTATGATTTTATATATATATTTGTTCCGTACAGTTTGCTTTCAAATATATAGAACAGATTAAAAAGAATTATCTTTCTTATAAGTCAATTGCCACAGGAATTGAAATTATAAATACAAACTTTTATACTTTGTATGTATCAAATATCATTAATTCATATATTGACGAGATTGTAAATAATCTAACTTATTGATGAATATTATTAACTTGCATATTTAAAACATTACTTGCATGGAGACAATTAGCAGTAACCTTGTATCTTTTCTGTTTTCTTTTTTTTGTGTGTTTAAATAAAACTTACCGGTTAAATATTATTATTATATTAAAAATATTTCTAAAATAAAATATATGATAAAGTTGTCGGTAATTCTGCATGAATTGTGAATTGTTAATAAAAAAACGAAAAGAAAATGCTTACCTAGATGCAATTGATATAAAAAGTAATGTCCAATACACACAGGTTATACAAATCTTCATCTTTTTAAATGCTCACATTACTTTTCAAAATATTGAATTGTCAATAGGTATTTTTATAAATGTACAAACATATCATCACATCACCACTATACTATTATCACTACCGCTGTTACTACCACTATCATTACTACCACCATCTTTATAAATCCTTTTATAACTATCGCTACTGTCACTACCGCAGTTACTATATACCAAAAATCTGACGTGGTCAAATTAGGATGGTTTTGACATAGAAATAGTTGAATTGTCTATAGATTCATAACACATCCTCCATCGTGCTGTAGTATCAATCATTTTGTGCAAAATATCTTGCAAATAGTACAATTTTGAAGAAAAAAAAACACTTTACATTAAAAATCTTTTTTACATATAACAAAAACAGCTGATTCCATTAAAGCATGCTCCGTAGGTACTTAACACTAACTTTTTTATCCAATGATTTTTTATAATATAATTTCGAATGAACATTGTTAAAATAAGTAATATTGAAATGGATAGTTTTTAATAGTAATTTTGTATTAAACTATACTATCGTGCATGTTGAACAATGTAAATATTTATTATTTATTAATTTCACAAATTTATAATCTTTATTTGCTTATGTCCATTTTAATATACAGTATTATTAGCTGTATTTTCAATTGCGATATCTATAGGTTAGAATAGTAATTTAATAAAGAAATAAAAATTTTTATACCACAAATATATTCAAATAATTATGCATTATTTTTTTTTTTAATTATATGTTAAGATTTTGTATATAAGATTTATTTTATAAGTAAAACCTATTCATTCTTAATAAAATAACAATTAAATTTTATACTTTCATTGCCATGTTTCATGGATAATTTGAAATTTTCATTTTGAATTTTTCGTTTCATAACAAATATTTTTCTCTTCAATTATAGATATGTGTAATAAAGTTTTAATGAAAAATAATGTAATCAAATTGTAGATTTCAAAATGTAGATCAAATGTTTGATTTTTAATAAAAAAGAAACTAGATTTACTTATAGAGAAAATATTTCAAACATTATTTTGCTAAATTAAAAATAACTGTTTTGTGCTACTTATTTTCAACTATAGTTATTATAATACTACAATTTTGTGCAGTCTAAATAATACATTGATTGATATATAAAAAGAATTATAATATAATTTTATTTTAAAAAATGATATTGATTTTAAAATTTCTTAAGCTGTTCGATTGTTTTTACATTTTATTTTTTAACTTTTTTCATATGATGCTCAACATACATATTGTTATTATATTGTATATTAAAAATTAGAAAGCTATTTTTTTGTAATTAATAATTGTATGATGAATATAATTTTATTAATGTCTTTATTTCATTGTAATTTTACAATATTTCGAAATATTAAGTTAGATTTGTTTAACAAATATGTATATCATTTGCTATTAAAAATGTTGTTAAAAATAGCTTTAATATAATATTTAAAAAATTCAATTTATCAAATATGTTCAGAAATTTTAATATGTATGTAAATTCATATGAATGTGACTTTAAGATTGAATATTTAATGCTTCATATTAAATAATTCAAAACATTATAATTTTACCATTAAACGGTTTATTACTAGTTGAGCATTATTCATTAAATTTTCATTAAAGTTTCATTAAATTTTTAAATAAAGTATCAGGATCTTTTCATTTTTTAATTTTAAATGTTTAGAAGGTGATAATTCAGTTATAAAAAGCTTAAATTGACTGAAAACTGAATTGGCTTTTGTGAGCAATTTCAAGCGACTATTTGAGTTTACTGAAAACTTCATATATGGGCAACGGATGTTTAAAGTTTTGTCGTTATTTTTTTATAATATTATTATGTTATTAACAAGGTATTATATAAATTTAATGATCTTATAGTAAAATTATTTCGAAAAAGATTTAATATTGTTCATTAATTTACTTGCATTTATCTGTAGTAAATTTATTGCATAACCTTTAATCTTTTTCCCCTAACGATTTTCCTAATATTATTGTAGTGTATGAAATAAGTATATATTAATTTTCTTGCAGAATACTTTACTGTCATTTATTACAATTTATTTGAATATGTATTATATACAATTGCGTCTACAGACTTAATATTATTTATCAATTGCTTATTGAATTATGGCTGTACGTCGAGGAAAAAGGAATTTGAAATTGCAGGTTTCTGAAGAGACACCCGTACCTGTGTATGTAATATTATTACATTGTTATTATATTGTTATAATTAACGTAATTTTTGTTTGTTATCTTCTGTTATAATAATATAATTTTATTAATATGATATATTTTTTTTATAAATATATGTAAGAAACAGTATGTATCTAAATGAAAAATATATAATACTATGTCAGAACTGTTTGATTTTTTAATAAGTTAATAATTTTATAAAAGCAATAATAAATTTTATGTATTATAGCACTCCACCAAGAAATCTAGATAAAAGAACTACAATAACCATAGGTGATAAAACATTTGTGGTAGAAGCAGATGATTTAGAAACAATTTGTATTCTTGGACGTGGAGCATATGGTATTGTGGATAAAGTACGACATAAACAAAGTGGTACTATTATGGCGGTTAAGGTATAATGTGTTCTTACAAAGATATATAAATAAATTTTTATATGTTCGCTATTCATCCAGTTACTTTATGTATTTTATAGAGAATAACTGCAACAGTTAATACACAAGAACAAAAACGTTTACTTATGGATTTAGATATTTCTATGCGTAGTTCAGCATGTCAGTATACAGTACAATTTTATGGAGCATTATTCAGGGAAGGAGATGTTTGGATATGTATGGAAGTTATGGATATGAGTTTGGATAAATTTTATTCAAAAGTATATAAGCATGGACGTGCCATTCCTGAAGATATTTTAGGAAAAATTGCTTTTGCAGTAAGAAAAAATTAAATAACTTATTGTTATTACTTATTATCATAATTTATTGTTATTATTGTTATTAAAGTATTGCCATAATTATAATTTTAAAAATATTTACAGGTAGTAAGTGCATTACATTATCTATATTCACAGTTGCGAGTAATTCACAGGGACGTAAAACCTAGTAATATTCTAATTAATCGAAAAGGAGAGGTTAAGATCTGTGACTTTGGTATTTCTGGTTATCTTGTGGATTCTGTTGCTAAAACTATTGATGCTGGCTGTAAACCATATATGGCTGTACGTAACTTTTTAAGATAGATTATAAAGTTTCTATTCCTGTCTATTCAATAAATTCTCCATCGTAACCTTTTCTTCAGCCAGAAAGGATAGACCCAACAGGTAACCCTTCACAATATGACATCAGATCTGATGTTTGGTCATTAGGTATATCTCTTGTTGAATTAGCAACAGGAAAATTTCCCTATGAATCTTGGGGAACACCATTTGAACAATTAAAGCAAGTTGTAAAAGATGAAGCACCAAAGCTACCAGCTGGTAAATTTTCCACCAGTTTTGATGAATTTATTACTAAATGGTAAAATCAATTATTTTTAATGTTTAATTTTTAAATTTATTATATATACATGTGTGTGTATATATATATATATATATATATATATATATATATAGCTTAATTAATAATTATTTTTTCAGTTTAATGAAAGATTATACTGCCCGTCCAAATTATAATCAACTATTAAAACTTGAGTTCATCACAGAGCATGCCAAAAAGGACACAAATGTTGCTGAATTTGTTGGAGAAATTTTGGATCTACCCGAAGTTGAGTAATCAGTATAATATACAAATATTTTTGACATGGTGTGTTACATGATTTAATATAAAAAACTTCGTATTGTGTATCGAAGTTTTATTAGTTCTCTATATTTGTCTTCGTGTCATATTATCACACATACACTATAAACAAATTCAAGTATAACATGAAACGTAATATGTGTAACTTTTGTCTAAAAAATCATTTCTTCAAAAGTTCACATTTTTGTTTATTCAATATGTAACCTATGTATAATTTTTATTAATAATCTCTTCAGATTAATAATTATTCTTTCAAGGAAGAGTAAAACCATGTAAATAATATACAAATATTTTCTCACGATATAATGATAGTTTGTTATTGTAATAATGTAGTAAATAAAATCCAAATTATAAAGACTTGATTAAGTTAGGTATGATATTTCTATATAACACATTCTATACAACACCATGATAATAAATTAATGATATTAGTTATAAGTAACTTGAACAATAACTAAAAAAATGTTCACTTATGAGAAAAAGTTATACAAAAACTATCTAGCTTTTTAGAGAAGTTTGAATAGAAAAAACTAAATACATTTTTCATTTATACATATCTATTGTAATAGTATAACAGGTACTAATAAATACACTTGTGTGATATATCACACAACATAAAATGTAGGTCAGTACAAAAGCGTTGTTTTAAGCATTGAGGAATTAAATAATTTTTTATTTACTGTAATAGTAGAGCAAAATAATAAAAAATTAATTTAATATTATTTTTTTTAGTGTAAAATTATTTTTGCAATACACATTGAAAAAATTAATTTTTTAAGATTAAAATTTTTTTCTTTTAATTATTTAATGTAAAAAATTAGTAGTTGTATATAATATGCATAATCATATCTAATTAAAAAAAATATAGATTTATTAATATATTTCATATAAAAGTTTTTAACAAAAAAATAGCTGAAGATTTTATTACATATTATACAAATATTATTAACATAATATATTGTGTTTGTGACGTTATATATATATATATATATATACACACTTAAGAAATGAATGGGGAAATTAAATAAAACAAGTATATACAAATGTTTTGTGCCTTTTACAATTATTTTTTACATGGGAATGATAAAATACATATGCACATGCATAATATGACAAATTTAAATCTATTTTCAGTTTTTAATATTTCAGTTTTTAAGAAATTGGTGGCATTAGATTCACTCCTTTACATTCAACAGCAATCTTTACGCCTAGTATAAATAAACCGATACTTTTAACTATTGACCTGTAAATAAGAAATTGTGCGTAACTATTTACATAATGAATTTTATTTTTATTTAACAGCAAATATAATAATTACAAATTTTAATAAATAACGTGCACTACACAAGATTAGATGATCATAAAATTTAACTGGGAGGTTATATAGCAAATAAAGAAATTTTTTTATTACATACCATTTAAAAGGATCATAATAAATATTCTTTACGAATTTTATAACACGTGCCATTGTGATTTCTATTTTTGAAAAATCAATTTTCACTTATTTCAATTGTTTCCAATAAAAGGGTTTGATCGAATTAATCCGAAAATATAGTACCGATTAATTCGAGTACCAATAGAAACATGAAGCTTAAAGTTATTTCTAATGAACTACATATAAGAAGGGTACACAATTAAAAATTTAAAGTTATTTATTATTATTTATGACATACTTACTGAATAACTTTATATAAATAATAGAATTTTTGAATTCATTAGTATATTTAGTCGAAAATAAAATTATAATTAATTATATTTTATTTTTTAAATTACTTTAATGATTTTACGAAAATCGTCTATATCGTAAAAATAAATGCGGGATAAATAATATTTAACAAATAAATTTGCATTTTCTACACACAAATTAAATCATGTGATAAGAAAGATAACACTAATTTTAATTTTTTTTTATGCAGTATGTTGGTAATACAAATTGTTATACAAATATCTAATTCATATAGAGTGAAGTGCAATGCGGTAGATGACGAATGAGATTCAAATGACTTGATGATAAAAAAAAGTTAAAGAAGGTGAATAAATTTAATCTCTAATCTGTTCTATTTAGTGTAATTCTTCAAACGGAATCACGTTTTTACTATTAGTATATTTTCCTCAATATATGAAAATATTTTTTCCTTTTGTTCCTTTTATGTTTGTGTAATTACTGCTATTGAATTATTGAATACAATTTATCCCTTTAATTAATTAAATGAAATATATATTTACCTATATGTTTTTGTAGCACTTTTCCCTCGATGCCAAATCGAAACGAAAAGAAAGGTGTCAAATTATTTTGGATGATATGAAGGAAGCTTTTCTGGTATAAAAAATTGAAATACAAAAGAATACTTATAATCTGCTAGCAGTAACCATTTTATGTATTGTGATGACTTTGGAAGAAACAAAATTTATTTAATAACATGTTAGAGGACGGATGTAGCACCATTGTTCTATGTGCATTGTTTTCTATATTTTTTATACTTATATTACATCTCTTCCGATATCTTGTAAAAGAGCCACATATTCATATTAGAGATGTTACCAAAGAGCATAATTGGAAAGCTATTAAAAGAGAAACAAAGGTATGTATGTATCAATGTATATGTATATATATATTTTTATAAACATTTAACTCATTTTTATTTATACATGGAAAATTCATCATTATCATCATAGTGATGTAAGTTAAGATTTTGAGAATTTGAATTTTGTAATGTATTTTAATTTTTGCAATTATTATTTCTTTAGTATCATAGTTAATTAAATTATAACTTCATCTTTTGCCATTATGTAATGAATAATTTGGGTATAATTCGGATATATTTTAGGTATTAATCGATCAATGCTAATAATTTGATTTGTAATTATCATTTTTATCAATCATATTGAAGAAATGAAACGTTATATTTTTTTTTTGTAAAATATTCTAATTTTAATATCATGTAATTGTGTATATCTAAATTAATTTAATTATTTATGATAATAAGTATATACATTATTGTATATATTGTGTATATGTATATATATACTGTGTATTTGCTTCATTTTTAATGTAAATATACATTAATGTGAATGTTATCGATTATAAAAATAAAATTATTTATAATTAGTTTTTGAGTATGACTCAAATCTGAACTTGATTGAATATGAATCAGTTGAAATAAGCAATTTAATAATCATTTTAGACAGCATTAATTTAGAATGCTAAATATAAAATTTAGATTATAACGAGTACATGTATATGTATGTATGTATATGAATGTGTATGTGATTATATATAATATACAAAAGTTAAGAGTATTGCTTCTAGGCATATTACTGTAGCATTTGTGAAAGCTTATTATTGAATATTAGTGGTTTAATCTGTGATTCATGTGGTGTTTGCGCGGATCCTACATGTGTCAAGATTGCAGATAAACAATTAAAATGCAAACTTATTACTGTAAACACAAATGAGCCAATGAAACATCATTGGATAAAGGGTATGTTTTATCTTCTTATGTTTGTATATTTTATAAGTAGTATTTAAAAATTAAATTATTTATTTTATTTTTTGAATATCAGGTATTACTTAAATTAAGGTACTAAATTATTTAAATTAAATCACTAAATTATTTAAGTTAATTTGTGCTCATTTCATAAGGTAATTTACCTCTAAATGTTATGTGTGACATATGTAATGAAGAATGTGATGTGGAACCTGGACAAACAGATTGGTGGTGTTGTTGGTGTCAAAGATGTGTCCATGATAACTGCAAATCTAAGCTTTCTAAAGTATATTCCTTCTAATATTTTTTACAATTATGTACAATTTATAAAAATTATTAATTAATTAATTGTATATTAATTATTATCTCAAAAAATTTTTCAGATATGTGATTTTGGTAAATTTAGATTAATGATAATTCCACCAAGTAGTTTAGAGGTAATAAATTTACGAAGTACTGTAAGACGTAGACTATATCTTTGTTCAATTATACCTCCAAGTTGGCCTCAGTGGAATCCTCTTATAGTTGTTGGTAAGTTAATATAATAAAATTATAATAATATTATAATCATATAATTATACGTTCAAAATAATTTTTTGGAAATTGTAGTTCGACTTAAAAAATTTATTTTCAGCAAATAAAAAATCTGGCAATAATGATGGAGCAGAAATCTTATCTTTGTTTAGAAGGTTATTAAATCCTGCACAAGTTGTTGATTTATCAGAACGTGATCCAGTTGCTGTTTTAGAATGGTGTCGTTTACTTGGGAAAGTAACATGTACAGTGCTTGTTGCAGGTGGAGATGGAACAATAGCTTGGTTATTGAATGCCATTCATAAACTTGGATTGGAGGTAATATTTCTACACATATATATTTTATAAATTAAGTTAAATTTATGTATATGTGTTTCATTATTTGTTAAACTACCAACAATTTCTTTATTTAAAAAAAAGGAATATATTTTTACATTTTTTTCTAATGGAGATTGCAATTTTATTATTTTTTAACATATGATGACAGAAAATATTTCATATAACAGATCAATATTTCACATAACAGATATATGAATTAATATCTTTATCTGTAACAGGCAGTTCCATCTGTAGCAATAATCCCATTGGGAACGGGAAATGATTTATCAAGAGTACTAGGGTGGGGAAAAGAGCATGATCCAAATAAGGATCCTAGAGATATTTTACAAGAGATACAACTAGCACAAAAAATCGAACTTGATAGGTGCACACGAAATGTTCAATATAATCTGTTTTAAATTATTTCTGATATGTATAATTAATTAAATATTTTATTAGATGGACTGTGACAGTTAAACCATATGGTGGATTAGGACTTAGAAGTTCACAACAAGTATTTTACATGTATAACTATTTAAGTGTGGGAGTAGATGCACAAGTAACACTAAATTTTCATCGTACAAGAGAAAGTCGGTTTTATTTTTATAGCAGTAGATTATTCAATAAGGTACTTTCTGTTTTATTAAATATTTACTTATATTATGTAAAATGATACGTGATTTGCGTCTTTAATAGCTACTATAAATTTTAGCTACTATATTTATGCTTTGGAATGCAACAAGTAGTTGAACGAGACTGTAAAAATCTTAATAAAAATATAGAATTATATTTGGATGATGAAAAAGTGGATTTACCATCCATCGAAAGTATCGTAATATTAAACATCCCATCATGGGCTGCTGGAGTTGATTTGTGGAATATGGGATTAGAAGGTACTTATACTTTTTATATATAACATAATTGAGAAAATGTGAATATCTTGAATATTGAATAGGCTATGAAAAATATGGAAAACAAAGCATCAATGATGGTAAATTAGAAGTAGTAGCACTTTATTCTTCATTTCATATGGCTCAACTTCAAGTAGGATTATCTCAACCTTATCGACTTGGACAAGCTAGCAGTATAAAGGTATTTTAAAATTTATTTAAATTAATAGATTAAACTTTTAAAAAGATTTTAAAAGGAATAAATAGGTGAAAATATATATTTTATATCTATTGTTTATTATATGTCTATTGTTTTACAAACATTTTATAAAATACAGGTAAAAATAATAAAGTCTTGCGCTATGCAAATTGATGGTGAACCATGGTACCAACATCCTTGTGAATTCAATATTAAATATTGTAATAAAGCAACCATGCTTGTAAACACAGATAAGAAAACTATCTAATTCTTTCTTTTCGAAATATAAGAGGTTTCAGTTACCCGTACATTCCAAAGTTTGGCTTTAAATGGAAAAAAATTTGCTATATTTTATGAATAAAAAAATATAAACAAATATGATAAAGGTAAAGGTATGATATAAATTATTTTTTATGTATATGAATTGTATTTTTACATTTTATCAGTTATATATTTTAAATTTTATTATTAATCTGTGTTATTAAATTTTGAAATAAAAAATATATATTAATATTGTTTTCAGATACGTGATTGTTTATTTTTATCTATTTTCCTTAATATAAGAAAAGCCTAAGTTAGTTATATATTATGCACTTATAATGAGTTATAATAAATCATTATTAAATATATTTATTTGCAATGAATGTTTATAGTTGAACTTCATGAAATTTTGGAAACCTACTTTGTACTCAGTGGCATAATTGTATATTGTGTAACAGTGCACATGTTAAATTTTACAGTTTATTCTTACAGGTTATTACATATTGTTTTTTGAAATATTTTTTACAATTAGTTTTTTAACGATGTTAGTTGGTAGTATACTAACTCTACAAGAATTTTACGTAAGTTTAAATACGCTATTATTACGTAAGTTTAAATCTTAATCTTTTGTTTGATATTATACAAAATGAATCGTATAATTTATGTTTCAGTTTTGACTAACGAATCTTTTATTTATATTTGTTTTATCATTTAATTAACTTTGGCATTTTTAAAGTAATTTCAAATTAATTTACTAATTTTATGTAATGAATATTGAAACAAATTGAGACAAGTGTTTTTTAATTCTAATAACGAATGAAGTATGTTGCAGAAAAAATTAATTATGGTATTCTACAAACATCAGTGATCAAAATTTTGTTTATATTTAGCAATTCGAGAAAGTAATTAACAAAACACAGGAATTATCAGATTATATTGTGAATTATTATACATTTGAAATTAGTCGAATATCGAATTCTGATTACAAATTTGACTATCGTTGATTTATTTAACGAAATGATGACGATAATTTAACTATGACAGAACGTCAAATAAATTTTCTTGTTGTATTAATGACAATTTGGTTGATGCATGAAACGGCAAGAATTATGAACAACATGAAATAAAATTTTTGTACTTGGATGGTATTATTGAAAAGATCATACTGATTCTTCAACAAGAAAAAATTAAGTAACATTCAACAACATAATATTACACAATGGAAAATTTAGTTGTAGATGAAGATGTATCATTACTTTTAGAAAAAAATTGATGATAAACAGGAATTTTATAAATATATCTCGTAGTACAGTGTAATTCTCTTTTTAAAAAGTTTAAAATGATTCTTTTCTGAAGCTAAAACCGAATTGATCACATTTATAACGTAAAATTCTTGCCAGTTGCGGTGGGCCACAATAGAAGACCGTCACTTTACCTTTTTTCTGTTCTTGAAGCTGTTTGAATACCTTATCCCAATTTGGTCGGCCAGCGTTTGTCCGTGTTTTCAAACCTGTTATAAGATCCCGCTTTTCCTGAAAAATTAAACTATTTATTTATATGGAATCATCTAAGTCTTCGTTGTATAAAATCATCATCTTCGTTTTAATTCTTTCACTACGAAATGTATGTAAGTATATATACATATGAAAAAATACATATACAGTTATTTGTATTGTGGTTTTTATAATATTTTAAAATCATCGGATATAATTTAATTTTGCAATTACTTAATATTGCAAATTTATAGAGAGATCTTTAAATCTTTATAATCTTTATAAGAGACGGAATAAAATAAAAAGAATCTTATCAACAGTAATAAAAATTGTCTTGTTTTACAAGCCAATAAAAGTTCCTAACTTTCATAATGAAGGAATTAAGATTATTCTAGAGTATTTATTTGTAATACACTCTTGGGAAGAAATTTTTTGAGAAGAGAATAGGAATTTATTGGTTTCGAACCATTTGATGAACTAAGTCCATAGCTAATTGTAAAGTAACAGCTTTCATATCATTTTTCTGCAAAGCACTGGTAATATACATGTGCATCTCAAGAAAACGTTCCATAGCAACGCCTAACTCTGCTTGTTCCATTTCTAGTTGGGATAATAAATTCACAAACCACTCGAAGGATCGTTGATCTCTATTAATCCAGAAAAAGTCTACCTATAAATGAAACAAATATCAAACTAATATTATAAAATTAATATGTGCTATAATTATATTAAACTAATTTTATAAAATTAATATATGCTTCAAAGATTTAAAAGCTTTTAAAAATAAATTTATTGAATTAAAGAACCATTAATATTTGCTTTTAAAATACATCGATCTTATGATAACGGTATAATTTCATATAATTATATATCATGAAATTATATTTATTATATGAAACAAATGTTGGAAATATTAAATAAATTCTTACTTTTCGAAGATGCATCACAGTGGGAGGAATTTCACTGGCCCAAGAAAATTTGCATTTTGGACAAGTATGCCTGGCTTTCCAGTAACGATGCATAATTGATTGTAATATTGAAGCGAAAGGTGTTACTCCAATTCCTGTTGCGATTAAAACTGCGTGTTGCGCTTGAAATATATAACTTGAAGGAGCTCCATATGGTCCATCCAAAAAGATCTGAATAATAATTAATTATTAATTAAATTTTCAACTTTCCTGAATTCATCGGTTGTAAGTTATTAAGTCATTAATTAATTTCATAATTATTTTTATTATAACTATTTTTACTAATACATTTTAATTAAATTTCAAATTTTTTAATTAAGAGCGTAATAAGAAACAGGAAAATTGTGATCTTAAAATTAAAATTTTACATATTTATACCTCCAATGGCTTTCCAACGGTATAGTTTAGTGCTAAACGTGAATCAGATTTGATATCATCATCAGAATTTCTGTTTGAAGTCTCTTGGAGTCTGCCTTCCTCTGCTGCTTGAATTATATTTAGATTGTTCGATGATTTTCTTCTGTATTCATCTGTAGTTGTTTGTGATGCTGTTTTATTAAGGATTTTATCAATTTATATTCTTATATATCAGAAGTTTTTTTTTTCTACAATGTAAAACATTTAAATTTTTTGGAAATCACATTAGAAAAAACTAAATAGAAAACAAGTGAAGCTAGTCTACATATATATGTATTTTTACTGTTTTTTTACTGAAACAGAAAATTACTATTTACTTTAAAAAAACTTTAATTTTGAGAAATGTCGAAACATGTTGACTTACTATATTCATTTATAGATGTTCTTGATTCTGATTCATAATTTTCCAGACTTGGAGTCTTGAAAGCAATTATAGTGGGTTTGTTCCGCATATATCGGAAGCTTTGAGCCAATTCCTTATTCTGCGGGCTGGAATAAATCTGGTCTAAAGATTTTAAACGCGCATGTTGCATTTGACGGTCGTTGAAGTTTCTTTCTGATTCTGATCTCGTATAATCACGAAGGCTATAGCAAATAACGTAAAATTAGTGGAAATAATGATATTTCATATTCTTTAATATTTGAAAGGATATTTTGAGATATTAATTACTCACACTGTTAATCTGTCATTTTTCTTCTCTTCTGGCAGCATATTAGGTACTGAAATAGACTTTTCTAAAGGCATTTTACTAACAAATAAAGAGTGATGAAGTTTCTTCTCGTTCGAGATTTTATTAATATCTGCTATATCTGCAAATGAAAAGAATTAATTTTGAAATAGAATATTAGTAATAATTTTTAGTAATAATAATTTTTTATTGATACCAATTGCAGATTGTGGCGAGTGCGTTATTTTTTCATTATTAGAAACAAATACAGGATTGTCGAAACCACGATGATTTCTGTTTGTTTTAGTGGACGAAAGTATCTTGTCATTCGCCGTTAGTTTTTGTTCTTCGTTAAGATATCTGTATTTAAAAAAAATTAAGAAACAGTTAAAAATAATGTTTCATTTTTCATTTATAGTTAGAGTTTTAGTAGGTCGACCAATAAACAGAATTGTGGGAAACTCACATTTTCTTCGGAGTATTAGTGTTGCTGCAATTTTTGTTAGAAAATATACTGTTCCTCTGAAGTTTCACTTGTTCTTTGTCAAAATATGAGTAAAGGCTATTCGTCCATTCACCTACCGCTCGTATGTGTAGCCAAATATATCCTGTAAAAACGAAATACTTGAAATATTTGTTGACCTTCTTACTTGATCAAACATATTGCCTAAATAAGATATGAATATTTGTTTAAATTCAAATAAAAAGTGAGATGGCATAATATGAATTATTATTAGAGAGCGGATATTTGTGCAAATTTACATTATTACAAAATATATTAAAAGAGTATTTTTATAATAATTTTTAATATCTAGAGAAAAATACTCTTTTAATATATTTTGTAATAATGTAAATTTGCACAAATATCCGCTTATTTGTATTAATTTGTATTTTACACACATGCATTCTATCAATTTTTATATCTTTTAATTTTGTATAAATACAAATACAAAATTTGCAATCTAATAATTGCTAATTCTGGATTAATTATTTAAAATAAATTTTTTAAACCTTCTTGTTCTGGCGCACTGCTAATAGTGAAAGGATGCCATTCATAACGAGCTATAACCGGAATATTGACGAAAACATAATCGCCGGGATGAAAGACGAAATGTGGAGGTTTCTTGATGACTAAATGAGTCACTTTCGATGGCAACAAAAGGCCTGAACTTATGTATGTTTTTCCTAATTGTGACCGAGACCAGGCAATTCGACGTATTTTTTCCAACAAATACATGATGCCTGGACCTACGAACCATTTCCAGAAATTCGGTCCATGTAATATCATCAATATCCAGAATGGTACGTATAATAAGTGTGACCAGTAAAATACCTGTAAAATATTAATATTAATTATTCATTAATTCAACTCTATATAGAATGATCATTACTTTGGACTTCCTTCAAAAGTTATTGTTCCACACACTTAATTTTTTTCTCAAATATGATTTAACATTTGCAGTGTTAAGAAAAGTTGCTTATCACCTCGAAACATCCACCACGTCGAACAAACGGCATGGAGCACATCATTATTATGACAAGAAGAATGATAAGAATAATTCCAGTTGGATTTGCGAAGCCTTCTACAAGTCCAAATAGAGCTGGACGACTTGTTAACAACCATTCAGATATTGTATAATTATTGGAATTAAGAATTTCGTCATATACCACGATAGTACCTGGAAACATTTAACAAAATTTTCAAGTACAATTTCGTTAGATCACAATTGACATTTGAATGGACATTGTAGAAGATTAAGAAACGATTTTTAAAATATTTTCAAAAATTCAATAGAATTTTACAATCTGTTGTACTTTGTTCTAAAAAGAAAAGCTTGAATTTTATTTTGTTTTAAATACTATAAAATAATAAAATAATAGCGCACCAAAATTGAGAAGATGCATCAGTGTATGTACTATACTGAAGATACCGATTAGAATTCCAGTTAGCTTATGAAGATAGATGTGTTGATCCAATGGTAATACAGAATTGAAACCATGAGTTCGTAGAAAGGTAATGCACTGACGCAATATAAGAACCAAGATAAAACTGCAGTTGAAATTTAAGCACTGACCTGTTTTAATAATAAAATAACTATATTTGCATGTATTTAGAAAATAGATACATTCAAATAGATAATTGCTTGTATTTGGAAAATAAACAAATTCAAATGCTTTGCTATGTCAACTTCTGTCATAATTTTGTAAAGCGAAAATATAAACGAGATTCCATATGATCTATTTCAGGTTTTTGAAAAGACGAGAGACTTACCACAGGCACGCGCAAGCATGACATAGCCATTAGATGTTCTATATTCGTAGAGCCTTGTTACGAATAAGGCCATATTGATTGAGATGAAGATTGAGATGAAAAGGATATAAACATAATTGTTCTTCACATATGGCTTCGTTAATTGATAAGGGCGCAACGAGGTAAGGAATTCTAAGTGTGATTTTTGCTTCATTTCTGGTTTTGGCGGTACTAGCCATCGGTCAATACTGTGATTTAATATTTGGTTTTAATAATTTAATATTTAAATTTTTAACTTAAATTTATTTTTTTATAAATTATAATTTCTAATAATTTATAAATTACAATTTCTACTATATTCTCCTGTAAATTAGTATAGCGATCATTTATTTTAATTTGTATTAATTAACGCTTTTGGCAATCTTGATTTGTTAATTAAACAGAACATCTTTTGGTACAGAATAAAGATAACAGAACAGGATGATTTTGAAGTAAAACTCAGTTCACCTAATCGATAGATTTTCTAATAATCCTTCATGTTTCTCCAATTGTTTTTTCAAAGCTTCAAACGTGATGGCACCTCGATTAGCTTGATCAGCATCATCAAATAACGCTATAGTCAATTCCTTAATTTGTTCCTCATTAAATTGTATTCCATTTTCTTCCATACAAACTCTCATCACGTGTTCCAATTCACGAAGTTGTATCAATCCGTCACCTTTTCTCAAATAATAAATTTATAAGTTTGATCGTCTCAAACAATTTGACGTCATAACAATTTGACATAATTGTCTAAAATTTACTTTAGTATTTAGATAAATTCATAATATTATTTTACCGTCTATGTCGTAAACCTTAAAAAGAAATTTGATTTTATCGTCAGGACTTTTTCCCGCAAACTGATGCATTGCATCGAGGAATTCTTGAAGTGATATCGTTCCAGAATTATCCTTGTCGAAAATTTGGAATACTCTATCAGTGAAAAACGGCTGAAAGAAATTACATTGTCGTTAAATTTTAACATCTTTTGAGAATTTATGATTATATGATATTTTATGTTATAAAATCAATTAAATAGAAATCTAAACGGAAAGTAAATTCAAAGGGAAGAATATTAAACTGCAAATTCGAAATGAAAAATACTTATGCCTCCTGCCTACGTTCTTCGAAATGACGATTTTGTTAAATTCTTCGCGTCTGATTTCCTTTTCATTGCCCACCGTCTGTTTAAAAAGCTTTCCCAGCCATTCCAAACTGTGCTCGTCGAAACCAGCGAGTGGTCTTCGAAAAAATTATTGATAAATATTTCAGAGATATTAAAAAAATGGTGTCATCATTAATAAAATCTGCGCTAGATAATTGCTAATGCTAGCATTACCTTGTATCACTGATGCTTGCGAGAAATTCCATTATTTGAAAGGATGTGACATATCCTAAATTTTCTTGATCAATTCGTCGAAATAATTTATCTACGATCTGTAACATAGGTGTCCTAACAAACATATGACCAAATGCAAGTCGAGTTATGTGTAATTAAATGTAATATTTATTATTCAAGTCATTGACATTTGGTTATTGTGTAAATAAGTAGGTATTCAGAAAAAGATTTTTAAATGCTCTTTATTCTTGAATGAAAAATTGGAAAAAGTGTATACTGCGCTATTTATAATAAAACTGAAATATGAGCATTGATTAATATATTGACACTTACCTCTTTAGTAGAAAATATTTGTTGAAATTTCGAGAAAGTTATTGGATTATCACCACATATACTATATGTAACGTTCTCGAGTTGGAGAATAAAATCGTTTGGTTTGTCATTTCTATTAAAACGTATAAAACAATAAATATAAGTATTTATTTATAACAAGATTTCATAGATATATAGTAGCTCTTACTTCAATCTTCCTTTTAAGAATTCGATCCATTCATCTTGCGTCAATATTTTATCCTGATTTTGATCGAATAATGAAAATATTTTCTCCATCAAGGTCTGAAATTTATTTTTTCAAATTTTTACCTCAAATTTCTGTAATAATCTGTAATAACGTGTGTGTACATATATATATATATATATATATATATATATATATATATATATATATATATATATATATATATATATATATATATATATACAATACTGTTCTGTCCGAATAAAACTGTGCTACTATCGCTTTACGAATAGATAAGCAATACGTCTTAAAACTTTTATTTTCGTGTCTTGATAAATTTAAGTCGTAAGAAAAAGAAGACTCCTTCTTTTTCATATTTACTTATTTTATAATACACTGAAAAGATTAATTCATACTGAATGATTCTTCATCTCATCTTTAATTCATCAAGTAAAAATTGGTCGATCACGGCTACGATTGAATAATGAGCATTGCCGGAGGCGTAAAGGCTCGTTAGCTACGGGCAATCAGCCACCTTGATCGAAATCTCTAGCCCTCGACAGTTCCCACCGCCGTTACCTCCGGTTCCATTTCCATACTCTCTCTGTTTCCTTCTCTCTATCCTTTTCTTCCAGTGAATGGATTCTTCGGTCTTAAATCATTTCTCTGCTCAATAACAATTTAACCTTGGTGTTTTTGCTTTCAATAGTAGCACGACCTTGTCTTATTTTTCATTGTTTTGTCCCTTTAGAGATTCTCTGAAGAGCTCTTCAGTATGCGAACTTCTTTTTAGATTAGAAAATTACATGTTTATAATTGCTTCGATTTCAATTTGCATGAATAACAGATACATTGATATAGACATGGTATCTACCATGCTTCGTGACATTCTGACAGTATATTTTCAGTGACGATTAATTCTTAATTGCGGTAGAAGATTTCACGGGAGTTTTCTTGTGTAGTAAGGTATGTTAGAACGCATTAATTGGTTCTAGCACTAGTACACGTATTAAAATATCCTTTAGAATAGTTCATTTTTAGAAGACTTTAATATAACATATAAAAATAATATAAAATTAATGCTTGCATACACAGACATCACTTATGACATTATTACTTAGGACATTATTTATATTTCATTATATATATTACCTAATTTAGAGCTACTGATTTGGATAACGAACAGATTAGAGATAGTTTCAAAATTTTAATTAAAATATTCCCTTCCGATTGACTCGATTATTAAAAAGATAAAATATTTACCGGATCCAGCAAAAGTTGTTTAAACGCTTCTCTGTTGTAACGAGCCGCGTCGTTCACCCCGATTATATGGGAACATTCTTCCAAGGTTGTCACTCTCCTCCTTTCGATTGATTCCTCCTCCATATGGCCAACATCGTTTTCCATTTTAAAAAAATTTTTCTCACAATTTTGACTAAATAATAAATAATTCCTACTAAAAAACTTTTATAATAAATAGAAAAAGAATAGACATGTTGCTGTACGCATCACATTTATAAAAAAAGATATAAAAGAAATCACTTAATAAAACACAATCATATTATTTTTATAAAATCTTAATATCTCAGGGAATATTTAAGTTAACAAATCGAATCGTTTCACTTGAGATTCTTGTTTATTTTTTCAACCATATATCCGGTTGAAATTTTTTATTAACACTTTACAAAGAATTTTTTATTTTGATCATAAAAACAGTATTTTTTTAAATAACCGTATACAGCTTTTTAGTCGATTAATTTATTTAATACTTTATTACTTATTATTTGTATTTAATTACTTTAGAAGAAATACTTTATCGGTTAAATGATATATCAGAATCACACCCTTGTTTACAACTCACTGCGCGACGCGATCGGCTGATAGACGCGAACTGACGAACGAAAATCGGTTGAGAAATCCGATCGTTTCTGTTAAATCTGTTCTGTCGAGAATTTTCAGATCTCTGAGACAGAAAAGGAGGGATATGCCTCTTGATTTTAATAAAGATCATGCGTTCAAACGGAGAAGCAGATAGAGGCATAAACAGTGAACCTTTCACTTCTTTGTGAGTCCTCGTTTCTCTTTTCATCCTTTCCATTTCTTTTTCTCTGCCTACTTTCTTCTTTTTCAATCTTTTTTCTCGTTTAATACTCTTTACCATTGCTCCTTTCTCCTTTGGTAATCCTTCAATACATGCCGCTAGTTTTATAAGGGATTTCATGTTTGTATAATTCTGTTATGATTAATCCTTTCAGTGTATAGAGGATTTAGCATAAATAGATAATAGTAAGGATTTAGTGTAGATAGATAATAATAAGAATTTAGTATAGATAGATAATAAGTAAACTGTTGAACATATCTTCTATTTTGACGGTTTGAAATCTTTAGTTTCATGACGAAACTTGATTTTCAGGTTTTAATACAAGTATTCGAATTTTAAAATACCTTTAGCCTGTTAAAGCTAAATACAGCCAAAATCTGTAACTTAAACTTTAGTATTTAACATCTACGTATGTGAAAATTATATTAAAAAAGTGATTCAGTGAAATGAACTTGAATTTATCAGACTTCTATTTTTAAAACTATTTAATAAATAATTTATTTCCAACGACAAATACTTCGCTTCAATTGAATGATCTTTTATACGAATTCCAAATGTCTTTTTTTCAGTGCTAGTACATAAAATGATTAATTAATAAGCATATGTTACATGATTACATCCGGTGGTTTTTCATTTTTCACATAAAGCTATATAGTATAGGTGGTTTTCATAAATTTTCATAAACCGACATTAGCCGTTCGAATGTTCTTTCGTTTCACATTTGATTACAGATTTAATTGTAGACTACGATTGAAATTTAAATAGCATAAAACAATTATTATATAATATTGTTCCATAATATTATTATTATACATTGATATTACGGCGGCTATACTTCTCGAAAGAACTTTCTGCAATTAAGATGAAAATTGAAGTTGGTCTAGAATAATTTAATTTTTGTGAATGCAGATGGCCACAACACTTACTTGTACAAAAGGAAATAAAGACTTGGATCTTTTCATTGAGGTGTTTGATTACAGTAGTAATATTGTAAGTATTATCTATTATAATCCAAAAAATGTTAACACTCAAATATTAACATTTTGCAATTATTTCATTCACACAATTCTGTATCATTCAAAAGCACAATTAGTATTCGACGATCCTTGGACATAACAATCGTTATTTCATTAAATACTTGATAAATGCTTGTAAATTTTTTGTATTAAAATCATAAGCACAGAAAACAAATTATGATTTTTATTGAAAGTTATCTTGACATAGATTGAACAGCCAATTCGCTGTGGGATAAAAAATAAAAAGTATCCAGATGCGCGTTAGAATATTCATTTGATTGTCAATCTCAAGGTGTTAGAATTAGTTCAGTTTCTTACTGGAAATATGGCAATATAAAAAATAACAGTTCGATTCTCCGATACGATTATGCCTAGAACTGGTACCGGAAATATGGAATCAATCAATATGGAACACATTAATTTTTAATTAATGTTATACGTATGTTTTTATATCGTTTTTTATAATTGTTAATCAATCAACAATTTAATAATATTTAATCGACAAATTAATAAATAATCTTGGAATTACTAAGAATTGTTAACAATTTTTGGTAATTTTAAGATAAAAATTAAGATTGATGACGATATAAGATTATTGGATAAAAAAAAATTCAAAGGCTATGTTATATTTAAATTAATTGATCCTTTATTTTAGCTTTATATATTGTTTATTACTTATATTATAGCATATATATCTTATATATTATGAGAAACAAATTTTAGATACAGAAATTAGATATAAAACAGAAAAAAGAAACCAAACAATTAAAAAGAAATTTTATTGAATTTAATTTCATGTTTCATTATGTTTTGTTATATCATTAATAAATATATTAACACATTGCTGACACATCACAACTCGTTTTTTCATATAAAATTTGCTGGTCAACAATGTATTAAAATATTGAAACGTTTATAAAACGTTAAAAATGCAACTAAAAAATAAATAAAAAATAATTTTTGTAACAAAATATACTTTTGAATATAAAGTATCATTTAATCACTTTTCTTATCACCACTTGATTGCAGACATTTGCTATGTTCATCATTTAAACGATCATACTCCTTTGTAAGAGATTCTGCTTGTGATTTTATAGCTTCTTTATCTTTTTTTTCTTTTGTAAGTTGATTTTCCAATTCTTGATTTTTGGTTTGCAATTCTTTAATTTGATTTTTCCACTCTGATATTTCTTCATCGTGAGCTGCATTTGAGTCAGTTTTCCCAATTGGTTTTTGTGACAGCAAATGTTTTGCTGTTGTAGTAGCAGATTCAGCTTGCCGCAGAGCTGCTTCATTTTGTGCTAACAGAGTGGCTTGAGTAGAAATTAAAATCACAAGGCGATGTATAACAAGACTTAAGAACAATGAGAAACCAGATAGATAAAAGTTTCGTTCTGCTCTGAATAATCTCATATTACCTATATAAAATGGTAGTAACATTACAAATAAATTCTCAAAATAGACAAAAAATATCAAATACATAAATACATACCTTGCATTTCAGTATCTAAATGATGGTCTTTATGCTCATCAAGAGAAGTAGAATATTTTCGCATTTCTCTAATAGCATCCAATAAAAATAAGACTAATATTCCAAGTAAAATTAAAAAATACATCGATGCTTGATTACTTAAACTTTTTAAAAATCTAGATTTAAAAAGTTTTTGCCATGATTTAGGTGAAATAATTGGTAGTATTAATAATAAAACTACTGCAATTTCAAGATATAAAAATGCAGCAATTAAAGTCCACTGCAAGCTCATGTTTGTTTGTTTCTTTAACGTATGTATATATCTAAAATATTATAAAAAAAAACTATTAATATCAATGATATATACAAAAATAAATAATCATAAATAATGATATAAATATTAACTAAATAACTGAATGTTCACCTTCTCCATTAACAATTTAAACAAATATAAGTAAAAACATGATTGTAGGAAGTGTAAAGTGAAAATGTCGAATTCATATTGTCACATAATAACAATTTAATAAAAATTATGTGATTAGTTATTTATAACATAATGATCATAAAATTTTTTAGAGTGAAAACAAAGTTTCAAGAAGATTAGTAAATATTTGCATATTCCATTTTTTCGAATAATATTTATCTCCAGATACGTATAACAAGAAATATATTTTCCGTTTAAAATATATTTTTTTTTATCTTTAAATGTATGTACACAAACATTTATATACTTACACGAATAATATAAAAATATATTTGAGATTTAAACTAACTTCTTAAGTAGAAAGATTTGTTGACTCATCAACAGGATTGCCAATATTTAGACTTGATAATTTATTTATTTATCGAGTCCAAAGTTTCTCAATATTTAATAATAAAACAGTATATTATATATCATATTTATATTATACGATATATCAATGAAACGATTCATCAATTTGAATTAATTGGAAAATGATTTGTAGCACTCACTGTGTTAATTCTTAGCAGTCGAAGAGCTTTCTATGTGAATACTGACAGAATAGATTTGTGGTGAACAATCAAAAGAAATATAATATAATGTAATATAATCTTATCGCCAAAAAGTCACTTCACTTTAAATAAAGACTAAAACATGCAGTATCGAATTGTCTTTTCTAGCAACTCAACGATAAGAATGTTTTGCCAGGAACATACCGGCTTTCGACTGCCAAAGGTTAAGAATTTCAGTGTTTTCAATAATTGGCAAAAGTTAATTGTTTTTAGTCTAACTATAATATACCAAATGTGCCAAATTGGCTAGTATTCATTACGATTGTTGAATTAAATTAAAAGACATGATTTTATGAGAGAAATCATTCTTTTCGAAATACATACCAATAATAAGTAATCGGTGACTTTACATATAGCGTAAGAATAGATGGTACAAAATACGCATCTATTTTACACGTTTTATGTACACTTTGTTTAAAGTGAATTAAATCTTAAATTTATATAATATAATTTAATTTTATAACTTACAAAAAATTTGCAGAAATGAATTAGAATGTGAAGTCTTCGCCTTTTGGTAGAGGTTTCACTATGTTATTAATTATGAAAACTTTTGGTTAAAAAAAAAAGAAAATAAAAATAATTATTTAAAAACCTATATGATATCAAAACCATGGTAACTATGGTATCAAAATTATAATGTTTCTAAATAATTTCTATTTCTTGTTTTTGTGTTATTTTGTAGCTTGTAAGTTTAAATTTGGATTAGATTTACTAAAACATATATTATTACTTGGAACAATTAAGTTAATTGGAAATTGAGTTTTCTTTTCTTGTCTATCTGTGTTTACAAATTTATAAATCACATCTTGATATGACATATGATTATGTTTATAGATACAACTTGTCTAAACTTTATTCGCACCAAAATAAAAAGTTTTAGTGTCAAAAGATTTTTATGAACATGTTAGAAATTAACTTCTAATGGTATCATACATATGGGAAAAGTTGCATAGAATTTCTTCTCAACATATCCAGAAATCAATGAAAGCAAAGTTTGTCATTTAAAAGTAATAAAAAATGAAAGATCTTATGTAATATTCTAATGTGATTCAAAAAATTATTTATATTTAATATTTTATTCCTAATTGTTAATCTCTATTTTAATAATAATGTTAACTTTTTTGCTAACCCTATTTTCATACTGTTTAAATTTTATCTACAATAGAAATATATAATATTTATTGTCATCTATATATAATAGTATTGTAGAAATAAGTACACAAAATTGATTATATATTACATAATTTATTTTTATGAACTAAAATTTTTTTATTAAATAACATGATGATTAATTAAACTACTAATGATTCAATATTAAAATGTATTAACAGCGTGCTGCAATTACACGTGCACGACGCTGATCTACACAATTAGAAAATTCTTCAACTAAAGTAGAACACTTCAGAATTTCTTTAGGGTGATCTTGGAAACATTGGAACACTTTTTCAGAACTGTTTTTACATGGTTGGATAGTATCATGAATATTTACTCCTTTTTTATCTATAAAAAAATAATAAAAGTTAAATACATTCTAATAAATAAATAGTATGAAATTTCAGAAAACAACATATATATAATTATTAGTAAATGCAATTAAAAAGTTAAGGATTATATACAATACTTAAGGATTATATACAATACTACAAAATAAAGTGATAAGCTTATGCATACCACCAATATATATTTCTGCTGCTTTTTTATACTCTGCGTTAATAATATCATTAATTTCTGAATGCTTTTGTTCCAATTTTTGCAAACGTCTTTGCCAATAATTATCCTGTTTACGAAATTCTTCCTCATTCTGTTGCTGTATTTGAAGAGCACTTAAAGTTAATTGTGGATGATATACAGGATATCCAGCATTTACTGGTATATCACCACTCTGAGATAATTGTGAAGTTTTTTTAGAAGATGGTTCTGTAGCAGCTCTTACTTCATTTGTCACATTTGTTTCAGACATTTTTTGAGTTAATCGTTCCACAACAGATTCCGATATTTCTATTACACCTATTTCTTCATTATTAATAGTGAGCTTACGAGCACTTTGTCCAGAACCCATGTTGGTTGTTTAAATTTGTTTCTAATAAAGTCACGACTGATTGTTTCCAAAAATTACCTCTATCAGTACAAATTTGTTATTATGAGCTACTAAATGAAATGTAAAACTGATTACCTGAAACATACATAAAGTAAATATAAACAATGTAATTTTTTTAAAATTCTACATTATTTGAATGTGCTTTTTAACTATAATTTCAAAATTACATTTCTTACTATTAATATATATCGTCAAAAAATTTTGTTATATACCAACATAATATTTTATAAAAAAAGAAAATATACACATTTTTGTTTCTGTTTTTGTTTTAGTAACTGAATGTTAATAGAGTTAAATATAATGTTAATGTGTGTCTAACAACAAATATAAGCATATACAATGTTTCTTAGTCTTACAATAAATATTGAAATAAATATTGTTTAAAAAAAGTGCTGTCATTTATTAATAAGGTTATTACCAAATTTTAGAATACAGTACTAATTAAACTTAATGTTTAAACACATGAATGGAATAATGCAACATTTAGACAATTATTATAATTATTTTTATGTACATAACGAAACCATTGGGATTATGTAGAAAAGCTACAGTTTTATTATTAAATATTTTACATTAAATATTTAAATATGATTTAATACAAAACAAAGAAAACAACTTACACACATTGCCTATGTACAAATATCTGTTATAAAGCTAAGTTCACAATATTCAAATTTTTTAACATAAACTGATAATAAATAAAAAAAAATTTGTCCTAAATTATTATTGAATTATATTCAACTGCTTTTATAACAACATAATTACTTATTGCAAGATAATTTATTTATTGCAAGATAATTATTTATTGCAAGATAATTATTTATTGTTAAGATAATTATAGAGATAATTAAATAAAAAAGAAATATTTTACATTTCACTTATAAATGCACTCTTGTATTCATACTAGCCGTTTATGTAATAAGCGCAGCTATAATTGTATCCGTACTGCAACATCAAATAGTAGAAATTAAACATTTAAATCTCGATTTAAAATTTGTATATCTTTAAGAACAAAAATATAGTTCTTTTTACAAATTCGATAGTCATAAGTAATAGCAATAAATCCAAACGTAAATTTTTTTTGCATAAAATGAAATTGATTGGTTTCTTAGTTAAATATAAAACATTAACGCTTGTTTTATGTTAAAAGATTATTAATACTTTTAGATAATAACATTTTTATGACATGACACTGCGTTTTCACTTTTTTTGTCTTCCTTATCTTCTAGCATGTGTTTGAATTCACATGAAATAGAATCTTCTAATATTCGTGACAGTATTGTTGTTAACCTAAGCTTAGCAATATGCTTGACATTTACATTAAGGATATGATTTCATCTTCTAATACGTGTCACGTGTATGCAGATATAAATATGACGATAAATTTTTAATGAAATCTATCACATTGCAATATATAAAAATATATTGTTATATTATGTATTTCCATGTGAATTAGCAAGTAGAAATATTGGCAAACCTGACGATGAGTCAAAACACGTATCTAGGTAACAGGTCAGTTTAGTTTTTAAATGTATATTAAAAGAATTGTTTTTAAATTGTTGTCCTAAGTATATAAACATTGCTTACGATAAATGCAGTATGTTCGATAATATAGAAAGTAATTTAATTAACATTTGTCTTCAATTATTTCTTTTCTTTGAAAACTTCGATTACATTATTTTTAATTTTGATTTTTGTCATTATATGTAACATTTTAAAATTTATTACATTGATAATAATTTTTTTATTATAGCTGTGACCCAAAAGAAGATAAATAGAAGGTAAGAACAATGGTACAGTCTTTGTACTAAGATAATACTATGTAGGTTATATTTAAAAATAGAATTTATTAAGAGTTGATAAAATCTTGATTAAGGGATTTTATTTTTACTTGAAATGATTCCGATATTTCGACGTTGTACATACGTTTAATTATATCACTTTTACTAAATCATTTAATGAGATTTACAAAAATTACTAATGAGGAATATCAGCATACTGAGTATAAGTTTAATATTTACAATAATGACAAATTAATCTAATATTTGTAATAATATTAATGTTTTTGCGATTTTTTTTTAGATATTTACATAGATTGAACAGAAATTAATCATGAGTCTGCAGTGGACTTTAATTGCTGGATTTCTTTATTTTGAAATTGTGGTAGTTCTATTATTAGTATTACCAATAATTTCACCAACAAGATGGCAGAAATTATTTAGATCCCAGTTTCTGAAAAGTTTAAGCGATAAAGCATCAATTTATTTTTTGTTTTTGCTTGGAGTATTAGTTTTGTTTTTATTGGATTCTATAAGAGAAATGAGAAAATATTCCACAGCTCATGAAACTAAAGAGCAACATTTGAATGCTGAAATGCAAGGTATGTATTTCTATTTGTATTGAGTATGATATGTTGATAATGTAATATTAGATATTGTAGAATAATGCTGTCATTATTTTATGTAGGTAATATGAGATTATTCAGAGCACAACGAAACTTCTACATATCTGGCTTTGCATTGTTTCTAAGTCTTGTCATACGCCGTCTTGTAATTTTAATTTCTGGTCAAGCCACTTTGCTAGCGAAAAGTGAAGCTGTTATGCGTCAAGCTGAATCAGCAACTACAACAGCCAAACGTTTGTTGCTACAACAAAAGATAAATACAAAGGAGACCGCAGAAAATGATTCAAACGAAGCTCACGACAAAGTACTATCAGAATGGAAAAATCAAATTAAAGAATTGCAAACGAAAAATCAAGAATTGGAAAATCAGCTTGCAAAGGAAAAGGAAGATAAAGAAGCTATAAAGTCACAAGCTGAATCTCTTGCTAAGGAATATGATCGTTTAAATGATGAACATAGCAAATGTCTGCAATTAGTTAATGATAAAAAAAGTGATTAAATAGTATTTTTGTTTCTTCCTTCTGTTTTCCTCCTATTCAATCTTCATATAAAGATTTGTTGTGATTGATATTTTATATTATACAATACTGTATGTACTGCATAGATAATAAGATAAACAAGAATAAATAATATAATAAGTAACTCTAAGTTATACAATCGTGTATAATCAAGTTGCAAGATATAAACGCCTGAATATATTTATTTAATATTGTATTTTACTGAAAATATAACAACCATATATTTAAGAATATAATAATATATATTTATGAATATAAGAACCATATACTTATGAATATAATAATATTACTTAAGTATGACTGTAACGACTGGATTATAGTTATACTTTAATGTTATTTTATTGTCTAATTTAATAACTTTTTATTTGAAAATGTTTTATTGTAGTTTCATAATATACTTTATTCGAATTTTAAAATGTTTTTTTAAAATAAATGCAATTATTAGTTTGAATGCCATGCTTATAAAAATAAAAAATAATGAAATGGTGATTAGATACTCATTTTAATTTTCTTTATTTTCATTTAAATGTCTTTTGTTTTTTTAATTTGTTTAAATATCAATTCTATTAATATGTATAAAAATTTATGATTTTTAATTACAGAATTAGACACATGGAAACAAATAATCAAAGAACCTATGAGGAAATTTTAACTGTGCACATAAATTAGCACAAATCGTGCAAAATAATTTCCGAAATATTCACCAGGAGTGCTAGTGCTGTTCTATTCGAGGTCGTCGGAGACGGACGGCAGGTAAAAGTATTAGTCTTTGTTAACTTAATATATTGTTTATATAGCAATATACAGTTAACAAGGATGTCTAAGGCCAAAGGACCTCAAGATTTACCTCCAAAGGGAGGATATGTTCCCTTTCAAATCGAACGAATCAAGCTGCGCTCATTCGCAACAGGTACAAATTAACCTATATTAACATATATTAATATATTATCTAAGAGATTATTGTAATTTGATTCGAGATCTTTTGATTAATAAAATTAATAAATATGAATGTACGATGTATCAAGTATATACAACTGTTTCTTGAAATATATTAAATATAATTATTTTAGGTAAAATGGGTATAGGTATATTTATTGCTGTTAATGTTATTGGAATGCCACTGTATATGCAGAATTGGAGAAGTGAACGAAAACGTATTATTGAGGCCAAAAGTAGGGAATTAGCAGCATTTCCTATCTTGTTTGCAGAAAACGATAGAGCGTAAGTATAATTTTATGCATGTCATATAATTTGCCTTTAGAAAACTACCTTTATAGATTATGTTAGAATTTCATTAACATTGTTAATAGTTAACGCTGTCATTATCATATATTATATTTTCTCTTACTTAAATATGTATTTCTTAATTATACTACTAGCATATTGTGTCTGTAGATTGTTAAAACAATTGAAACGTGTGAGAGAAGTAGAAGCTGATGTAATGAAAGATTTCCCATATTGGGAAGTGGGTACATTCTTTGGAGAACCAATATATGAGGATGTGCCAGTAGATACATATATTAAACCCACTCTTGGAGAGCTGTACGTGTTCTCAGATCCTACGAACAAGCCAGTTTTGGAATATATACATTTATTCCCATAAATTTACTATTGTAAGTTACACAGAATAGTTTTGTTGTATAATAAATATAAATAATAAATATAGTTGATATTAACGTATATTGAGTTATTGATTTCATTATAGCCCTACTGTCTCACACATTACATTCATAAAAAATGAAAATAATATCCCATGATTTGAAGCAAAATACTACTAGATATTGGATCTGGAATCTAATATTAAAGAGTTGATATTAAACAGTGTTCAATTAATTAATTATTAACAATTATTTCGACAAGTGCCTGGTCTTGATACACGTCTACGATTTCTCATTGATATTATTATTGAGCTTTTGTAAGATTAAAGCGCATTATTTGGAATCGCAGAACCTTCCTTAGACTCTGTACTTTATATTTCACGCACAAAGATCGTTCATTGGTTATCGATTAATTCAAATTATGCGAAAATTCATCGCGCCGGTCTTCCGCCGTAACGGGTCGTCGTGCAATAATTGTTAATAACTCTTAATTTGAGCAACAATACCGATACTAAACTACATGTGAATATTATATGTAGTCTTGTTTTTATTCTACGATTCCAAAAGTCCGCAATTTTATTCTAAATTTTGATTAATTAGCGAATATTCAATGAATTAGACAGAAAAGTATATGTATCCTTGTCACGTGATGTTGCTATTCTTTTCTATACTCGAGTGCTGCCATCTAGCGGAGTGGCGAAACTTGAACTGAAAACTTGGAAATGTAACAGGAACATAGAATATAAACAGAGGTATCTCGACTCCTGTTAGACAAGAAGCGCGATACTGGGGGACAAGGACAGAGACACGTGACGTAACAGAGAAGGAGGGGACTATCAAACGACAAGGACCGACATATTTCTCCTTCTAATCTGTTGAATATTCACTAATTACTCGATTATCAGAAACAATTCGTGCACCTTTGGGATACAAAAATACAGAACAGACCTTGAGTAACGTTCCTTTATAGTTTTGGATACGATTTCTCGTTTAATTAATTAGTTATTAACAAATATGTCAACAAGCGTCTTGGCTTGCGCGATGCGTGTCCGCGATTTTACATTACTGTCGAGCTTTTGGACGACTATAGCTCGTTATTTGCGATCGTAGACGCTTTCTTAGACTCTGCTCTTTATATTCAATGCATAAACATTAATAATTAATTATCTGTTAATCCAAATCGTACGAAAATTCATGGAATAGCTTCTCCGTAGTAGCGTAACACGATGGATTGTTGTGCAATAATCATTAATAACTGTTAATTTAAGCAACAATTCCGAACAAAACTGCATCTGAACATTGTCTGTAGTCTGGTTTTTCTTCCACGATACCAAAAGTGAACAATTTCTTCTTAGAAATCGAATAATTAATGAATATTCAATGAATTAGACAGAAAAGTACATGTATCCTTGTCACGTGACGTTGCTGTTCTTTTCTATACTCGAGTGCTGCCATCTATCAGAGTGGCAAAACTTGGACCGAAAACTTGGAAATGTAACAGGAACATAGGATATAAACAGAGGTATCTCGACTACTGTTAGACAAGAAGCGCAATACTGTGCAAAAAGGACAGATACATGTGACGTAGGCAGAGAAGGAGGGCACCATCGAATGACAAGGACAGACATATTACTCTTTCTAATCTGTTGAATATTCACTAATTACTCGATTTCTGAAACGAAATCATGCACTTTTGGAATCGTGGACCAAAGTTCAGACTACAAGCGACATTCACATATAGTTTTGTATCAGAATTGTTGCTTAAATTAACAGTTATTAATGATTATTGCACGACTGTCCGTTACTACCGACAATACCGGAGAACCGACGCGATGAATTTTCGCATAATTCGGATTAATAGATGGTTAATTACTAATCTTTGTACATGGAATAGAGAGTACAGAGACAAAGGAAGCTTCCACGATCGTAAATAACGAGCTTTAATCACGCAAGAGCTCATTACCAATGGAAAATCGTAGTCGTGCATATTACAGTCACGCGTAGGGCCAGGCACTTCTTGAAATTATCGTTAATAACTAATTAATTAAACGAGAAATCGTATCCAAAACTATAAAGGAACGTTACTCAAGGTCTGTTCTGTATTTTTGTATCCCAAAGGTGCACGAATTGTTTCTGATAATCGAGTAATTAGTGAATATTCAACAGATTAGAAGGAGAAATATGTCGGTCCTTGTCGTTTGATAGTCCCCTCCTTCTCTGTTACGTCACGTGTCTCTGTCCTTGTCTCCCAGTATCGCGCTTCTTGTCTAACAGGAGTCGAGATACCTCTGTTTATATCCTATGTTCCTGTTACATTTCCAAGTTTTCAGTCCAAGTTTCGCCACTCCGCTAGATGGCAGCACTCGAGTACAGAAAAGAACAGCAACGTCATGTGACAAGGATACATATACTTTTCCGTCTAATTCATGGAATATTTATTAATTACTCGATTTCTGGGAGGAAATTATGCACTTCTGAAATTGCGGAAGAAAAACCAGACTACATATGGTTTTATATCGGAATTGTTGCTCTAATTAACAGTTATTAATGATTATTGCACGATAATCCGCCGTGCTACGTTACTACGGAGAACCGACGCGATGAATTTTCGCATAATTCTGATTGACAGATGGTTAATTAATAATCTTTGTACATGGAATAGAGAGTACAGAGACTAAGGAAGCTTCCACGATCGCAAATAACGAGCTTTAATCACGCAAGAGCTCATTACCAATGAAAAATCGTAGTCGTGCATATTACAGTCACGCGTAGGGCCAGGCACTTCTTGAAATTATCGTTAATAACTAATTAATTAAACGAGAAATCGTATCCAAAACTATAAAGGAACGTTACTCAAGGTCTGTTCTGTATTTTTGTATCCCAAAGGTGCACGAATTGTTTCTGATAATCGAGTAATTAGTGAATATTCAACAGATTAGGAAGAGAAATATGTCTGTCCTTGTCGTTCGATAGTGCCCTCCTTCTCTGTTACGTCACGTGTCTCTGTCCTTGTCTCCCAGTATCGCGCTTCTTGTCTAACAGTAGTCGAGATACCTCTGTTTATATTCTATGTTCCTGTTACATTTCCAAGATTTCAGTTCAAGTTTCGCCACTCCGCTAGATGGCAGCACTCGAGTATAGAAACGAATAGCAACATCACGTGACAAGGATACATATACTTTTCTGTCTAATTCATTAAATATTCGCTAATTAATCAAAATTTAGAATAAAATTGTGGACTTTTGGAATCGTAGAATAAAAACAAGACTACATATAATATTCACATGTAGTTTAGTATCGGTATTGTTGCTCAAATTATGAGTTATTAACAATTATTGCACGACGACTCGTTACTACGGAGGACCAATGCAATGAATTTTTGCATAATTTGAATTAACAGATAACCAATGAACGATCTTTGTGTATGGAATATAAAGTACCGAGTCTAAGAAAAGTTCTGCGATTCCAAATAATGCGCTTTAATCTTGCATAAGCTCAATACTAATGAAAAATCGTAGACGTGTGCCGAGTAAGACCAGGCACTTGTCGAAATAGTTGTTAATAATTAATTAATTAAACACAAAATAATATTCAAAATAATATGGGAATGTTGCTTAAGGTTTATACTTTACTATCCAATTCCAAAAGTGCACGAATTTTTTCCTAAAAATAGAGTAATTGACGAATATTCAGTAAATGAGAGAGAAAAGTATATCTGTCCTTGTCGTTTGATAGTGCCCTCCTTCTCTGTTCCGTCACGTGTATCTGTCCTTGTCGGGCAGTATCGCGCTCCTTGTCTAACAGTAGTTGAGATATCTTCTTGCACATTCTATGTTCCTGTTACATTTTAGAATTTCTGGTTGCAATCCAACAGACAAAAACACTACTCACAAAGAGAGAATCGGAATACCGTGCGACGAGGATAGACACTGAAATTATTTGCAGCATTTTACCGCCACGTGAACATAGCGTCCATAAATCGAATGAATTCAAATAAATTTGGAAGAATATCTGATCAAGGAAATTAATTCTCTTTCTTCTTGCATTTTGTGATTATGTATCAGATACAAGTTTTTACTCATCGATTAGTTATTGATAATTATTGCGTTGAATGTTAATACAAATAATAGGTACATACTTACTTGTAGCTAATTTTGTAGAAACGAGATTTTATTTCATACAACTTGATAACGATTAATGTATGGGAATGATTATTAATATAGCTCACAAAGCTTTGTTGAAAAAATAATATATTTATTGACATCAAATAAAAATTATGTACACTTCATATGAGGAGAATTTATATTTACAATTGTTTCCATTTATAACGTAGGGAATAGAGGAGATATTTATAAATATAAATATATATGTATATACATAAATAATTGCAGACAAACTATCTTAATTAATTAATTTTCACACAAATATTCTCATCGATAGTATTACAATATTGTACGACATTCTTGTCAAGTACAAACACAAATATTTGTAATACGTTAACAATTCTCTTTCAATTTTCTTATTACACAATTATCCATAAAAAAGAAAAAATATATATGTTGCTTACAAGCGTATACGAAAAAATTCACGATTACTCGGTTCACTGTTTATAAGAACACATTTGAAAGAGACATAGGAATTTTTGTAATAATAAACGGTGAGTGTTTCAGCAAATATAAAAAGAAAAAAACGAAACGATTCACGCAATAAATACATAGAACGTCTAAATATATCTACGGTATCGATAAGATATCACAATATAAGAGTGAAGTCGGAAAATAATCGAAGGGCTCCTAAAAAAACAATTCATGTCAAATTCTTTTAGATTTTTAGATAAGAACGCTTCTAGTAATCAGAAGTTACGCTTACGATACGATGAAATCAATATTACGAAAAATGATCTACATCTTGACTGTTAAAAGTCTTTGTTATTTGTAACTTGATTTCATAGTAGTTCTTCGACGATAAATTTGTAGAAAGAAATTGAAATGTAACCTTTAAGTGGTATCGCTATAGTATAATTTGCGTTATATTACAAAATTTTGTATTTTATATTCTCTCTGAAAGAGAATTAAATCGAGAAGTGATCTTAATGTAAAGCCGAACTTTTATATGGCTGCCAATGTCCAACGATACCAGTTAAAGATTGAAGGAGATTAACATCCATCGAATAAAAGTTGCTCTTTTTTGGAGAGAAATGCGAACACGCACGTTGCGTGCTTTTATCACGAACTTTTCAATCATTGGCAATCGATTACTTATACGTGTACGTAGAAAAACCAGTCCATTTATTAATAAAATTTATAATTTTTCTGCATCTCTCTAGAAATAAATATGTTCCAACGAAACGGTATGAGTAACGCGATCCGTTTCGGGATCTTTCGCATGCTCCGTATTTTTCTCTATATCGTCGGCGGTTAAATCCATACAGAAATTATCGTAAGCGTACGCGTTTGCCGTGATGTTGTAATGCTTCTCTTCGCCGATGGAAGCGAATTTCTGGAGCGTGATATTCTTGGGTTGAACAGAAATGGTTGGCAGAACGCCGACCGAGGAATCTGTCACCGATTTTTTCAGGAATCCATTTTCTATCTCATCGAGGCTTCGTCCTCTGGTCTCAGGGAGGACCGTCAGAGCGAATAAAGCTCCTAAACTAGCAGTTACAGCGAACGTCCACATCGTGGACTCGATACCAATTAACGCGCTCAGATCAGGATACATCTTAATGGTGGCGAATGTCAGCATCTGCGCCATGCTGGTAGTTATGCCTCCAAGAGGTCCTCTGAATCTTAATGGGTAGAGTTCGGAAGTCATTACCCACGGCAGAGTGAGAAATCCTATCATAGACGAGCCAACGTGGCCTCCGATGCATGCCAAGGATACCACAGATGGCAATTTGAACCTGAGAAGAAAAAAAAAAAAAAAAAAATTGGATCAATTAGTTCGGTTCGATTTATGTCAATGACGGAAAGACGGTATGTAGTTATGTACAAAAACGAACAACGCCGATTTAAAACGGATAAACTTTCGTCTTTTCAAACTTGGTTGCTTGATTGTTTCAATATCACAGTTCTAGTTAAGCGATACCACTTATATACCAGCAAACGTTCCAAATTAAATCCAGAACTATTGATCTATGAAACAATCATTAAGCGTAATTTGAATTTGTACACAACTACTTTTCGTCTAGAAGACTGTATAGAAAGCATTCTAAAGAACTTGTATTTTGAACATATGATAATCAAATAAGAAAAATTAAAGTAAAGAGTATGAACCTGTAGGAAAGAGCAACGCCTACAGCTGAGATCGCCATTCCCAGGCCACTGACGAAGGCCAACGCTTTTCTGCCAAAGCTATTCGCCAGGCCAGCGCCGGCTATCGATGAGAACAATCTAATCACACCGATCCCAACGCTCGCAGAATACTCGTTCAAGTCGATACCGATGTCTTTGAGGATGTTTACGGTATAGAACAGAATTATATAAATCCCTGATACTTGCTGGAGCGCGAAGAAGATGAACAGGATGAGAAAAGGCTTCCAGACGCTTGGCATGTTAAGAGCTTTCAGCAGACTCTCTTTCCTCTCTTCCCTTTTCACGTTTGCCTCGCAAAGTTCGTCATACTCTTTGTCGGTACTCAAACCAGATCCTCGTAACCATAATAAGGATTCTTTTGCTTCTTCCGTCCGTCCCCGAGTGATCAACCAACCTGGCGTCTCCGGAATCATACTGCGCAAGAACGAATTATTAGGTCTCTCGAGAAGTTATTAAGTTTCACGTTAATTTGGAAATTCGTAATTCCCTCGCAGAAGTTTTAAACTTTTTAGAGATTTTATTGAATTTCTGGAAAAGATACAAGTAGAAGCTTCTGTTCTTTGTTATACTGCAAACTTCTTCCTATCCCTTGTACTTTCGTTTCTCTAATACAAGCTTCATGTTTGTCGCGTAAGTTCGAGAAAAAGAAGTATTAAGGATAGAACGGGAAGGATTAATTTTCGGCCGCGAGTTTTTATGTTTGAAGAATGATTGTTACCGTGTCAATGCCAAGGACAGTATAGCAGGTCCTATACTAATCGCAGCAGCTTTCTCCCACCTAGTAAACGCTCCGAGCGAGTAGATCATCAGAACGCCAGCCGAAACTAGAACTGGTCCACAGCTTCCCAACCAGCCTCTCTGACTTGGCGCGGCAGTCTGTAACATTCCGCGAAGAATTAGTTATCATAATTACAACTCGTGGCTACGAGTACGCTTTCTAAATTTATTTTTGCTCTGATCTTTCAACTTTTGTCTCAAAAATAATTTGCCTCGCATTTTTATTCAATTCAGATATTACGTTTTATTTAAAAACAGTTTATTCAGACTACTTAAATAGAAAAGTTACCTCACTGACGTAAAGATACAGGCCATTCGCCATGCCCATGCCGATTCCACTGATGAATCTGCCCACGTACAACATAGGCACGCTCTTCGACAATGCTATGAACAACCAGCCAGCAGCGTGAGGAATACTAGCTAACGCGATGGTCGATCTCCTTCCAAGCCATTCGGCGCACAATCCAGCGACCACGGATCCCAAAGGATTCGAGATAACTCCCAGTGCGGCGATCCAAGTGTTTTCATCGCTGTTGGCAAAGCCTTCCTCCGTCAATTTTGGGAGTAAAATCGCACTGAATCCTTGGCCGAGTCCTACGGATATTTGTCCAGAATGTGCCGCCAGTCCAGCGAATATCTAAAAGAAAAAAAAGTACGAATACGTATGAAGAATTTCGTCGCACGGATGCTCACGCTCGAATAATAAGCACGTCCGAATGTATTATTTCAACCGATTATCTCGCATCACATTTGGCATTTCCACGTTCGAACCAATTAGCCTTACGTCTGTCGCGTGCGATACGTGGCCAGAAATCGAAGCCAGGTTCCGCGAACGTGTACTGAAATAATTACACCACCGGAATCGCCGCACGTTCACGTAAGCGATGCACGAATTCGACGTATGTATGTACGTATCTTTCCACGTATCGAACGTACACGATGTATGTACGTATCTTTTCACGTATCGTTCCACCAGCGTAGCGTCCGTTGGAATTCACGATCCTCATCAATACCGAATAAGATCGCGATTTTTAAACGTGAAATTAAGAACCCGATGTTCTCAGTACACGTCTTTTAGTACAGGGAATCTCTCGAATGTTCCAGTTTTCCCTAGACGTGATTTTCACTTGCGTCCGCGTCGATGAGGAACTCGTCACTTCTGGTGAGTTTCGTCCACTCGTTGCTCGTTGGCTAAGAAGCAACAAGCAAAGAAACTAGTTCCTCCGGAGGTCAATACGAAGGTTCGCGGTCGCTCGGAGCGAGCGCCGATCTAAAAAAGCCAGAATACCGTGGAAAGCGGTCTGGTTGCCGTACCGGAATCTCGAAAATCCCATCGGACGTCGCTGAACGGAAGGACGAGCCTGGTAACGCGACTTACTTATTCGCGGACCTCGTTGTTCTCCCTTCGCTGGCCTCGTTTAAAGAAGCCTGGAGAGATATTCTCGACAGATACACGTCGAATCGCAGTAATTACCGGACAGATCGCAATCGTTCAAGTGCATTGTTGTTACGCGTACACTTTTCCAACGCGGGCTGATCATGTTTCGTGTTTTTCCCGTCGTGGATACTTCCGAATCCCTCCGTTTCAGCACTTTTCGTATCCTCTTGCGTATTAATCTCCGTATGCGATGGCTCTTCCTCGTTTAATTAGTTATTACTTAATGGAAAACTGTCGCAACGTCCGATGTCGAGTAACGACTGTGATTGAGATATTACGAATCTGACATATAACCGATTCTATCGAATCAGATAACAAGATAAACAGCTGAACAAAGATATTTAGAAACAGCTCCTTCGGGAATACGACATCGCGATAATTAAGTCGAATACGTTGCACGCAAGCGTGTAATATTATTTAATATCATCTATATGTTTCTCATATAATGAAACGATAGGTTGCCGAAAATGATTGAAGTTCCTTACACCTTTCTGCTCGGTGCATAGAAGTTTCCACCAGAGTTTCACTCGATTGATCATCGTGTTCGACGAATCTTCCGGTATCTGTAACAGACAGAGAGGTATCAAGCATAGTTTCACGATGCAAATTCCAATAGAAATCGCGTGCATTTCTTTGGCGCCGAAAAACATGACTTTAACTAGATTATTTCTCGCTAGGGCCACTGGAGGGAATTGAATAATGAGACCCGTTTAAGTGTTCACTTGTCCCTACGCGGGCCAGAACACAAGAAGAACCGCACAATGGTCCCGTGAGTCACGAGACGCGCGTGATTTTCTGTCGTGTCGGAGGCAACGCTTACTCGTGACAGATTCGCACGTGAGTCGCAATTTGTCTATTAACGAATTTGCCCGCCCATTAAATTTCGACATTATCTCGTTTCTCGATTAAACTTCTCAGGTTGATTCACCGCCAACGAAATGGTTGCATCCAACGAACGATCATCTTTTTTTCCCTCCCAAAATGATCAATTCTTGAGGGGGAAAAAAAAATCATTGCCAACACCGCTTTTAAGAAAAATTACGTAAATGTGCGTAAATAAATGGGTTTTCCATCGTTCTCCGTGAAATATACAGCAAATGTATTCTTCCAATTCGCATTTTCTTGCCAACACTTTGCTCGTTACTGTTAACTGACGGTTTTTCGCGCGAAACAAATAATTGCATCGGGCTATTAGCATTTATATAGTTTTATGTTTGCTCGATCATTGAAAGTTTGCTTCAATATTTTCTTCGGTTTTTTTTTTCTTCATAATAGCGTGACAGTTACAAAGATTATTGACAGGAAAATTTAATAGGAAAACTTAGAGTAATATCAATTCGTCGTGCAAGATACGCGATAGTCCTCGAAAATGGGGGAGGATGGAATCGCGAGGATGATTGTTATTTTACGTGAGACGCGTGAGTGGGTTCCGTGACGGAAACGATGGAATTCAGTCGAACAGCATGGAACGGAAAATTTTGCGAATCCACCGAATTCTGCGGCGAATTCTTCGTATGTTTATAAAAATAAATGTTCGCTGAACTTCGAGAACAAGCGGTTCATTGTTACTTTTTCCGACGGAGATGTTTTTGCAAGTGTGACAGGGAGTGCTGGACGCTGAGTAATCACGATAATCGAACCACTGTCTAAATAAACGATATCAGTTTTATTTATTCCCAAAGTATTTCGTAAAGTGGTACTTTTATTCTCTACAAGAGTATTCATTTAATGATAACGTTGTCGCGTGCAGAAGCAATAAAAATTTATCGTAAAAAGATGTGTGGCGACAACATACTCCTTTTAATGTTTTCTCAGATGTTTTTAACGAAGGACGTTGTTGTCAATTACTTGGTTTTGAACATTACTTGGATATTAATAAGGATTTTTATGCAATTTCATGTTTTTATAACGGGTAATCCATTTTGAATATTCTATATATTATGTTACATAGATATAATGCAAATATAATATATACGTGCATCTTAAAATCTTTCACGAAATTCATTAATAAATCATTGTATCATTAGATTGTGAGGATATAAGGAAACGAGTGAACGATCTTTCATTTTCTCTGAATGCCGAACGCTTTGGCATTAACGTAACTGTGAACGTAATGCAAGTAAGTAAGTGCTACTCGGACAACTTCTGATATAGTAATTTCAAGTAACAGGTAACGTTCGCGGCAGAGTTATCCGCATAATCGAACGATCGATCGATCGAATAACAGCGCTTAAATGCCAGACGAACGATTCAATTCACGCGATCTCACGCACAACACTTCTATTCTAATTCGAGAGACGCTACTTCGCGATTGTTTTATTTTCGACGTCACATCAATCTGTTTACAAAGTTAAAATCGAGCCAATTTCATTACGACTTCGTCGAAACCGGAGAGCCAATTACACTGATTTATTAAATTTTACGTAATAATCGTACACCGATTTATTAAATTTTACGTAATAATCGTAACATTGCATGAAACATCGCATGCACGAACGCGTAACATTATATGAGTAGTATCCCATAAAGGCACTAACCTTTGGCAGTTATACTTATTGAGAATCTCGTCAATGTGTCTGACAAATTTCGCGAGTTCAGTTTCCCTCCTTTCTCTTTAAATTACATTATATGTCGCCAGAGTTCAGCCAGCCCTCCATTCCTGACACAATGTACAATAGACAATACGCTCGAGGAGTTTGAACGCGACTAGAGTTCGGATTCTCACGGTAAGGTCGTATCATCGATCGTCAACCGGTGGATCGTAAATCACTTTTATTAGTCGCGGTTGAATGTCACCGCGCAAGGATGTTCCGCTACTAGATTTCGCCACGGAACGATCTGTATTGCCGCGGTCACGATCCAGGACAGGATCACAGCGGAATGTCGTGAACGCAACGATGGCACGTCGGAAGGCGAGAGTGAGCACAAGTTACGATCGAAGTTATTCTGATTGCGATCGGTGTCCTCGCCGGCGACGACAGAACAACGTTCCTGTTTCTTCCGCGTTAAAATTGCGACAACCTGTGAACCAACGATGTACAACACACGTGCTCCCGAGTCATCGAGAGCCTGTCCCATGCACGAGTACACATAAACACGTACACACACTCGCACAGGAGGTCCGTCGTGGGTTTTTTCGCTTCTCACTTGGTACTGAGATGATTTTCGCCGGCGCGTTCGCATTTATAGTGGAGGGAAGGCGCCTCTCTCAAAACGGCGCTTCTCGCTGTTGCACCCTTCCAGGGACGTCTCGAGGTCTCCCGGTCTCTTTTTCACGCTGTTTCTTGCCACTTGTCGGAACGATTCCCTCTGACCCTTTAACTCTATCGCTCCTTTGATCGATTCCCTTTCCTTCGTCTCTTCCTTCTTTCTGCGAAATCTGTCCGCATTGTTTCTCAATTTCATCGAGCGTGTCATCGTTTCTGCAAGAAGAAACAACCTGAAAAAGTAAGCCGATTCGTTCTTGATTCTCCCGCGGGAGGAATCGAACGGATTTCACGCATTTCATTTTTGCGGAAAAGATTTCACACAGAGATGACGCAGCGGAAGATAATTCGGAGATGAAGAAAAGTTGTTTCTACGACAATTTGAGGCAAGATTTCCTTCTTTAACTAGCTTCTTCCTTTTAATCAGAAATCGATCTTCGTTGTATCCTGGCAAATTGACCTCTAATAACGATTGTGGTTTTTCTTGATAGAATAGCAGAATAATTGCACGCCATTAAAAGTTTACACCGGCACAAGCAATTATTAACATAAATAAATATGTTTTTTCCAGTTCTAAAAGGTCCTATTGATTTTTCTAAGAAGTCTATATTGTCGAAATGGAGAATAACTTAAGAGAACATCCGATATTTAAAATTTTCTGAGATTTTTTTCACCCCGGACCGATGAGATTTAACGTTAAAACGTTAGAATAAATAACGTTTTAGAATATGACAAAATCGACAATCTTACGATAATTTCGATGTACAAACCCACTCTCTTAATTGAATTCTTTCATGAATACAAACTGTTCACTGTGATCGACGAATCCTGATTAAAACTTATATCTAACGAAGCTGGTGATATAATGAAGTCTTTGATCCAGAAACTTGAGCGTGCTCAAATGACACGGTCTTCCATTAATCGCGATAAACTTATTTTGCGAAAGATTGAAGAGGTGTATTTTGTTATTTTTATTTCATTGAAGATTAAAGCCCAACGAAGCTACAAAAAATGTTAATAAAACTTACGTCGAAATCTCGAATATTCGTCGATGTCAACGGTGGTTCAAACAATTTAAAATAACAATTTAAAATAATAACAACAATTAACGTACTTAATCAGTGCAGTTGCATGAAAATTTGTTACAAAATAACACATAAAAAAAAGCGACATTACTTTTTACTTTACCTAATATTATACATTAGCGACAAAAGGCATAATTACAGGTGATGGTGATTGTGCTTCAACGATTGCGTTAATAATGCGACGTTAATAATATGTAACATACAGCATATTATCCCAACTCTGGTCGATAACTGACGACAAATAAGTTTCGAAAAACCGCTTTAAATTCACTTTCTAAGTAAACACAAGACCACGCGGATTTTTTTTCTTTTTTTTTTTTTAAAGACTGATTATTAACAAATATGACCACCTGACATCTGTAAATGATTCATACTAAAACTATTGACCAATCACAAATACACACAAATATTTGCACCTGAAGTGGTATAATAAGAATAAACAAGTATATGCAATAACTCAAAAAAAGTATCCGAATATTCGTAAGAAGTTTATTACTAGAAACTACCGGCGATCGAATTTGCATATAAAACTTGCATCACAGTACAAAGTACAAAGATTAGAAGACAGTTTGTAATTTAGTAAAAACGCTCGACTTCTTACTTATATACTTTGCGAAACGTTTCATACAACGCGTAAAAATATTTGAATACTTTCGTGAGCAATTCAACAATCATGCTTCCACAGAGTCGAATATGTGGCTGTTGCGCGTAGAATTTTATGAAGAAAGGTGCGAGTGAAATTTCCGTGAATAGACTCATCGTCTGACCACGATGGCACGTTTCCACTGTCGTTTGGATGTTGCTGCTAATTAAATGTCGAATCGTGATAATCATCGTGTTATATTGTCACAATTGAAAGATTCGCAAGTTGGCGATATTTTGATTGTACGTTCTAAAAAGAATTTACAATCCCAGAGAAACTGAGAGGTTTTATCTTCTGACGACTGCCGTTAATGAGAGACATCGTGCACGGGGTGCAATACACGCAGTCGAGGTCTGCAAGTATCCGTTTCTTTATTGACTACTTGTTATCCCTTTCGATCGGTGTTTCTTTGAATCACCGTCGAGCGTTATATGATCGCTAGGGCCTTCGAACTCGATTTTTCCAAGGAGAATTCTGCCTGACCTAAAAATCGCGTCTCCAACCGAAATGAGAGCGCCTTCACTGTACGTGAAGTAGTAACCGAAACTAATGATCTCGTAGGTAAAATCACAAGTGAGTTTTTCATTTCGATCCATCGATTATATCGTGATTCTCATGTTCACACATTTATTTTTACGAATCGAACTGTGAACGATAGCACCACTGTTTTGCCCTACCTTGAACCAAAATGATCGATCAACATCCGCGACAGATCTACGAACTTTAACGAACATAAACGCCGCTCACAAGCCATCTAATAAATGTTTAAAAAAATAATAAATGTTAAAAATTCGCCAAGACTTCTTTGCTTACATGCGACGAAATTATATCTAATTTGCGCGGATCTACAATTTTTGTGAAATTCACGTGTGTTGAAAACATGTATTGGGACAGTTGAACGTTTACTTCCCTGTAAATAGTAGGTATAACCTGTGCAAAAGTTTATTTCAAGCCTCTTGTTACATAAATGAAATAATGCTATTTTTCAATCACCATTGTGGATATGACTGCTATGGGCAAAGATAATGTCTTCCGGTGTTTAGAGCAATATTTTCATTTTTGTTTCTTTGATTTTCTTAAAACTCTGTGAAGGGGGAACTCTCAATGAAAAGAACTCCGTGGAAGAAGAATTCTCCTCTTTCATGAAAGAATGTATAGAAGAACGAAAGCATGTTGATCTTTAAAATTAAGCGGATTCGTTAATTCGCTAGACGTTTTTTTGGCAGTCTTTTTTGCTCTTAATCACCAGTGACCGTCACAATGGTGAATGTATTAATTGCTAATCGCAGAACCAACGTCACGAACGCGATGTCAATTGGAAAAGTATTCTCAATTAGTGCAACATTGCCACTATCACTGTGTATACGTTCTTTCGTTAATCTAATCTATTTGTTATTATTTGTTATTATCGTTGCATCATTTTGTTTCAAGTTCCTTTGCAATTAATTAGTTATCGACCATGCAATTATTTATATCTCTTTTTTTAAAGCGATTATTCATTATCTATAACTAACTAACGATATTTATCTTTTTTTTCCAACTAACAAATAGATGAAACAATAATCCATTTTTAATTGAAATATAAATCGTCATTCTATCGGTAGTGTTGAACTTTGATAAATCTGAAAACTTTACAGATGTTACATACGACGAGTCGGCGCATCAGATTGTTTCTTTATTAAGTTCATCATGTCAATCAATTGACGTTTTCCGATTGTTGTGTGTATAAAAGTCTTCGTTACTTTTCACGATCGAATAACAGGGTGCATCGTTCATTAATCTTAAGCTATTTCGCAATATGGTATATGGCTATTTATGGAATGTCGCACCATACTACAATAAATATATTTTTCAAAGTATCTGCTCAATCCTTCTAATCACATTGAAAACCTGCGAGCAATAAATCCTGTTCGTCGTTGAATCGTTCGATTCGACTTTTTTTTCCCTCAACTTGCAGTTTACTTTTTTCATACACATTCTTCTTTCTTTGTTACTTGACGTGACATGCCTTTCTTCAGCTGAATGATTGTCCAGTTATTTATTCTTTCATCACCGGCTACGAATCCGCGTTCACTTTTTTTTCTATCTGATACATCCCAACGATAATTGACGAGGACTTTCCGACATATGAATTTCAAAATGTTGTTTTACTAGCGCACGCCCGTTAACGGTACTTCTTTTACGAGACAAGAATATCTTTATCGTTACAATCTGATTGATTCGATCGTTTAACCGATTCATGATTCTTCCCTGTAAAAATTCATTATTGATTGACTAATTCATTTGCATTTTGCTCCAAACTCTTTCAAACGATAAAGTAAACGGCTGGACACAGGCTGTTTATTTTATAATACTGATTAATCCTTTCCCCTTCTAAGCAATTGGAAATATCGACACAGGGTCGTTCGCGATCGCGAAACATTCATGAAAACAAATCGTTCAATGTAAAATTACCAAGTAAACAAGTCTGCACTTAACGCAACATTCTATGTTTAACACAACGAATCCAGGTCGAATTAGTTATTACAGTCTTATGAAGAAACGTAGCTCCAATGAGAATTTGAATCTTCAGAAAATCGTTTAACCTTTGCACGGCGCGCGGCGTACATTAAATACAAAGAAAATAATTATGTAATTGTAAAAATATAATAATAATATTTGTAAATATGTTTCTCTTTTAATTGCTATGTACTAGAATAACATAAAAATTTGCTTCTATACACGTAGAAAAAAAAATATATATACTGCTGAATTATCATCTTTAATCATCAAGTGTATGCATGCGAGTATAAAAATTATTCGCTATCCCTGGAAGTTAAAATCAAATTTGATAAACACTTGGAAAATTTTATAAAATAATGAACGTGAAATTACGTAAAAGAAGGGTATGATTGTATCATGTATTGAAACACTCAATCTTGTTCGCAAATGTACGATCAAGATTATTAAAAATACATATCGGGGATTGATCTTTTCTCTGAGCAGACACTTGGTCCCTCTCAGAGACCTTGCCATTGATACACCATAATGTGAATGAACGAAATTAACCAGGAAATAAGTCCAAGGATTTGTTCAACTCAGGAAGCCGCTATCTCCGTGACAAATGGCTTTCATGAAAATCGAAGTCGAAGCCCTCAAAAGCCTTCCGTTTCCGATTACGACTGACCTTACATTGGTAACAAGATTCTCTTTTTTTATTCTCGTTTTCTCCTTTCTCTCTCTCTCTCTCTTTCTCTCTCTGTTCCTCACTGTAATGCTTAGGTATGTAAATAATGCGAGTTATCTAAATCGAATATCAAGAATTACTTAGCTTGTCTTTCTAGAACGATCAGAAATTACCCTTATTTGTATTCTATTCAGTTAATCGTTCTAACTAGCTTATGACGAATCAAACGACGCACATGCATATGACTGTACACGTTGCGTATGATATGTAATCAATAATTAAACGATAATTAGACGATAATTAATTCAAGATAGTGACAATGTTTCTAATAACTTTTTAAAAAGGAAGCAAAATAGAGAAGTAACTATAATATTTCTCGACAACTCACGTGATAACAAAGACTTATCTTTACTTTAAACTCTATCGAGCAAAATATAATTATCCATGCACGCAAAAAGTATCAATTGTTTTGATCGACAATTGAAAGAGGTTTTGCAAAGGTTTGATTCGTTATTCGGGAAAAAGTAAATATCCTCGATTACATGACGAACGATCAATAACACTTTTATTGCCTAATTACGCGATACGTATGATTATATTAATTATTCAGATTATTATCTCATTGCATAATGGCCAACATATCCGAAGCTTCGAAGAGATCTCTCTTTTTTTTGTTTTTATTTTTTTGTTAGATCGATACCGTGAATCAATTGCTCGTTAATTTATTTTCTAGTTTATGATTTCCTCGTCGTAACTTAAAGTGATTTGCGCTCGACAACGCAAATTAAACGTGATAACGTTTGTAGAGAAACTGAAAAACTAAAAGACAGACTTGGAGGGAACGATCGAGAAGCCGAGTCGTGGATGAATTGCTCAACGCCTTTCGAGTGCAAAACGATATCACGTAATACTGATGTAATACGAAACAATTCAAACAATAGATCGTATTGCGGTCGTAGGAACTTCTGTCAGACCGAGACAATTAATCTGCATCGTCAGTGATTTCGAATTGTAATTTTATAAACACTTCAGTTGCATCGTCAATCTAAACAAAAATTATATCCAATTATCTAAGAGTGACGGAATCGTTGTTGAAGATACGAGCACAAACGTTTCTTTATTTTCATTTTATGTATGGTTCGACAAATTGTAATTTCACGGTTAAAATATCGCTATCGATAAGTGTCATAGCGATATAGTGACAGCCACGATATAGCAAGGTTACAAAAACGGTGATACTTTAACCTTTGCTAATACTTTAATCAATTATATTTTCGTACGGTTAAAGAATTTCTGAAATTCGAGAAAAAAAAAAGATAAGTTATTTTTAATACGCATGCTTTTTCATTTTCACTTTACATTACAGACATTTACGTTTTTCAACCAAGGAATAAATTTTGATTATATTTGAGACGTTTCTCAACATTAGGAGACATTCAAAAGAACTTAAAAGAATTAATCACAAATTATCGTTCAATCAGAATTGTAAAATACAATGTGGTATTTAAATGCCACGAAATCGATAAGTGCTAGTTCTTGATATTATATTTTATGATTTGGATATCGTGGCTGCTACTACAGGATTTTGTAAAATTACGTCCACAGAGGCAAAGCCTTGAGACAAGACGCGTATACTGTAATATCTTCCGATTTCTGCGCACAAAACAATCGGATAATCACTTGCGAATTCATCCTGTTAGCGAGCGGCCAAGAGAAGGAAGAAATCGTGACAAAGCCGCTGAGGATGTCACTTTAATTCGCGATTTAATTTTCTATTGTAATTCGTAATCCCGGTATTAAGCAAGCAGATTGAAATCGGAGAACGAACGAACGTCACGTTCTGATTTTTTGTTGTTCCCTCGCTTTCTGTTCCTTAGGATTAGAACAACGACAAGGCAATTTGATTTTTTCCCTGGCATGTCGTCAAGTTTTTTTATTCGGACTTTTGTACGAAACATTATGAATAGGAAAAATAAATTTTAATTTAGGAAACCGCTGTTTTCTCACATGACGAAATGCATATGTTTGTTACGTGATCCTATTAACACGATGATTAACTCGATAACCATCGTCTTGGTATCGAGGCTGAAGAGCAATAAAGTAAAAAAATAAAGATGAAGAAAAAAATGAGAATTTCCGGAAAACGGACACCGCATCAGGTTTTGTTTCGTATTATGCAATCCCAATGCACCAGCGATAGAAACGTAACTATGTCATAACATTACAAATAACATGTAATCGCTTCCCTTATTTTTATCATGAATAATCAGCGATTTTTCGTATATTCACAGGATGTACTATTTGCTGGTCAGAAAGAATAATTTAGAATCAGTTAAAATTTTCAGTGAGAACCAAAGTCTCGTTTTTCTTATAGCATTTTGAAGCTGATGACAATTTCAATTAATATTCCATAATATTCTAGTGTCGTAAGTTATTACTTTGTTATTGCTTACATTTCTAACGACGGAAGTGGAATATGCATTGATATCTACATAAGTGTGTAAAAAGTGCAATAATGTAAAGACGACATAAATCAGCAACATATAATTTGTACGTCATGAATAATTCACAATATGTAACTCGTTATACTCCTATTCGTTAGTATTGATTTCTCTTTTTTTTCGCATTATTACATGACAATCAATAAAATACAATCATAAATTACGTAATCTATCAATACATCTCGATCCCATTCAAGCTGTTAGAATTTTCTTTGCGTTGCTTTTAAATTTACACAGTTAATATTAATAAACCTAATATAATAATATCTAAATATTAATAAACCTACATTGTATTGACGATGAAGCGTAGTTTATCAGCATAAATTTTTCACTAACGCGATTGTTTCATTATATAATAAATGAGCTTAAATTTTATGCTTGCTTATAATTATTTAATTAATTATCATCGCATAATTACTGCGACATTAGTAAACTATGATCTTCATAACATTCATTACAATGTGGCAAACAATTGTTAATAGGATAACACAGTTCTTTTTCGTTAAAAGGAGCACAATGTATTCTATTCTAACAGTTTCGGGACGATTGCTTTCGCGATCACGAGAAATATTTAAGAAACCATTAAGTTTGTTCCGACCATTCAAATTGTCGAGTAAACGCTTTCTAATCTGTAGAGTGGAATGAAACTTTCTCTTAAAGTTACATGATCGTTTAATAAAATCGTAATGAGTGTTAAAATATTAATTTCACGATCTTAATCTACAGATTCGAATAACTTTTAATGTCTAATTCATTTATTATTTATCTAATAATTTATTAGTAAATCAAATTAGATTCTACAGGATATCTTATGATCAATGATGCGCGAGACAAAATTTAAATTTAATAAAAACAAGCTACTTACACTTGCATCCTTATGTGTAATATTTTATTAAAGAATAATTGATATGATTTGTAAAAATGCAACATTGGTGATATCAGATGTTATTCCAGATTAAGTTCATTAAGGTTCAAGGAATTATGGTCGATCATGGAATTTTCAAAGGATGGTCTGCTGCTTTTGATTTTTCTACTAAAATAGGGTAAAGTTAAGTTTATTTGAGCCGTGATAAATAATTTTTTTTTTGATTTGATTACGAATTAAATTTTTTATATTTTTATAGTATACTTACGTCGTACGTTAATTACGCTTGAGGGCTATATTTTTTTATATGTGACACAACTTCTATTTTTCAAAAGGAAAATTTATTCTGCTATTAGTAACTCGTGTATATTATTTTATTTCTAAGTTATTTTGTTGTTTATTTTATTAATTCTTGCATAATACGTTCTTTTCAAGCTGAAATAATCTTTCCATAGAGTTGTTCGAATTGTTCATAATATCTTTTCTTGCAGGACCTAAAATATACGAAATTTGATGGATTCACGGTGCGTTGCATTGCACAACTGCAAATATAATATAATAATTGTGCATCGTGTACAATATATAATTGTGTTCTTTACTATGAATCAAAATAATATGAATAAAAATAATTTTGATACATAATGAGCAAAAATGATTAAATGAATCAAATTACTTCGCTTTTAATATTTTTTGCTCGTGAGAGATAAACATATTCATATTTAGTAAAAGAATATATAGCAATCGTAATTCAAAATATTCATATAACGCTAAATGAGATTCGTGTGTGCGTGTGTGTTTTGCGGAAATTTTATAGGATTCAACATGAAGATTAAGCAGGTCGGGATTGAACGTAGAAGTAATTACATAACATGAGACGATTGAGTATTATATGATGTGCGGGTAATTGACATGGGGGAGAAAAAGAAAATGAAGACTCGCGGGAATAATTGAAGATTGATTTGCGTGAGGAAGTAAGTGGAAGCGACGACGAGGCGCAGAAATCGTATATGCACATCCTCCACGACCCGTCTTCCTACTATCGTAGAAGAGAACGCCGAAGCATTATGCAAGATATCGCGATCTAGCCTTGACAATGACCACTAACTATGAGTTGCGTTGGCATCGCCGTATGTCGGGCTGTGTCATTAACTTGCCGCTAGAATAATGGTTTCTTATTCGTGACTACCGATCCACCTCTGGACTTCTTAACTACTTCTACTTAGGAGAAAGAATGTTCCTGAAAAATAAACAACTACAATTTTTCACTTTACTAATAAAATGTTCGTTCCATGAATTTCCATGATGTGCTAATAATAAGTATATGTACAATAGGGAAAAATAATATCGATTCAGATAACAAAAAATCCAATATATAAATGATCTTCAATAGTAAGAACAATTGCAAAAGATTATACTTGGAAAACCGACATATTATTTTGTTTGTAAAGGTATCTAATAACTTTGGATTTCAATTATCATCTCATTGTGGTGTTATATGAAAATTTCGTATTTCAGGATAAATAAAAATTTGATCTTAATCTTGATAGTGTAATTATATGTATTCATTATGTAGAGAGTTCAGAATCCAATTAGTGTAAATCATCTCTCGTTAGAAATAATTGATGTCTTTTGCTATTAAAATATAATATAATATAATCATATTATAACGAAACTGCCCCATAGATTTATAAGAAAAATATCTTTGTATTGCGCATATCACTTTTAATGAAAAATACATTGATTAGTTCTGAGCCTTCCATATATATAGATTGAATTCGAACTATTTGAACAGCAATATAATTTTTTAAATAAACCTTAATTTATATGTTAATTAATCTTCTCTATACTTCCAATTTTATATATACTCTTATAACTCCAATATTGAAATTGAAATGAAAGAGAGGAATTATTTGTTTTCAAGATGTCAATTTCTTTTACAAAAGAAAAAATATTACTGAAAGAATAAAAGGAAAGTATTTTTATACTGTAGTTCTTAATTTTTATCTCCACAAGCTATGAGAATAAAAACAGGATAAAATGATACAAGAAAACATCAATATAGCAAAATCTGGAGCTCCTCATATGAAAACTTACAATAAAATCCTAATAAAAACTGACATATCGAGAAACCTAGATTCTTCTAATGGCCTTTAAACCTATTGTATAACGACAATTATACAACATCTAATGAATATATTTAATCTGCATCTTATTATCTCAAGCAAGTATATTTATTTATCACAGTGTACAAATTATATTATTAAATGTCTTAATTTTTCATTAAACTATTTTTCAACTTGTCATTTAATCCTTTGTGATCCTAAGTCCAATACAACCATTTTATTAAATCTAATATTTGTAGTCTGTCTGGATAATTTCATCCTAATAGACCCATTATGAAAATAGATACGAATCTATCGAATAGCAATTTGAAAATAATTACAGACCGCAAAGAATTAATAAAATGAACTTTGAATTTCATTACTGTATCATTGGATAACGATAGAAGTTTGTAGCAACATCTATTGTTTCTGTCTAGGAAACAAAAAAACAGAATGTTATCGGCAGGTACAGTAGGATAGTATGCTATATTACTACTATTACTACAAACGACTATCTTTAATCAATGATATAATGCTTTTTGATATTTCACCAATGATTTTACCACATAAATAAAGGACGAAAATATACATAAAATCTGGATTCATTCCGTTTCCGTCAATGAAATGAGGAATATGTTATAATCGATAAAGTGGGGGATATACACGATATGAGTCGATAATGCCAGAAATGACATGAGAATTGGAAAAGATATTTTTAGATACACAATACAAAATTATATCGAATATTAAATCTATGCTATATTTTATTAAAATAAAATTAAAGAATCCTATGTTATTATGCTTAAAAAATCATTGACTTAGATCAATTGCATGTTGATAAGCTTTTATTACTTTTATTGAATTTTCTATGTTAAATTTATTTTATTTCTAATTTATAATAGCTACAAGTTACTTACAAAATATTAAATATTCTTTTATTTCACGGTCTCATCTATCATTTTCCGTAATTCTATTAAATTATGTTCGTTACTAGGAGAATAGGACCAATATCTATAGTCCTGATGTTCTCGAACTAAAAGTTCTATTTGTCTCTCCAAAGCAAACAATTGTCTCTTAACATTAGCAACATGTGTCTTATGAAGTAACTTTTCATATTCCATCTGTATATTTGGATAGAAGTATCTTGAAAAAAATCTCACAACAGGGGTCTGTAGAAAAAAATATTGATTTTATACATATAAACTTTGATCTGACAATATGTTTAAAAATATTTTTTAAATGTTATATTACCCTATAATATTCCCATTGCTTTGGAGTATATCCTTCTGGTATTTCTTGTAATGTTGCTGGGCCTATAAATACATTCATATAAAAAACAAACGCAGCAGCAGGTATCGCACCCACAAAGAAATAAAAGTGCAGCCAATCTTTAGTTTTATGCCATTGCCATCGACTTGGAGTTATCTCCATTTCGTGATGTTCTGACATGCATCTTCTTGATCCTAAAAATTATAGAAATTAATTTTTCTGGAACAATTATTTAGACATTTTTCAATATGTCTAAATAATAAGTTATCTCAAAAGTTTCTTTTGTTTTATTATAAATAAATAATGAGTACACTACTTTATATTTTATATCAGAATTATGTTTATTTTTCATTTCTCTGGAAGTCTCATAATCTTATCATCCCAAAACTTCTGTGATTTGCTAATAAAACATTGATTTAGAGATGCATTTTTTTCTCATTTATTGAGCCAAGTCTGCAAAAAGAATATTTTAATGAAAAGAAACAAAATAGTAATCAAACGAGGCAATGTCTGAAGATTAAGGAGAATAAAATAGAATATCCCAATCAAATTCTATTTACAAATCTTATTATTGCATACAGAACACAAATGAAACTTTTAAGACAACTTAATATATTCAATCACGTTTAATTATTGTAAAAGCAATTTTAAACAGACAAATTGTTCAAATTTTTGTGTTATGTAACAAAATACTATCACTCTTTAATAAATTGTTCTATTTAGAAAACAAATTACAATTATTTTTATTACCTAGGTTTTTGAACACATGATTGCAGTTTTTTGTTAATAATTTCCCCGATAATCCGTTTGTATGAAATAATTTTTGATTAGTTGTAAGCAGAAGCCTACTCAACGTAGCCATTTTGCTTTTTCACTATAAAATGAAGTGTGTCATTTAGATGCAGACAAGTATCGTGACTCTACTTTATCGATAGTATCCTTCTTAAACCGCGAAATTTTGAACTGCATATGACTGAAACTTTCATGTAACGACCTTAAATATGTTTGAATGTTAAAACAATTATACAAATTGCATCCAATAATTTGTATATTTTATATAATACTTAGATTCGAAAGGAATCACCTTGCATTATGAAGTATTTATAAAAACAATTATATTGTTTTTAACGATTTTAAATGTGATTTGAATGACAAAGAAAAAAAAAAAAAAATTAACGTGAAGCTTTTGCGACGCTATGTAATATAAACGTACATTTAGCGTCAATGAAGTTGGGTTAAGTGAGTAGTTGAACTCGAGAAACGATTCTAAATTATAAACACTCGTGAATGTTCACGATCGTATTTGAAAACAAAAACTAACAATGGAAAATGAAATGATAATTAGTTAAAAGAGAATAGAAAGATTAGATTTCGTTAATAAATTTCATTAATATTTCTGCAAAATTTTCTTCGCAGTCTAAATATACTTAATTTAGCATCATTAATGTTTTTGCTTAATTGGATTTTGTATTATAAATTATATAATTATTAGTACTAAGTAAAATTTTTAAATAATATTATTATTTTTACATCTAATAAGTGTTAAGTGCGTTTGTCATTTGGAAAGAATAATAACATTTTAACAACTATATGCAAATATATCCTTATTGAAATAAATATAATATCAATACGAATCAATAAATTAATAAATATGAATAATAAATAAATAATACTGATATTAATCTGATCAAATTGTTGAAATGTCCATAATTTCATATTCAACATAAATATTCAATCTGCATACAAACGCGTTATTTGCCAATGCTATCGAATGAACCAGTAGTTGCTAAGAAATATTAAGAACATTGCGATAATAATTAATTGCTTTAAATATCTATCTATCACTTTGGCGGAAAGATAATATGGATGAATACCAATGAATTAACTGTTTACACATAAATCATATGAACGTAGATCGGCAGATACGATACATTTATATCGAATCTCTTAACAAGCCTATTATCTGCATCGTCTAGTGAAATGTCGTTTAAGAACTATCCAATCGAAGATATTTACAATCTTTGCGAGACATGTTCTCTGCTTTTTTATCTTCCCTGTGGCACTATTTCCTAGAAAAAAGCGTATCTACATTTTTTTCTTGTCACTGATTAAAGCTACAAAAATCCATTACTCGATTATTACGGTGGAACTCACGTAATAAAGAAAAAGAAAAGAGATGTCACGTCGTAATAAATCAAATAGATCGCAACGATAAGATCCGATGGAAAATTTAATAGAAATTTATTATTGTTGAACGACGTTTACTATTTTGGATGTTCAAGTGGAACGTACTACACCTACTGATTCCACCAAGAAGGCGACCCTGGAAAAATGGGTTAAAGACCGCGAGCCTTTCCCCGTAATGTCTTTCGAGTTGTTTCGAGATATTCGGTCGCTTCGCGAATCCCCCTTCTACCCAGCTTCACAAAAGTGTAAACTTATGCAGAATTTATGTATACGGTGCACCATACATCCAATGAACCTCTCTCGCCGTCCACGTGATTCACACGCCTCTGTGCTCGTTGCTGTTTTCGTAATACATGCTCCCGTACACGTGAACTGGTACGTGCTCTTACATCCGACAACTCGAGAGATCCTCATTTGCTGCCTCATTTCTAGAAATAACAAAATTTTAACAAAATACAAATTGACAAAAGTCCCTTGAACAAAGAGGCATCTTTTCCAATTGAAAAATACTTATTTCGAAATATTCAACGCGGAACTGTGTTTCGTAAAATGGAACGTTAATAAAAGTTGAAACGAATCGACAAATGATTTGCACCATTCGAATCGGCTCACGTCATCAGCCTGGGAATTGCCCATCGACCGAACGTTTCAAGCGAGAATAGGTCATCGTCCAAGAGTACTTTATATCATAAAGATCGTTCGTTGGTTTACCCGTGCAAGTATCAATCGGAGCTCCATGCTTTTTATGCACGTAAGCAACCCCTAAATTGTTTGCTTTGTCGCCAGCAATATACCGGCATAGAAAACAGGCATCACCGGGAAGAGACGATCGACCGCGAGGCAAGCGTTCCCAGTTCCCAGCCTTTAGTTGCGTACCAACCATCGCGCACTGCACGTCGCGCGGCGTTCGTACCCGGACGAACGAGGCTTTTGCTCCATTCCACTGACAGCAGAGAGAAAGAGAGAAAAGAGAGTGAGAGAGAGAAAAAGAGGGGAGAAGAACATCGTAACTAGAAAGTAAAAATCGAAAGAAGAGGCGTTTTTGTCCGAGTTTCTTCTCGAAAATTTTCTTCCAATCTCGAGAGCACTTTATCGAGGCTTCAGGATCGAATATAAAATAAAAGAAGAAAAATCAAGACGAAAAGGTGAGTACATTCAAGGTACAAAAGGTATATTTACGATTACATTTAGGAAATGCTTTACCGGCATCTATAAACAGGGATAAGATACGATGTTCCTTTTGAATTAGAAGCAATTTAAAAATGAACAATGAATATGGATATACGAAGGCAAAGACAGGAGCCGTTGACTTTTCGTCGATCGATCCTTTTGTCGTCTCGTTTCTTCAACAGAATTGATCGAAACGGCAGTCAGGTGTTTTGCTTCGAAGAGACTCGACGAGTCCTCTCGTTGAAGAGTTTAGACACGGGAAATCATGGTATTAAACCAAGCGAAGAACCGCTTTCGAGAATAATCTTTGTCGAAGGTTCAAGAGAGCTCGTGTTGTATGAACATTTCGTACTCGTGAACAGGATCGATCGTTCAAAAATAGACACTCTCTGTGACAGTGACCTACGCTTATTTCGAAATCTCAATTAGGATGATGGATGACGTTCTAAATAATTAGGTACACAGTAGGATATCCTGTAACGCGATGAGAAAATTGCTATTGGTTACGTACAATTTGGAAAATAAAGTATAATACTTTTAAGGAAATACAATACATAATGTATAAACATGCAAACATAGAAATTCTGAAGCTGAAAAGAATTCAATTGACTAAGAGATTGTATTAACGCTTAAAAAAAAAAAAAAAAGGATATCGGTTACTTAATTTTAAGTGATTCCGACAGTTTGTCTTTTCACTTTAAGTTATTCTATACGTACATATAATGATATGAAAACTTCACATCCCTATCGTTTAAAAATAAAATAAAATGTGTATTATTTTCTGATATATTGAAAAACAAAATCGTTTAATTTAATTATAACATTTCACGTTCTGCTTCCATGTAACAGGAAATTAATAATTCCATCAGCGTTATAATAATTCTATATTCTATACCGTAATTTTCTTACGAATTCTCATTCGAAAATTCGATGAAAATGGTATTGTCTGTTGTTAAATTTACCGAATGTTTCGTTCTCTGAATCTTGTCGAGTTCCTCTGTTTTGTTTCTACTGCTTTTTCTATATGTATAAACGACGTTAGACTACAGTTAAGTACATTACCATGGTTACAAAGTACATGAAAATACCTCTACCGAATGATTTAATCGTGTAAATGACGTAATATTTGCTACGTCGCACCTGTAAACTGTATGAATGTCGCTATACCAATCCAATTTTACTTTCTGATCTCTGACCTGGTCGTCTATACATACACAATGATTCAGGGATACTCATCGCCGTTTTACATTCAAATGAAAAGCAATAATAATATGCAAATAATAGTACTTAAAAGTTATCATATTTATTGCTATTTATTTCGAGCTTGAATCTAACGCGAGAATTGTAAAAGAATATAAAGAGGACGTGACGCAGAGATTAGAATAATTACACTAGAATATTACATTTTAGAGTGAAATGTGAGTAAATTCTCATATTATTCTGAGAAATGGATTATCATTGTAGCAACGCGACGATTATGCGGGATAACGAGCATCGTAAAATAAATCTATGTTAATGCGTTGTTTAACTTAAGATTAACGAATAATATTCGATAATTAGTGTAAGTATATCAAATATCATTCACGCATTAAACGATTATGACTTTATGAAATCATATCTTGAAGATAACATGTCAAACAGATACTCCTACTTGTATATCCCATATGACAAATAATCACTGATATCTATCCCTAATTATGAATCACGTGACGGTTCTCAACATGTGAATCTCTTATGCAACCGGGCACAAAGTCACTATCTCAGTCGTGATTCAGAATCGAACGATTTCAAGTATGATATCGTGTTCATAAACTCCCGATCTCGTGGTGCAATTCTTGATTCCAAAAAACGTATGTTTAATGACCAGAAAGAAGGGGGGAAAAGTTGACGAATTTCAAAGATCGAGAACTTCTGATTTACCCTTCCCTTATTCTGATCGAGAGGAATTCCACATCACAGTTTCGTGTCGTGATTTAACGAAGATTTTCCTTGAATCGAATCATTATGCCCGTCAAGTGCCGATTTTAACTCTGATAAATGTTTTCGCAAGTTAACAAACCACTTGTCTTTTGAAGAGCGAAATATGTACTTCCCGCTCACTCGTGACTTTATCGATTAATCTAATGGTGCAGCCAACTGATTGTCAGAGCCATACTCGAGAAAAATTCGAAGGAAAAGCGTCGATTAAAGAAAAACGTTCGTTCTCCTCGAGGTAGTGTATATATGCACGTTCCACGAAAGTCATAGAAAGTCCGTATGCTGCCATGAAGGTGGTTTCAGCTATGAAATTACCGTATCATTAACTATGGTATTCCATGGTCTCCTTCGAGACGTACGTTCGTGACGACAATCTGTACTTTGCACGGAGAATTATGCAAGCTAACGAACTGCGTCTGCCACGCGACGTTCGATTATCTTGCTTTTCTTTCGTGCGACGAAGAAAACAATTGGGACAAGTTATAAAACTGTACATTTGATGTTTTCTGTTTCAGAGTACACATAACATGATGACCAAGTACGAGATCCTCGCTCTCAGTTGACAAGAGTTCTTTTCAGGAGAGGTCAAATTGACTAACGCGTTAACGAAAGAAAAAGGGAGGAATAGCTAAATAGAAGCGTGTACTAGTCGTGCCAACGAGAAGCGTTAAGAAGCAGCAGCTATGGATCCTTATTCACTAAGGTTAGTTTTACTTAAGAAAATATATTTACACTGCACGGACAACGATTTATGGAGATAAATTGAATGCAAAGGGGAAAAGAAATTGTCTGATTAATATAATAATGGCAAGTCCAAAGCCTTTGTGATAAATGTCGGAATAAGAAATGATGTCATTTGATCTTCGAATTATCTCGAGTTGTATGTATCTACGGAGGACTCAGAACCCAATCAGCGTCTCATTAGAAGTAATTTATGCCATGTATAATCTTTTATTATGTAGCCATATTTTTTCGTTGTAAAAATTGTCACTCCACAGAACAGTTTAGTCATAACATGGTCGTTAGAATATAATTATTATGATATTATAGCTAAACTCCATGGACTGAAGATTGTAATAAGAAAAATATGTTTATACGGTTTATATTTCCATTTAATGGAAAATGATTTACACTGGTTGTCAGTGGCTATACGGATAGAACGAAAGAAAATCGTCCTTTCTGGAGCAGATGGTAGATACCCAGAAAATAGGTCGATTTTCGACTTACCTCTATGTTAGGTATATTCTGTCAAACTTCTAAACTGGTTTTCGAAAGGTAGCAGGGATTTTTTTTTTTCCTTTGTAGCGATCGTCTACTGCCCCTCCATTCGTGAACAATTCAGGGAGATCCTTCTAAAGCAAAGCTTTTCCCTCCACTCCTTCGATTGCATCACGGCCTTTCCTGAGGGTAGAAACGATGTGAGAGGGTATATCACATATTCGTCGAAGAATATTTTTTCGTGACTCATCAAATAATTTCTTTGTTAAACATTCGACGTTTTACCATCGTAATGACGTATTATCGAAGAACGATAAGTTCAAAAGCTCATTTTACTAATAGTTTACTAAATGTTTCTTTTTTTTATCGAACGGTAATTCAAGCTTGCATCGTTGCAACGTTAGCTGGCATGTTATTGTTTTGCAAGAAGAGGTTCTCAAAACCGTGTGCCTAGTTGACTATTTAGACCGATCGGTTTCTATTTCATAATAGTGAATAGGGATAATCGAGAATTCAGAGGATGATCTCATAGCGAATATGTTATTGTGATTCCTTGGCTGTCCTCGAACAATAAAACCCAATCGGTTCTGTTTTCGTTGTTCGCGCACGTATAACGACAATACATGATGTACAACGCGAATTTTGGAAAGTGTCCTTCGGCATTCGTCGTTCTCTCGACGAATGAGCCTGTTCGTATTCGATTAACAGGTAGCGAAAATTTCGAATTTAGAACGTCAAGTCGAATGAAAACACACGTGGTTCGTTCGGGTGAATAACAGGAAGACTCATTCTTCGGAGAACCAGTTTTGCCAGCGTAAAACGTCGGTACTCTCGTTTTGGACGCGAAAGGAATTAAATTGCCCGTGCTTGTCGCTTTCTGTCCTTTTGAAACATTATCGATATCAATCTTTCAAAACGTGTTCAACGCTTGTTAACACAAACAACGAAGAAGAAAATAAGTAAAGAAAAAAAAAACGAAAAATTTTTCAAAAGAAAAAAAAAAGAGCAATTAAATCGATCGATGAAACTTTGACTAAGCCAAGAATACATCAAAAAGGAAAATTTAATTTAATTTTAAATACAAGTAACTTATAAGCATGTTTTCACGATTCCAGTTTCGGAAATTAATCTTTGCTCTAACATGTTGATATCGTACTTACTAATATAGTTAATTTCGCAAGAGGTTGTAAACATAGAACGAGGAATAATCGAGTCAATATTCAAACACTGTTCTCTAATGAAATTGCTAGTGAAATAAGTATCGTTTCGTCGGCGATGGTTTCGTATTAATTAAAACCGTGACGTTATACGATGAAATATCTCCGGCGTTCGTTAGGGGATAAACTTGGTTGCATTCTCTTGCCACGATATAGGAAATACATGTATACCGGTAGGTGTTCTACTTGCACGTCCATTTACAATCCATCGGTGAATAGGTCAATTACTGTTACCGTGATACGTACTAGGCTGAAATGAAATAAGGCACGAGAATTGATCGATTCAAGTCCATGATTGGAAAATGGCTGATCACGAACCTATGCGTGATCAATACAATCATTGAAATTTTTGCAGTGTGTTGTCCAAATACCTTTTTTATCTTATCTGTCTTATCCAACCAGTTTGGTTAGTTGCGCCATATAACAAAGCATGTAAGTTTAATTCATTTTTTCTGTATCACGACATTGATAATGAATCCAACAATAACTGTAACACGTTGTGATGGAACCACTCATATCATTCTTTTCTTTTTTCTTCCTTCCTAAGATCCTTTATATATATATATATATATATATATATATATATATATACACACCATGATACGATAAAAATGCGAAAGAGAGAACACGCTATCGCTACCTATGAAGAAGCTATATTAAAATAACGTAAAATGACGTCAACCATCATTATTTTTGGTGCGATAGAGAGCTTACAATTAGTATCGAGTTGTTCAGTAGTAACAATATTCATGATACGAATAACTGTGCGCTATTTCCATCATATTTTCCCATCACTTTGAAATTTCAAAATCTGTAATACAGGCAAGGCGATTGGGACACGATCCTCTTAAGTTCGAAATTCGCCAGACGTCCGTTCGCATCTTGTAATCGACACGATCGTATTTGCCGCCCCGTTTTACGTTTCAGCACGCTACGATGGCTAAAGCTAAAAATGTCAATACTAAAAAATATATATGTCTGTAAGTACATAGCCTAGTCTGCGCATCTATTTTTAGGAAAGCCGTTTAATATCGTTAGAACGAGTATTTTTTTAGTGTGAGTGTCGTATCAACGGGAGACGACAGTGAAATATTCCATGCAACGACGTGAAAGTTTATCAGGCCGATGGAAAATTAAACAAATTATGAAAACGAGCAGCTCTTGCTGTTTATCGAAGCATCATTTCTTGGCTGGCATTAAATAGTCGCGAATATCAATTAGTCTTTCCGTGTTTGTACATGCACGACTCTCCCAGCATATACACGCAGTACGTAATCGTTTCACTGATAATGCATGCTATTGCTTTATTGATTTCTAGTCATTTAGTTTCATTGTTTCCATTATTACGTGCTTATTTTCACCAAAGAAATTACTGACAGCCCAAATTCACTGGTTTAATTGCAATTTGAAACTTATTCGGTCGACGATAATTTAATTCTGACAAATCATTATTAGAGTTATTATTATTATTATTAGAGATATATTGGTAATGTACGAGAGTCTATTAGTGCCTAGTTACCTTGACCGATCGTAAGGAATTCATATCTATATTGCTGTTTTCTTTTGACAGTCCTTTTCTTAATCGATAAATGCAACAGATAAAACGTAGATATTATATGATATAATTTTTCTCGATCTTCCTACTTCGTGCAATCTATTCGTTTAGAGAAGAAATTATATAATTCTTATCTTTCCGTTGTCATGCTTGGCAACGAACGTTAGACTTGCCAGTTGAACAAGCCGAGAATGTATTAAATTGAAACGAATTGCCAGTGTCATGTAATAAAGCACGCAACTGTATCGAGGATTACTGACGATTTCCACGTGGCGTTCAAATTCATCGACGTCAAAATTCTCAAATTAACGCCTATTAATCCTCCGAGCACTTAATTAAGCTGACAATGAGTTAAGGCCTGACAGATTAGCCGTGAAACGTATTTCCAGCCACTGTTACACAACATTCGCATATTGTTCTTGCGTGAAAAATAATTCTGTACATCATTACCTCACCTGAAAACAAAATATTCATGTCGTCACTAAATCCTCTTTATATTTATTTTTTATGCATAAAAATTAATTCCTATTAGTGTACAGATAATGTAAAGTGTGTAAAGAGCGCCAGCACAATAATAAAAAAACGCAAAGAAACAATAAGAAAAAACAAATATAAAAGACATAAAAAGATAAGAAATGATAAAAATACGTTGTAAATATAAGATATTACAAGATTTTATAGATATGAGATAGGAATGCGTGAATGGAGTCAAAGAAAAAAATCCGAAGCGTTATTTATACGTACATACAAGAAATAGATGCGTCTTACTGACTTCACAAGTGCCTAAAAATTGTTTAGCTTCAAGAACTGAGGACAATTCCATTATCCTTCAAGAACTGAGGATAACTCCATTAATAAATTTAAGATTTAAAAAATTCTTCCAGTTTATAATGGAACTCTACTTAGAATAGAATTGTAATTGTAATGTAATGATCTGTTGTTTTTTATTCTAATTGGTAAAGATGTCAGAACTTAGAAAAGAACTTACGTCATATATTTCCAAAATTTGCGACAGAATCCCAAGTTCATATTCATAACCAATAGAGGTCAGTCTCCGAAAAAATGATTTTTCATGATTTAGTGACATAATGTTAATTTTACATCAATATGAAGAATTACAAAGATACTGTCGCAATAGGAGATAATTCGACGAGATATCTTTTAATGATTTTTACATCATCGACGTACAACATGAATCGACCATGATATATTCATCGGAAAGCGATTTAATTATCGCATATCGTGTGTAGTATTTAAATGATGTGTGAACCTGGTTTTCCATTCCGTTCTCGGTCATCGATCGATTTAAGTTGCATCAACTTGTCGCAATAAATCGGCAGCTGCTATAAATCTATTTGTAATTACCATCGTAGGCATAGACATCGCGCGTGCACGATAAACCGATTCGTGTGATATCACTGTTACGAAAGACAATCATGTGGAAATTATATATAGTTTTAAATAGAATTATATATAGTTTTAACATTGCCAATATTCGACAGAAGAAGAGTAGTTAAACGAGAAATTAATCGGGTTTGTAGCGAGACAGTATTATGAATAAACGAAAACGCTCTATTATAATCGCAAATCGTCACATGTGTCGGTCTTTCTCCCATAATCTTAAAAAAGCGAACAAGTTCATTTATTTTCAAAAATAATTTATAAATTGCGTAAAAAAAAAAAAAAAAAAAAAAAAAATTCAGACAATGAAACCTATTCCTTATTGTCCGTTTCGTTATCTTTAATACTTTAATCACTTGCAGTCGTTTCGAGGAAGAAGTAATAAAAGTGTTCGTATACGGGCTCTTTGTGTTTCAGTGTGGAGCGCGAGGCGTCGAAGAACATCGAGGAAAATGAGAGGGAATGTTTTAAAGATGCGATTGTGTCAAGCAGAAGTCTCAACAAAGGCTTCGTCGAACCTACTACTATTAAAAATGCCATACCGGAGGTATAACATCATGGAAGAATTATAAAGAAAATGCAATTGAATATCTAATCGAATCTATCCTTAGATCGCTTCCTGTATCATTGCCGCATCTTTCCACATATCGGTAGGGCTAGCTATGGCATATTCGGCTATTCTGATTCCTCACCTTGAAGTTGAGGACGCGGAATTGCATGCAACGCAAGAGCAGACTTCCTGGATCGGTAAGCAAACAACTTCCCACGTGCGATAGATTCGATAATAAAATGACTATTATTATTAAATTTATGAAAAATTTAGAGAATGCCGTGTAAAGTTATATACCTACGTCATAAAGAATAGTCGTCAAACAAAAGAATCGCAGTTTACGAGCAATAAATATTTTAACTACAATTCTAACAACCAGCAAAGATATAGGTGAAATGTTAAGATTGAATAAAAACCAATTTAGTAAATATGGCTAGTTTACACGAAGAATTACGATTTTTTAAAACTTTTACGATTCTTCAAGTTCAATTGTTTGTAAATTTATGTATAACTGCAAGGAAAAAATAAACATATAGGAATGTTAAACGTGATCGATTTTCAGCTAGCGTGGTAGTAGTCTGCACACCTTTAGGCGCCTTGTTAGGTGGGTTTCTAATGGAAACAGTGGGAAGATTGCGAACCCTTCAATTCGGCTCTATTCCCTTCATCGCAAGCTGGATTCTAATAGCACTTTCAACCAATATACCGATGGTTTTAGTCGGTCGATTGTTAGCAGGGCTAGCCACAGCCCTAGCAACTTCACCGGCAATCGTCTACATCACCGAGGTCGCACGACCAGAACTTAGGGGATCGATGATATCTTTCGGTCCAACTTTGGCCTCGTTTGGTATGGTGCTTTCGTACTTAAAGGGTGCATATATCCATTGGAGAGCAGTGGCCTGGCTTAGCATAATTTATGCAGTTGTACCAATTATTTTGGTACAATTCTTTGTTCCGGAATCACCTGTATGGCTCGTTTCTAAAGGACGATTGGAAGATGCGAAGAAATCCCTCGAATGGTAAGTAGAGATTAATGAAAGTGTTCTGAATAACTTTGTCGAACTGATCGAATGAAATGGACGATACATAAGAATGTTTTGAATAAAGACAGAAGGATAGTTTCTTTTGCGACAGCAGATAGAAATTCGTATGCGACAGCAGATAGAAATTCGATTTCACTACCGAAAGATACGAAAGCATTCTGAACGTTTGTATTTGAATCACAGGCTGTACAAGCACGAAGCGAAGCAAGGGAAAGTGTGCGCCGCGGAGGCACAATTCAATACGATCGTAAAGGAGAACGAGATCAAATTGAACGAGCAAAGGAAAAGCAAACACGGTGGTGTCTCCACTAAACTTAGGGGATTCCTGAAGCCCACAGGATGGAAACCATTAACGATACTCTTTCTATTCTTCTCCTTCCAACAGTTTTCTGGCATCTACATCACTCTCTTCTACGCTGTCACGTGGTTTCAAGTAAATAACAATCTTCCTTCACAGTATTGTAAATCGTCGATTTGATCGTTATGTTATTTCTATGTTCATCGTAATTACTATCATTCAGGAAGTCGGTTCCGGTGTGGACGCATACATAGCCTCGATTCTAGTCGGTGTAACTCGTTTTTTGTGTTCAATGGTGAATACTTGGTTGCTAAGGCGATATAAAAGGCGGCTCCTCTGTATAATCTCGGCTTTGGGAATGACTCTTTGTATGGCCGTTTCCGGTTATTATACCTACCTTATTAGGAACGGCGATCGTTCTGGATATTGGGTAAGCTTTCGAGATCAAACGATACACATATACTTCAATAAAGTTGACGAAATTGACAATTACCTTTGATCATGTTGTTTATCTGCCTGTTTATTAGGTTCCTGTCCTGTGTCTATTGCTTTACGTTTGCACATCTATGGTCGGTATGCTGACTATTCCATGGACCATGACAGCCGAATTATTCCCCACTGAGATTCGAGGAATCGCGCATTCCATTAGTTACTCCCTCGCTAATATGCTAATGTTCGCTGCTCTACAAAGTTATAGAAGTTTACAAGATTTCCTTGGTGGTATGTGTACAATATTTTACAGAAACTATATTTACTCACTAAAGTTTGCCCAAGTTATCTAAACGTGAAAAAAGATCTCATCATCGATAATGGTTATCAGTAATCAAAAAGAAATTATTGGTAATTAAATAAAAATTGTATCATCGATAATTATTACTTTAACGATAGTAAAAAAAAAAGTTTATAATATTCACTCGTAACCGAAATCCTCAAAATAATAAATAATTTATCAATCTCGCTCCAAGGCTTTCGCGACTTAAATACTATAAGTTTTTTTCAATTCCTTCTGTGGAAATGCATTAATATACTCGAGAAAAATTCAAAGATATTTTCATATAATTCTGTTTTCTGTGTACTAGTTTCTCTAAAATTGTTACGTAGAACTCTTGCATCTGATTCTAAATGTATCTTTTCTATTTTTATTTTTATTATAGGATCCCATGCCGTGCAGTGGTTCTTCGCTGGTATCTCAATAGCAGCCGCCGTGTTCGTGTGGCTGTTACTTCCAGAAACTCATGGCAAAAAGCTCTCGGAGATCGAGGAATATTTCCAAAATCATTTCCTAGCAGTCGGCGCCGAGGCGAAAACGAAGAAACGACACGCCCAAAGAAGGAAACGGCGTACTGATAAATCCGCCACAGAGCCATTAAATCCGAAAACAACGCAGAACGTGTAGACGCTTCCTTTTATGTGGCTGGGAGATCAGGAGGAAGAATTCCTAGCTGTGTATGTACATATAATATTTCCTCTATACATGACATACGGATTATCTTTTTAGTTCAAGTTGTACCTACATAAAACGCGAAGATGCGAAGATCAGATTATTACAAACAAAGTACAGGTCTACTTTAATACAGAGGAAAAAAGGGGAGAGAGAGTGAGAGTGAGAGAGTGAGAGAGGGAGAGAGAGAATGTGAGAACGAGAGAGAGAGAGAGAGAGAGAGAGAGAGAGAGAGAGAGAGAGAGAGAGGAGTGATATTGATTAATTACATTACGAAGCTACGTAGTTTCGTACTTAAATATTTTTGTCTAAATAGCCGTAAGAAACAACAAATGAGGAGAAAAGTATCATACGATAGAAGAAAAATTAGAAAATCTTCGACATATTTCCAAGTTGAATGGAACACGAATATGAATAGCATGAGAATATTTCTGAAATATTTTGTCCACAATATATGAAGTAAACGAATAACCTCAGTTATTGTTGATACGAGGAAAATTTTAAAACAAATATTCATAGAATGATATATGTATGTATATATATGTATATGAACCAGTGAATTGGCAAATTCCCACTGAATTGCCGATTTACGTTTATTTCACGATAAGAACAGCTTCAAAAACCAAATGTTTGCATGTGAGAATTCATCAATATACATATGGTGCATACAAGAGGGAGAGATGATCGATAATACGCACGACATGTGCATACAACGTGATATTACAAAGGCAACCAGACGAGAAAACCAAAAAAACTAACGATCCTACAAAACAGTATTATACGTTGATCTGATACAGTCATCCTTATAAAATTGTATATGGATGACCGTAGAAGACGATAAAAAGATTCTTCGTTTGGTGCGAAGGCTAATGGCTAACTTTATTTTTTTCTTTACGTTGTAGATTGTCTCGCGAAACAGCTTATAATCGTTTGCCGCTTTCAGGCGTTTTTTTAGCATTCCTTTTTCGGAAACCAGTTGTTAACAACTTTACTGTGATTTATCAATATTTACAAAGAAAAGTCGCGCAACGAGAGGAAAGCAGTATCCTGTTTTATCTGCAGAGCATTTCAATTGTACGCGAATATTGTACAGTGCAAGCGCTGCCTATATAATGTATGCCATTAATGCTATCCATTGTTCGTTCAAACTTGCTTTCCTTCTAATAGCGCCCATCTACTTAAACTACATACCTAAACATTACGATCGTCACTTTTTATACGATCTTTTTGTCACGTTTAATATTCAAGCTGATATACAGACCATTTTTTACAATCTTTTTGTACCAGATCCCCTTTGTTCATTGAATGGCCGAGAATCAACTATTAACCAAACGTACAAACGTACTTTTTTTTACTAGTTCATGAACCATCGTCAATTTACGGATATTCTATCGTTGACTAATCGAACTTTTATTGGATGTGATAATCGTAATCAATGGACCAGATCAAACATCCAGTGTATCTTAAGATGTCGGGTGGATGCTTTATCGAAATTCAATTTGTCCGTAAATTGTTAAATTACACATAATGCAGCCAATTCTCGATAACTGTTGTTATTAGCAAAAGGAAAGATGAGCTTACAATTAATCTCTGGTTAGAAAAAACATGTGTATCGTGCGTTAATTTTATCTAGGAAAATTGTTAAAAAATATATATGTCGGGTTCTTTAATTCAACAAGTGCCTTTCTTTTTTTTTTTTTCTGTCGACTGTTTGATCAATTTTTTTCATAATATAAGTATGCGTGAATATGCGAGCAGAGTAGAATTTATATGAATAAATACTTTGTATCGTACTGTATAGCATGCTTGTATTCTTCGATTATACGTGTATGTATACATATATACTTACATCTATATGCGTATACGTAACATTGTAAAATTTAATAGGATGTTTTTAATAAAATCATATTTTTGGAAATTGTAAAATATTGCAATTTATCACTAAAGTATCATGTTAATCGGCAGAACAATTGTCATGAAAAAATGTGAAAACAATTATCATGAGCGTTTGGTTATTAACGCTTTCGAATAAAAATTATAGCTTTTACTCACCGATTTGGATGCAACATGGACGAATCTGTGAAGTTCAAGATAAAATCAATCAATAAACACTTTCTAAGATATTTTACGTTTTTACAAGGATTGCTACTCAATTACACAATTTTAAATGTTTCGAAAAACCGTTAACGTCGTTCGCGGATGGGAAGTATGTAACTAATGAAGTTTCGAAGGAATCATGAATGCTGATTGGTCGGCGTGAAATGTGCGCGAACATTAATATTCCTTTTTGAATTTTGTTTTATTTATAAGTTATATATATATGTAATATATTTCGTATATGTTGAAAAATATGTACCGAGACAATCTTGTAACAAAATATTTCGAGAAAATTGAAATATAGAAAAAAATATAAACGAATGTATACATCACGTGATTGAAGTAGTCACGTGACCATACGGACATCACGTGATACTTATGGCGGTTTATATAGGAAATATAAATTCAAATAGTTCGAAAGTATACGACAATTGGCTTTATTCTGACGCGAGAATTCATCAATTAACGAATGAAAATTAAATAGTTTAAATTACACGAGTTTCGTAAATGTACGCATACGTATATGAGATATAAGATCGACATTTAATAATAAAAGATAGTCGGACGAAATATCGCAACGAAGTAGCAAAGTTATTTATTTACGACTTTTTGCTGCAGTATTGCATATTAATTCTGTCAATCTTAATTTTGTTTTATCTATCAGACAATTCTATGTAATCGACTAGTGTATGTATTGTCAAATCATATCGGAGGATTATTTCTAATTGAAAATCCTTCAGGAAGAGAAAGAAGTCTTAAAAAAAAAATAAAAAAAAATAAAAAAAAAGAAAAGTTAAACTACATGCTCAACACGGGACTAGACGTATTTTCAAATTTCATTTATTGACAGACATATGAAGCAATCGACCATTCATCGTTTGCATATAAAATATATTCTCTACTATTAGTAAGATCAGCGTATTAAATATATCGGTGATTGAGATAATATTTTGTTCCTCATTTATTTCCAACAAATCGACTTTCATTTTTCGCGGAAAATCGGAAGAAAATTCACGATTGGGAAATTTTATAGAATGAAATATCTATGCGTATAAGTATTAAATTAATAGATGTGTATTAACAGAATTAATAGCCATGTCTGCGGTGCAAAAGTTATTTCATTTGATCGCATTTAAATGAATACCATATAAAGCGAAGATTCAGCACAAATTGGCGATGATAATAATAATAATAATAGTAATAATAGTAATAATAGTAATAATAATAATGATGATGATGATGATGATGATGATGATGATGATGATGATGATGATAGTAATAATGTTGATAATACCGAATACCAAAACAAACTTCCTTCCACGTAGAGAAGGAAAAATTTTTATAATTTCATTTTTATACGCCAATACGGTTATTGACGCTACACGTAACAGCGTATATCCTTTTTATATCGCAACGATTTCTCAAGACAGACATATACCCATGCTTAGTCATTTCCGTGTAATCGTTTAAATTTAAATCAATTAAAGCATTAGTATGTGCTAGATTGGATTGCAATAAGCACGGACATTGATGTAGAAATTCTTACGACGATCATTTTTTAATTACAATGAAGTATGTTTGTTTTTGCTTTTCGTGTTTTTCTTTTCCCCTCTTCTTATCACATCAAGTATAAAAGCAAAAGTACACTACGCCGGTGTAACAAATGAATTATGCCTATGGATTACACTGGTATAGCCTGATCATCATCGTGTTGCAAATAGAGTGGCAAGGATCTCAATAATATGCCAATAATATATTCATACTTACGTATCATACACGCATTAGTAAATATAATATAAATCCCGTTGTCAATAATAATGCTCAAAAACTTAACAAAACAAGCTGTCTTCTTTTTTCTCTTCTTTATAAATGATCGCGACACTACGCAGAGTACAGCAGTGCCAAGGTCCGTGTTCTCAGCACGACCAACGCTGCAGGCAGTGACGGTGAGCTACCTAATCCGTATTAATATTACATTAGGTTCTATATTATTTAATATGTATATATATACACGATCCGCACACACCAATTCAAACTCTAAATCGTTTTTTTTTTTTTCTTTAAATAATCACGACGAATAATGAACAATTAATTGTGAAAACAGTATCGGTAAACGTTAAAATATTTATGTTAAATAAATTGATAATCACACTAAATCCTACGCATATATTCTTCACTCTTTCCCTTTGATAGTCCATCCACGGAATACTGTAAAACATCATAGCAATTTCCCGTGAACGAAAAAACTATTCATCCTGCCCTTAATCAAACCGCAATAGATAAAAAACGATTCGTGTCCGTACAATTTGTTTTGCGATTATTATCGCAATTTATGAAAATAGACATGATACATTCTTAAATGATGATAATGATATATGTATCAATTCGTTCTTCGTGTTTTGTGACAAAGTTGCAAAACGAACACGAAGATTGTAGATAATCCGATTCCTTCTTTTCTTTTTCTTTTGCATTCTAATAATTAATGAAAAACTTTTCAAAGTTCGATCACTGTCCACTTTACGCAACATCAGCAAATACAGGAGCTCTCTAGCTAGTTGCAGACTACAATCGCTTCAACAATAGTTTTTTTCTTTCTTTTTTACAAGATGATGAAAGACGATCCCCGAAATCTCGTCCTGACGACGCCAAAGGCACCAAGTAAAAGAAATAGCCTGACTATTCGAACGTTTGAATCCAATTGCCTTTTTGTCGCACATAGTCAAATATCATTTTTGGCACTGTTTGGCCACCTATTGGAAAATCAAAACACATGCTAATTCATGTGTTTTATCACATCGAGTTAAATGAGACACTTCTGCGTCCTCAAATCTCGAGAATATTCATACGTGAGTTTAATGCACAATAATATTTAAAGAACATGGTCAGATTTAGTTAATGCAATATCTATTCCTTCTTGTTCATTTTAATGCTTCGATGATCTACTTTCAATTTTATTGTGAAATTATTTTGTTACTTGAACCTACTAGTAAGAAAAGACAACGAATGATCTGTATATTTTGTATATAATTTTATCCTTATATATAAATAAAACAAAAACAATGGCACAGAATATTACTAAACTCGTTATGTTAGCTTTGATTTAGCATTCGTTTAATTATTGGCAACGTGACGAATAGTTTAAATATTAAAGTTAGTTTCGATTATCATTTCCCTAATCATTCCTACTCTAATTTTGCTGACTTCATCGCATATAATCTCTCATTCACTCTATCACATTCTCTCTGTTTCTCTCGCAGGCTCTGTGTGTTCAAATATTATTCCTGTTGTTTTTTCAAGAAACTTCCGACTATCTCTCGTCTGTATTTCTTGGATCATTGTGCGTCCTTGGAAATCTGACTAGCACACGGATTTTTAACAAATAAATTCATGGTTTCATTTTCGACATTTCGATTTACACGTGTATAAGAGCTCCCGTGACAATCGTATTATGCATACGTGTAGATTACTGATAAATACGATACTCGCGCGAGCCTTTTTTATTTCATTAATGCTGAAATGCGAAAAAAATATTTTATATGAAATTTATTCATCCTCACTGTGTTCATATAGAACCGATACCAAACATATCGCCTATTCTCAGTTTGAACTTTTCATCAATATTTTTGAATGTTTTTTACTTTTCTCCTAATTTATTCATTACAAAGTGCACAGTAACTTATTGCCACGTGCAATGTTATTAGCGATGTTTGTAGATCGGCGAACAAGCGTATAATGTACTTTTATACAATGTTTTCTCGGTATAATTCAAAACATTCACGTACATTCTGCTTATAAAGTATATGAGATCTCTTAACAGTGATGTCGCACTATCTTCTTATACTTTCATTCGAATCAAATCGATATTTAAGTCATTGAAATCACATTCCTATTGAACAACCGTAATCAAGTCTAAGAGACGCACAATATGCAGAGATGTCTAAATATGTACAATATCTTAACAAATAGCAAATAAAATTCAAAGTATATAAAATTACAAAGTGGACAAGAGGCACGATACTATTTTTTTCAAGCTTTATAAGATATGAAGAATTTTTTAAAGCTTTCTCTTCTTTACCACATGAAACAACGCTGCAACTTAACATCAAGATGTAACGTATTAATACATGTATTATGACTGGAGAAATCTTACATCTAAAACGATTCTCTCTTTGCAACAGGTATAAATTTTTGGCAAACAAAACAATATACGTAAATAACTTGTATATTACCTGTTTTGATGCAACATCACTGTTAGGAGTTCAGGTATATCGTACACATTTTTTTTGCCGTGAAATCGTACAGATCAGTCTATCGTATTGAAGAACATCGACTTGTATTGTTTTATTGTTTGATCGTAATCGTCACGGATTGGACTTACTCAGGAAGTCAACCAGCATACGTTCGTGCCTTGCACTCAAACGAGTGAATCTCTTAAGTATCGCGATTCTAAGTGTCGCGGAGTTTGATGTTAGTTAATTTTTGTTATTACTACGTGGGCTTGCTGGTTGACTGTTTGCTTGTTGTGCACGTTGTATGTAAATATTTAAAAGTTTCAGTTTGCTGGTATATAAACAGCTGAGATGTGGTTTCAATAGTTCTTCACCAACTGCCAAATGTATTGCTACCATACAAAACACGGCACTTTTACGTACTGCACTTTCATTATCATCGTACGCCTGTTTAGACACGTATAATTTACATTGTATATTATAATAAAACAAAGATTCTCTACATATAGATTATATGTTAACTTACTTTGATGAGACCAGGCATGACTTTCGTTAAATGGGGTTCTATTGCATCACGACCCCAATGCTCTACAACCTTATGAAGCATTTTTATCGCGCCCATATTCAACGGGTATGGTTCGGTAGTTATTATAGTCGATACTAAGTGAATTACTTGTTCTGGTTTCAAAACCATCGCAATTGTTGCAGCACATTTTTCCGCCATCCAAAGAACCTGATAAAAGCAAAAGTAAAAGTAATAAAACGATAATCGTTGATATATCATGAAATTAATTTATATACTTACCGGGGATCTTGAATTACTGCTACCGGAAGAATCTTGTTTCTGATCGTCTAACTTATATGCGTTAATTACTTTTAAAACCAGCAATTCAGGATAGACAGAGAAACTGTCTACAAGTTCTTGACATTTAAGCATATCAATTAAAGTTTGAAGCACTTCTACTTGCATTCTTTTGCTATCGTTAGTCAAACTATCTAATAACGTTTTGAGCAGTTTTCTAGAAAATAAAAATAAATAATTAGAATTCTCTTAATCATAGTAATAGAAAAGTAATCTAGTTAAATATAATAGCATAATGCATACTTAAAATTTTGCTTAATATACAAGGCATCTCCTTCGCGAACATACAATTGAAATTCTTGTAGAGATGTTACTTTTTCTTCAGTTTGTGTCATTTTGGATTGCAACGTTTTAATCATATTATCTAATATTTCTGGCCTCTTTATCGAATCAGGTGATGAACCTGTGATAAACATTTAATAAATCAAATAGAATTAAATGAGTTGACGAGTAATTTTTTTATAAATAATTTTGTACATGCCATGTGTTTTATAACCATTATTTTCTTGAGGTAAGATAAGATCTCCCGCGATCGTATCACTTGAACCATTAACTGTAATATTAGTCACACTTCGTCCTCTTTGAGTAGGTGAAGAAACAGAAGACGAACGACCCTAATAAAAATAAAAAACGACGTGCTAATGCATTTCAAATACAATGTATTTTTAAAACACTATCGGCGGGAAGGGTATTAATACCTTTCCCGCAGACTAGCGTCGAACGGCAGCTCGGGTATTAATACCTTTTGTGTAGGAAGTACATTTTTTTTATGCAACACATACTCTGCATTGTTTTTGGGTACAATTTCTCTTTCCTCCTGTAATTAACCCTTTGACGTATTTTGATGAATCTGACTCGTAATTACAGTTTCGGGCCAAACATGAATAGATAATGTCGTGTTTATACAGTGAATAAAAAGAAAAGTTTGAATTCTTATATGTGTGAATTTTGTGAGATTCCTTTTCATAGGGGTGACAAAAATATCATATTCAAAAAAATATTAGAGTAAAATAAAATTACTATATATAAAACTAGATAAAAAATATTTGTAAAAATTAGTATGCTCGTCTTATTATTATTATCGTAAACTCATAAAATCTTTAATTTTTTTTGTCTACGTTATTAAATGAAGAAATAAAAAATTAAATTAAAAATTTCATTCTTTTTAATTTCATCAATACGTTTGAAATATTATATGTTACTTATTTTCCAAATTTCATTGAAATCCTACTATTAGTTTTGAAGATACATGTTTCCTAAAAGGACATTTTTTTCATACTTCATTAATTTTCGCCCGCTAGACACATGAGTAAAGCGCACTGTAACCCGCCAATAGTGCTTTAACAGTGTATGTATATGTATATCACCCATTTAATTACCGAGTTACATAATGTAAGTCCCTCCATTTTTTCTTCTACATCAGCCATATTACTAATTCCACTGTCTTTACTAGTAGTTGCTCTTTCCAAACGTTCGAAACCATAATTTTGTATCTCTGCTGTCGTACGTCTTAAAGATCTGTGGGAAGCACTTAAAAATTAAAATGACTAAGAATTATAAATTGTAAACTCATCGAGTTAAGAACGTCACTTACTTATAAACTTCTTCCAAGTTTTCATCCGCATTGTCAATATCACCTTTACCTTTTGAACGAGCTGGTGAACTCTGCGCTCTAGGCGGCGGAGTTCCAGGAGATGCGGGATTACTTGAACCTGACGATTTTCTTAAATGATTTTGCACTAGCGGCAGTGCTGTCTCCTAATTTGATACATTTGACAAACAGTATAATTTATTTTTTGTTTGTAATAAAAACTGCTGGTGTATTTAACAACTTACCTGATAATATTTCGGTAATTCAGCTAATATCATAGTCACTTTCGGAGGATTTAAATTATACAACGATATAACAGCGCTTTGTGCATGCCTTCTAACATCTTGGCTTTTAACATCCTTTGACCAATCAAGTAACCTTGCCAGCGCTGTTCCTGCAGAATTATTAAGCGCAGACGGTTCTGCTGTTTCTGCTATTTGTGTAATAAACGTAAGTGTGGCTATTTTGACGCGAGAATTTGGTGTTTGTGTTGGATCCGTCAAATACCTCATTACGGCAGGTAAAAGTTGTTCTCCTGGGAAGCATTCTCTAAAAGTTCGAAAAGATTTAAGCAATTTTCTAAAATTAATAAAGTATTAACTTCAATAATCTCACATTTAGCCTTACCTAACAACCTCAAGCGTTTTGTGAATTTTCGCTTGTATCGATCCAAGTAAGTCAGTCCCTAATTTATTTAATAATCTCGCACATAATACGTAAAGCCAATCACCAAGATCTTCACTATGAGTAGCTACTAATTCATTCAGTGTATCCAAAAATAAACTGAATACTTTTGTGTGAGAATCCATAAACATTTTCGTAAAAATGTCCGTTACTTTGCGCAATTCCGTAGCTGTAAGCGTATTTCCATTTGAAAGAAAATGTTGCAATCCGACTAAACCTTCTTTCCTATCACCCCAATGTTTATGTGCACAATTTTCTATGATTTCCTTAATATCCTGTAAGTTAAAGAATTTTTTTTCATAATATTAGAAACAGTAATGTACAAATTCTTGTTTTTAATGTATGTTTGATAGGGTTCTGCTATATTTTCTCTTTTGGCAGAAGAAGTATGACATAAATGAAAATGAATATTAAATTTAACAAACCTTTGGGATAGATTGATCCCACATATCACGATACAGTCTCTGTTGAGAGCCACTCCATGAGAACGACTAATGGGTAGATGGACGATGGACAGATATGAAGAACAGAATGGCGCATCGCGTTAGTCCAAACCAAACAAATACGCCGCAACAAAACCAAAAGAAAACATGACATGCGTTATCTACAATATAAGATGCTGAAAGCCTGCTTTTTAAGCTTGTGGTCTAATTCTACTCTGGTCGTCGAGAGTTCAGGAACTAGGATATTTTTACAAATCTAAATATATGAATTTAATGGAAGAAATCTTGAATAATTCGAATCACATAGAGTAATAAACTCGAGCACCTAGCATGATATTCATGAACTTGTGTTTGATTGAAGACAGATATGTTTAAAGCATCTTCAAATTGCATGACAAATGAAAACTCTCAAATAAAAATAACACTGCAAGCATTTATAAACATAAAATAAAAAAGCGTCATGATACAATAATTGCATGTATCATGTGTTTATAATGCTAACGCATAAGTGATATTTGTTATAACGTATATTGTTCATAAAATCGATGTATTCTGTATTAGATATTGGATACTTTGTATTAATTTTACTTTTCTACTATCATTATGATGAGGTGATCACTACTCTATCTTTTAGTACAGAGTCCACACCATTCCATCTACTTACATCATTTGGTCGCCTAAAGCTGTCCATACTTCGTTCAGAGCATATGCTGCTAGTTTCACTATCATCACTGTGATCACCCTTTCCTCTTGGTGTTCTTGTATAACTATCAATGCTATCAAACGTAAGTGCATCCGCCAACGCTGATTCCGCTTCGCGCGACTGTTGCAACATTTTCTGTGCCATAACTGGTCTAGATTGTGGCCTGTCCGTTGGAGACATATGTAAACTTCTTCCCCTACATTTCATTGTATTCTTTATTCAATCAGAATTAAGATTAAGCAAGAGTATCGAAGTGAATGCTATACCGTATTTTGCTTGCAAAACTTCTATCCATTCCAAACCTTTGCGGGCTTGGTTCACGACTATTACCAGTACTTCTGATTCCATGTCCAGATAACCGCCTAGGTCTTGCAATTAATGATTCTCCTTCACGATTATATGTTGCATAACTCAGTCTTGACGATGGCGATCCTGATCTACTGCTAGCTGTTACGTATAATATATAAATTATACTGATTTTTTTTTTTTTTTTTTTTTTTTTCAAAAAAGTTGAACAATTATTCTTTCTTTTCTCTGAACTTACGTTGAGATTGCGATACTCCAGATACTCTTGTTCTTGTTCTTGCGGTTCTTTCTGGACTTGCAATGGCCGTTGTGTCTGGTGATTTGTTAGGTCGAGCTAAATGAAGGAAGCATAGATATGTACGATTCCTTTAAAATATATAGTAACAGTTACAATGAAAATTTTAAAAACTTCTACTCACGGAGAGATGCTTTTTGTCGGCTCATATTCGCGTACATCATTCTCGCTTTAGCTCTTTGTGCAGCTTGTAAATCTATTGCACTGGTAGACCTAACGCCAGGAGTTCCACGATCTGAAGAAAAGTTAAAAAAGGAATTAGAAAGATCGTAAGGAAAAAAATTAACATCATACATATTAAATACAACAGTGCATATTCTAAGACGTGGTGATCTTTTAAAAGCATCGAACGAGAAGGTAACAATTACAATGACTATCAGTGGGTCTTTGGAGAACTGGAATACCAGATTGACGATAAGACCGTGGCAAGGACGGAGTTCGTCTGAGCGGGCCATGGGGTTGACCTGAAGTCTGATGCAAATTTTCCGTACTACCTTCATACGTTAATGCAAAGGAGAGTCACAAAAGCAGCATGAAAAAAAGTGAGAAGTATTTTATATACCGCACTGTCTTGTTACTTGCGTCTCTGCAGTTACATCTATACCTAATTCCTATTCTACTCCAAATATCGTTTAACGATTATGTAAAAATATGAATATATACCTGTAGCACTTATTACTGGTCTGGATGTTCGAGGGCTAACGCTTGCCGATCTCGTAACTACATTTAAACTGTTAATGCTACCGCTATTACTAAGAGACATCAACGAACGTTTATATGCAGTATCGAGACTGTTGAGCAATGCTTCTGCTTGTTCCGGAAAATGATCTTTGAATGCCCAATATGATCTGAAAACATTCAAAATGTAGTCTGCTACTTGCTTAAAGAAGCAAATACTGATAGAAGCGATATTTACTTCCTAGCAAAAGCTCTTGCTTCCGAATCCGAGTCAGCGATACCTTTCTTGATCGTATCTTGTAATATCGTCACGTGTTTTTGTAATATTTGAGTAGGCCATATTTGTAAAATTAGATTTAGATATTCACATGATGCACGACGTATGTCTTTACTCTTGTGACTTAAACACGACGTGATAATTGGCACGAAACGACCGCAATGCGTATTCTGAAGAATAAACCTCACTGCTACGGCACCAGCTGTTGCCACAACCTATATGTGCAAAATTGTCAATGTAAGTTTTTTCCATGTTATCACAGTTTTCTTTGATTCTCTTTGGTATTGGCGTTAAATAATTACGAATCTCACCTTGGCACTATTTTGTATGAGGTTCATTAAGGTGAGTAAGACTGCTTCTCCAAAAGTAGCGAATTTATTTTTTAACTGTTGACTAAGAAACGCTAAAGTAATACACGCCTCTCTTACCACTTGCGATCTAAGATCTGTGCAAGCCACTTCGAATGATCTTTGCACGCTTTTCAAGTTTTCTAAAAAGTTTTCATAATTCGTACCACCCGCGATAATGATTGCTCTTAATTTTTTCATCTGTAAAACAATTAATTTTATGAAATGTATATATCGCTAAACTAATTAATAGGTAACGATTAATCAATGATGAATTAAGTAAGCAATATTAAAACAATATTTGGGCACATTACATACACTTTCTGTCCTTTGCTTCCAATCTTTCTTATCGTCACCAACGTTATCTTTTATAATTTTCATCTGCTCTTCCAGATCTTTTGCGGAAAACAGATTTACGGATGGCACATCTTCGAACGCTGTAAGAAAAGTTTCCTCGTCGACGGCACCAGCTTGACCTAAATATATTAATTATACATGTACATAATTTATATGTATTAACGCAAAAATTAAGATTCTATTTCACGAGACAATATTATCTATAATTCTTACGCACCAAAATATAAAATTTCGTTTCATAAAATATCATAAAAAATTTTTTAATTTTATGAATTTTATTGAAATACTTTAATTCTACCACGAAATTTATTTTTTTTATAGAAAAAAAAAAAATTTTTGCATATGCTTTTATTTTACCTTATGGCAATGAACACTTTATGATGCTTCAAAACACTGTTAAATGAAAATGAATAAAAAGCAGTGCGATTAAAACAGATTACAGATGTACACGTGAAAGGGAAATGAAGCAACACTGTATAAGGGATTCGAATTAAAGGTGCACGATACATATATGATGAACAGATATTCAATTGAATTTGACAGATTTCATATTATTTTCTTGTACTTATATCATGATGGATATTTAGAGTAAAGGAAAGGAAGAGAAAACACAAAAGCTAAAACCGTTCAACGAAAAACATAAAGATTTGTGCAAAAGAAACCACCATGATATAATACAAAATTAGTAATGCCAATGAAGTTTTAGATACCTGACGTCGATTTTACTGACACGTTTCTTTTGACGGTTGTAGCCCTTGGAACCATGGAATGTGTATTACCAGGCTGAGCTGTCATGCAAGCGAATAATTAGCATTCTCGTCAACGAAACGTCAACAGTTTATCGACAATTTGTCGGCGGATGGTTGCAGAAAATATCATTAATATCATACGAAACACTGAGCCACAATAGGAGGAAGCAAAAGTTATAATGTTAGCACGCTTCACACCTGTGCGTTGGTTGGCAGGAGGAACATGTGCTATCATAATGTTAATCTTAAAAATCATGACATTCATGTGTATTAACATTTGTCTTATACATAAATAAAGCACTTATAGTACACAAAGTGCTTCCGTTTACATACATAACACGTGAAGTGGCAAAGAATTTATAAACGAAGGTGAATAATTAAATGTATTATTAAATAATTCTAAATTAGATTGAATTATAACGTTGAGATCTAATTTTCATGGTACTATTTTTATCCCGGGTTCTCTATGTATATAAATACAATTGTAAATTAATTCGATACAATTACATTTACTAATACCAATTTTACTAACTTGTCTATATAGATTATGGGACTACAAACAAGGAGTTATTTTAGAATAAATCTGCGTTAAATGAGTGTAACATGTCATGCTTAGAACAAATAAAAAAAGAAAGATCTTTATACTTGGACATTATCAATTGATACAAAATGACAAATAGCATTGAGTCTGTGCGAAATTCGTGTGTACCTAGAGCTGAAGCTGGGGCTTTTGCTGGTCCGAATTGTCCTCTTTTTGGTGTAGCAGCTGACCTTTTCATAGGAGCCGATTTAATCTAAAATATTTCAATTTATTTCGTGTGTTATTTTACGTAGTTTAAATTTTTTTTTAAACTGATACTTACAGCTCTATCTGTTTCATCCGTGGTCTTCCCAACTGAAAAAGAAAAAAATAAAATATATTCAATGACGCAAGTTCAACAGAATTACGCAAACATATCTCTTAGAGATGTAACAAAATTATTCGATTCTATTACGATCAAAGGTCTTGTTCTCTCAAGCGAGATTTATTTTTTTCCGGAAACTTTATACCTAAATCTGGGTATAGCCATGGTGGTTTGTGAATATCGCAATGGCAACCTCTTGCTCGAGCACCTGGATGTTTTACGATATTATCCCACTGAAGAATCCATCTACTACTTGGATCCCATAGTTTTTTATCGATACTGGGATATTTCTTTAATCCTCTGTGCAAGCAGCGATGGTTGCTTGATAACAACATATCAGTGTCGTTCATCGTAATGAAGAGAATTTTTCTTTTTTTTTATCGAAATCACTGAATAACACGAACTTGCAACATCTTGCAAAGTACAAAGTGTAGTTTACACTTTAACACTAACAGTTTGAAAGAATAGTCTTCATTATGACATAGCTAAATATACCTCCTCGCCATCCTTTTGCATTTACGTGATATCAATCAAGATTCTACACACTCGGAAGTCAAGTTTGTTGAAGTTATTAACGAGATATTCTTCGCACGAGAAACAAAAGATATTCGCTTAGAGAAAACTGAAATTTCTCGCAATTCCTTCGAGTTCACGTTTCTCCTCGAGTCTAGAACGAACGAAATAATCGGCATGTTTGTCAGTGAAAGTGATTTGCATTATTCTTTAACGAAGCAGAGAACTTTCGTAACTAATTACCGACTTTTTAATCGCTACTTCTTTAATCAGGGGACTCGGATATACAAACTTCTTATCGATGAAATTCTTCGACAGCATAAAGATTTAAATTATTCTGATCTTAAATCGATAAAGAGAAGAAAGAAAAAAAAATTCCATCACGATTTTGGAATTTTATTATCGACCTTCATTTCTTGTATTACTACGTGAAATCTTTGTCTAATACATTCACGTTTCTGAATAAACAGAATCATTTTTACTTCGTACGTAATGTTTATTTTTTAATTTTCTTACTTCTGACATACATCAACATTCGAACAATCTAAAAACAATCGAACAATGTCGGAAGAAAGTTTCGTTTGACTCTAACGGTTGGAGGACGTCAGCCATATCAACTCCACGCGGTGTTTCACAATTAACACAGGTTTCCATTCATCGGGTATAATTACTGTTACGTAGGGGATCAGAAATGCGAATGCAATAATAATCAATGATCACGTAGAAGTGTGTAAAAACCGATTCTAACGCGAATGTGAAACATCGAACAGCGTTTTCAACACGTTGCAGCGCGCTGGGCAAGAATCTAGATTCGCATTCACGATATCACTCGTAATAAGCACGGCAATGAGACGCGAGAGAGTTATTTTCTCACGTTACAGATAACGCATGCAGCATCCTCGTTATGTTTGGTTAGTCAAGATTTTTCCTCAATCAACATTCCAAGTTTCCGTTTCTCGTTGAAACTTTTCTACAATCGACGAACGAGACAAATTGACGAAGCGATTGAAAAAGAAAAATAAATTGCATTTCCAAGGATCATTGCGTCACGGACACGAACCACAGGCAGTTACACGTAACTCATCAGAACACACGTGTATAGACACGCTTTAGTTATGCTTTATTATAATGACAACGAAGATCACATAAAGATCCTCAGTTTATCTTTCAGAAACATGTTACACTATTCAAGACAGAAAAAGTAGAAAACAAAACCGAAGAACTGGGAACACTAGGAAAATTTTCAGTCCTTTGAAGAAAGCGAAATTGCACGTGAAAGTAAGCACGCGTCAATAATTTAATCGTTGATCACTTTTCATTTCTGTCGATCTCGCAGAGATAACACGGTAGACAAAGTTTGTTTAAAGATTTTGCACTTGAAACACGTCGTTTTCGATGAAACGAGAATCTGCAATGATCTTCTTTCAGAGAAACAAATCCATTCGTGTTTCTTGCTTCTCCAACTCGAAACAGTCGTGATCACTATTCCCCAGGACACGATATATCGATATATTCGATAGCTCCTCCATGCTCCTTTTTTCAAACGGCACACGTCCGTTAACTCATCGAGAATGCAGAACAAAGGAATTAGCTCGTCTTCCACTAGAACAACGGACTGGCGACGATATTTTCTTTTTCGTGCCACGACTACGTTGCACTACCTTGGTATAATCTTTATCGCACAGTATCGAATATTAGCATAGTAAACACGGTAAGCGATAATTCGCGTAAAATAATGTTACAGTTTCGTTCGAACGATCGAGGGCAACTAACACTGCGGACGCTTCTACGAGTCGTTCTCCCGGTAACTCCACCTGTGAGTGTGTCGTAACGACGATGTATTTCGTCGGTTATGTCTGATCAGGTAAACAAACGCACGAGTAGAAACTGAAACGATCGTCCTTGCCCATTGTCCGTGAATGGTAACACGTACTGCTTAGAACATACTATGTCATACTCTTGGCTAGATCGTGTTCGACCCGTGACATAGAAAAAAAAAAAAAGTATATGAAGATCATCGAGCAGCCCGTCACGATTCTGGATACGTTTTTTTTCGAAGAAACTATCCAACGAGACTACCTCAAAAAGACAGGAGAGACACGCGTCTCTCACGTTACTAAATGGCGACTCGTTTACAAACTCCCGTAAGCGCTGTGAGACGGTCGCGAGACCCGAGACTAAAGTTGGACAGGAGGAAGGGGACCTTCCCCTATTGGGTGCCCCTCGATGGGGGCCAAATCGAGGGACCCACAACATTCGAGAACCCATCTCTCGATTACAGCAGCCTCATATATTTTAGAGACTCTCTTGAGAGCGGTGTTATTCGTAGCTATGTAAATTTGCTAAAAAATCAAATCAGCAGTCATCTTGATTCTGTACTATAAATATTCAACAACTTATCTTTCGATTACAGTCTTAAAAATCTGAGAGAAATTACTATTATATATATGCATTATCATTCGTGATTATTTAAATACTTGATATATATTCTATTCTGATAATTCTAATATTAATGTTGCTTAATTCAGTTCTGTTCCAGCAGAATCAATTTTCCATGTATCTTTAATTTTTGTACTTGTTACATAGAAGAGTACACATATTTATTATGGACAATAATATAAATATCATACTTTAAGTTATGTACCAGAAATCCGAGCGAGAAACGCTAATAATAAACCTATTTCTTAATGTTTTTCTTGTTGCAGTTTCGCTTTCCATATGTGTCAAGCTATATTCGAGATTTTTAAATTAAGACTGCGTTATCGATTGATTTATCACAAGTATAATTAAATGCATACCATATTGGCGATGGAATCAAAATGAAAAAAGAAAGCCGAGCGAAATGAGCAGATTGACCTGATTGCGAAAGCACGAACAAATTGTCCTGGACCCAGGTGTAAAACAAGGTGACTGATTAATGTGGTTCCATTCAATTTGCAGTCATTTAAACGTTTCCCCGCGTTTGTGGAGAACGGTACGAATAGACTGAGTAAACGAAGATTAATGTTAATGCGAGCAAGAAACAGATCGTACGATGAATAAGGTAAAAATTGTCCCCGAATTGAATCTCTGATGGGAAACGTTTAAGGATCCCTCGTCCAAAATTCAACCGCAACCACCTGCTGAAATGACGCAACAAAAGTTTCTGACAATCTACGATTAACACTGGTTGCTGGTGTACGGAGATATAATTAAATTCGGGATCTACCACAGCATGGGAAGAAAAGTAAGTGGATCGCCGTTGCAATTACAATGTTTATCTGTAATAAACCGCTTATACCGTCATCGAGAGTTCCCCCTCGCTCTGCGGCAAGAAGTTAATGCAAACAGGACCGTGAAAGAAGGTGGTCCCGGCCGGCAGAGCAATAATGCTCCGATGAAGAAATAATTTGAACTGTAGCTACTACCCCAGCGCCGTAATTACATGTTTCGAATTAAAGATGCAATTAACGTCTGCTTAATCTTCATTCCGTGATTAAAAAGGGACAGCCTTTAAATTATACGGAGTATGTATTCATATATTGATTCATATCATTTTAAACGCGCCATTGAGCGTGCTTCAGATAAATACGAACAAAAGTACGACAAAAAGTATCGTTTTATAGGTTATAACAATTCGAAACGAGTGACGAAGAAAAAAAAATAGAAAAGTTAACCGATCATTCTTCTTAATTTGGAAATCATCTTTCCTCGATGAATTCGCGAACATCTACGTTTGCACGTATGGCGAAAATATTAGTAATTAAACGAGAGAGGAGATCATTGGTATGATTAATGTGCACGAGACAATATGTTGTATTATTCTTATACCTTCTTCCTCGATGAGTTGCGACGATCCACTACTCTTCAACTTCTTAGAAATTGAGTGCGGATCGAATGCAGAATAAATTATGGATAGAAAACGAGATATAGTCACGGTAATTTCTCCAGAAATCGTATTTACACCGTCTGTCATTCATTGGTGAAAGTAATGTTATTTATTATTCTTATCCATCAGCGAACGTCAGTGATTCTGATTTCCCATCGAAGAAAGCTGCAAAGAGAGAAGAAACGGAGAGAAGAAAATCTGATGTCTCGCGTATATTCGTGCGCGTGATTCTCATTGTTTCGCTAACTGCTATTGTAGCTACGATGCAAGATGGAAGAAAAAGGAAAACACGAAACGCCAATTCCACGGAACAGTTATTAAACATTGCTGAGGAGAAGAAAAAGTAGAATCGCCTACGCGTACGACACGCTTTGAACATGATAATATTATCCTCAATATTACATAATATTACGTACAGACTGTGTGTACACGATATCGGACGAGAATGTGGTTTTATCGTTTCAGGCAAGTCGAGTATCGTGGATCAAGCAAACAATTATTATTCTATTAAGGAAATTAGTCGATCGAGTCTTTTTTTTTCCCCGAATGAAAACGCTCGAGGGGAAGCTCGTTTTGCTTGATTTGGAGAAACGAAAGATCTTTCACACACACGATATACTTTCTTCACACCGACATCGCCAGTGCTACAAGAAAGCGTGTACAATGAACGATGAATCTTCTCAGCCAGGTCGTTACTTTCAGTTTTCTTGCGTTCCAACGCTGGTAGTCTTTTATCCACGATAGTCTCTAGCACGATGCCTAGCTACTTGTCTCCTGCGGACTCGCGGCTTTTGTCAATAGGCTAAGCGCGAACGTTGTACTGCGAGCCGGAGCAGAATGTCAGCAAGAGTTAACGAGAGAGGATAAAAAGGGCATCCGCGTGCTATCCCGCGTTTAATATCTGATCATGCATGGAGAACATAGAACGGTGCACCGTAAAACTGTGCACGGTATATGAAGATAAATCTACGTTACCACCCTACCTTTCACTTCTCTCGTGCACGTGTACCACGCGTCTTGCGCGCTGTCCTCAGGGTAAGGTCGTACAATAAGAAGGCGAGTTCAAGCTGAACGGTGTGGGTGCTAATTTCGATCGAGCAGTGAAGGGTAGGGTGAATAATCTCTCTGCCGAGAAAACCGGTGCGGCAGAAATACACCTTAGAGATTCCTATCGTGTCTCGTAAAGAAAAAACGCTGTTTCTTGCCATCACCGGCGAGATAAGGCTAACGAGATTGAACAAATTAAACCGTTTAAATGAAATTATGAACCAACCGATGTAAGAAATAAGTTGTCCCGATGTGAAATACGGCACGATATAAAACGACGGAGAAATCAGACGGTATAATACCGATTCGACACGAAACATCCTTCCACCTCAGAGGCAGGTCAGAAAGAAAGAGAGATATATGCAAATTTTTCGTAGCGCCATGTTCGTTTAACCTTTCCGTGTGACATACCGCGTACAAGGATACTCGTGGCGCTAAGTTGTATACAAATACCCCATTGCAAATTCCGTACAACTGAGAAAAATGCCGGCATTATTATATGACAAGAGTTCACTAAAGACGAAAAAACGTGATGTATTCTTTTTTTTTCTTTTTTGTAGATTTCACAAAAGGAAAAGGAATTTTTAACTCGTGACAATTTAAATTATATAACGACTCGTCGGAAGAAAAACAGGACAGGAAATCACGTATGAGATCGATGTTACATCTTCATGGTAATTTGGTGTTCTATTAATATAGCTGAAATCAAGCGAAGAACCGTAATTCTCCTGCCAAGCCCAAGTATGACCTAATCGTGATTAAGTGACAGAGAAGAAATGCATTCTGTCTTTAAATGCAGATGTATTGTCGCTTGCAAATATAAGACGTAGAATAGAAGAAACGATTATGATTATCGTGCCTTTTTACCAATTGTTGGTCGTGAAAAATATACTAGATACAGCTACGATTAAGAATATTTTTATCTGAAAGATAAATAAAATTTTTACAGAAAATATTAATTTTTTATCTTGATAAGTATATTGTATCTCAAAAATATTTGCGAGAATGCATCGACACAATTTCTTCGAAACTTTCAAGATTACTTACGCCAAGGTGTATATTCCTTCAATATATTGTTACATAAGAAAAGTGTGTATCGGCACATTTTTTATCAAGGGACAAAGATTAATTATACAATGGAATGCATGTATGTGCATCATGACTCATCGAAAGTCTCGGTTTACTTGGTACTTTTTACTATCTACCGGTATCATAAAGTTGCATTTTTTTTTTGCAACTTTGGAATTAATATGTTAAGTATTCGGTTGCTGCAGATATGTAATATTTGCAATCGAAATTCGAAACACCCTGGCAGTAGTCTTACAATGTTACAAGGCCGTTTGTTTGAAGCAGGACGGCTTTACGGTATGAATTACAGAGAGCGTTTGAAACAATACACCGCCGATATTGCACAGTACACCGTACCTATCGGTGTATGTAATATTATGTAATGTCTTAGAATAGATAACGCGAATTAGTAATACTGTCCCGCTCAAGGAAATGACACTTTATACAAGAGGCACAATTTTTCCCATACTCCGAAGCTTTCCTCCAAAACCGATACATAATTATAAAGGATCGCTTCATCGAATGATCTTATTGCTTGAGAACGTGTTCCACAGTCTCCGCAGAAATTACGATCGACAAAAACCACTGGCATTTCTTTCACGAATTGGCCAAAGACGTGATCCCTTAATCGTCTCGAGTGTAGGTACCTCTTTTTGTTTTTTTTCTTTGGGGCATTATGCCCACATTTGCCGGAGAAATCAATCTCGAGGAATGAAACGCTGTGTAAACTGTTACACAGGTGAAAAACCGAAATGTACACGTTGGTTACAATCAAACCAGAAGTTCGGGCAGAAAACGTGCCAGTGCGACGTAATTAAATTCAAATTGCCTATGTTTTGCCGTGCTGAATTAAGTAAATATTCTTATCACGTTGAAGAACAAACGGTCCTTGCTAAATATTCATCGTGTGTACCAGTAACGTGAACAAAGAAGGAGAGAGAAGGAGATAAAGAGAGGAGAGAGAGAGAGAGAAAAAAGAGAGAGTAAGAGGCAAAGAAGGGAAGAATGAAGGTTGGTCTTCTCGAATGCGAAGGTATTTCAACGCGATGGCGTTCATGGCTGCGGGATGGCAGCACGATACAGCTTGAATAACATAACGGAGGTGACGCGCGTGGCATTGGTTTTTATGCCTTTTCTGACTTAATTTACTGGATACCTGCCGAGAAGGAAATTCGATGAATTTACTCACCGTCCGAAGACATTGCCAGAGGCAGCAGGTCGCCAGCAGCTTTCAGCTGATCGAATTTCTCTATTAACAGCAGTAATCTGTAACACAAGATCGAATGAAATTAGCTTATTTCAACATACGTGATTAAAATTAGCTAATAAGATTCTTATCATTGATGATTCATGTTTCTCCAAGTAAATCATAAAACAATAGAAGATTTAAAAGACTACCATTTAATCTAACGAACGCTGGCGAGAAGCCAGGAATCGATTTCGCTTTTTCACTTACTTAGCTTGCGGTACATTGTGCTTTCTCTGTAAATCCACGCGCAATCTTTCACCAACGTGTCTGTAGATATCCGCTAATGTGTTTAAAGCAGTCTCTCGGACTTTTTCAGATGGATCCGACAACAACTTCACGATACTTGGAATCACTCCTGACAATATCATTTCATCAGCTCCGTGTCTGTAAAAGGATTTATTGTTACAGTATACTGAATATTTCAACGATTATCTAGCTGTCTCTTTCATTCTTTAACAAGTCATACTTACTCATTCAACGTCGTAGTTAGTAGAATTAGAGCTTCTTCTCGTAATTTGGCATTCTTGTGATTAAAAGCTGGTCGTAGTCTGTCCAAAAGTTGTTGAGGAGACATACATCCTTTCTCCATTATTTTAAGAAGTACTAGCTGCGCCTTTTCCCGTGTCGCATCTTTACTGTCACCTATCGGACACACATCATCGATATTCTTAATTGCGTTTCTTACTATCTAAAGCAAGTTAAAGGAAACAAAACTTGTAGAGACCGGTTCTGCGTATATTTATATCTTCCGTCATAATATCTCATCCCGTAATACGGAGCTGAAGTTCTGTGCCTATTTCATCTGGAGCACATCTAACCATGATCAACGATTCAAAAAGTACCAGACGAAGTCCAGCTAATAAAACATTATAAAACAAACGGACGATATACTGCCAAACTACATTTATACAATCGCACGAGTTGATAATTCCGTGAGCAAATAATTTTCAATGCAACACACAAGTTCAGTTTCCTTCATTAAGAATAATTTATACGTGACAAATAATCACAAGAAAGTTCAAGACACCTACCTAGTCGATCTATTGTTGGTTGAATAATAGTGGAAATATAAGGCTTGAAGTCGTGACCCATTCGATCTGCGAGAAACGTGAGGATTTCTAAACCATTCTGAACGACCTGGAACAACAGAATAAAAGAATCATTTTAAGATCTATGTCACATATATCGACGATTATAGCGGAACAATTGTCCCCTTTCGTTCATACAGAAATCGTTCTAAATCTTCCATGACTTTCTAGCCGTCCTACCAAGGCGATCGGGGTTTGCTGGCTAATTTACTCAACACAGAAGACGTTTATATGCGCTCTTGTGACGAGAGATTAATTAACGACTTGGCGAGAAAATCTGTACGCAGAAAATCAGTTTGTCTAATGTACATGGAACGACGAACTCACAAAAATAGCAGTGATTACATTAACACCGAATCAAGGTTGATGAAAAAAAAAAAAAAAATACGTGTAACGTACCGCGTGTTAATTAAAAAACATATTTCTAAGTCAAGATTTCCTGCCAATTTAAGGGAGGTTAATGTTTCCTGCACCGCGTTTACGCTGCATCAGAGGGTTCAGGGCATATTGATCCAGGCAAGATAAACTCTGCTTCCCTGAAAGCTAAAAAATCGTAGACCCCTCGCACTTTCCCTCTTGCTCGTAATTATACTTCGTCTGTGAGCTCTCCACGTGCACTCGTAATGATTACTTCACGGCATTTTTTTTTCGCCTTCCTTTTTCCACCCTTTTCTTTTGCCTCTGCGCTTTCGTCAAAACATAATTACGGAGGTTTGAGCGAATTACACGCATTCCGGTTCCGTGGTTACATGCGAAATCAATAAGAACCTCTTATGCATGTGGTTCACTGGTGAAATTCAGTAAGTTGACTGTACACATTATTGACTCTTACGAAGGAGTATTTATAATTTCTTCTCAAATACTCTACCGTTTATATTTATCCTTTTCTTTTTCAAATTTTCATTTCGCCAAAATATTTCTTTTCTATTCAATTCTTTTCTAGGAATCGTTTTCAGCCTATAAAGAAAACGAATTTTGATCAATTATTAAAAATATAAAGACACTTCTCAAATACAAATTTAAATTCTATAAAAGAAATACAATTTATCATTTAATTAATCGATAATTTATAAAAGTATAGCGTGAATATACGTATGTATCATTGAAATGATTAAAAATGCATCAAGTTTTTTAGCACATTCTACAATTATTATCATTAACATCATTATCATTCTTGCTTTTATTTTTTAAAACATTCAGCAAGACGGAAACATCCTACAATTATTATGAAAAGGATCCAAAGAGAACGTAGAGAATATACAACAGTCTTCGTAATACAACAGCGAGATTGTTACATCATCTAATGCATTTATATCTGTACGTTGGTCGACGTGTACAGAAAATGTTGAACATTGCTAGATCGACCTGGGATTCGAGGGTGAACGAACTGCTCCTCCGGGAGGTGGACAAGCAGCAGATTAATATAGAAAGTGCAAGTGTAGCATTCGGTGCATTTATCGTAGTAGAACCCCTCAAAAGTAAACCCCAGTCGACGATAACGAAAGGGCCAAAATGAATATTCCTCCCAGCCAGTCAGCAGCAGCAGTGGCAGCAACGGTCGTTCGATCCCAATCGGCATTGGCAATACTCGGGTCGAACCCGATGTCTCAAGTGCACACGGCAAATCCAATGTCACTGTCTGCAAAAGCGTCCATTACTCGGCGACAGTTTAAATACATTTAACGAAGCGCTATACATAGGCATATAAACCTATTTTAGAGTCGTGGGGTAAACGTTCTCTCAGGGTTGTCGTCTGGCTGTGACATCATTGCTCAACGCCGAGGCTTTTCGTTTCTCTTTCTGTCTTAACATTCATATAATTAGCACGCAGTTTAATCGTTAACAGCATCCGCTCGAACGTGGTTAATCTCGATGAATCTAGATGAACCATCTGTTATTGAACTAGCGCATTTGGAGAAGATAACTATTTTATACAGCATTTTTCGAAAGTAATCGAAAGAAGAATGGGAGCTGACAGAGCACAACAATTGCAAATGCAAAATGTTCAGATGATTATCTAGTTGGATTTGTTATCATAGTTGAAACTTTGTATTGACTTTTAAACAATGAAACTTCTCGTTGCATGAGTCTCGTAAAAGAAAAATAGAAAGCTTAAAAGTACGATTAATAATAATATGAAATTTATCAGCGTTCGAAATTTCAACTTAATTGATAACCCGAATGTGTCTTGCACTCTTCATTCAGCAGTTCCCTTTCCCTACCTTAAAATCACTTTCAAAAACCAATGGAATATTTTCATAAGTAGATCAGCATTCAAAGTTCTAATTTGAACTTTATTTGCAAATGAGAGAGCATCAATACAACTTGAATTTCATTCGATAAATCAGCTACTCTGAAGGACTTCTGATTTGATGTTGAAAAAAAAAAGATAGAAAAGGTTGATCAAAAATTGGCCACTGATTTGCATGCACGTCAAAAATGAAGACTATCGACGTCGGACACACCTTGAACTTTATCTTCAAAATCTGTCGTCTTTTCTTTGTCAAATAGATTACTAAGAAGAGATAACAATAGATCGGATGTGCACGATGCTTCGAAGAACGTACCGAAGTCAGTGCGTAGACGCAAAACGTGTGGGCGAGTTGGTCTTACTCGTCAAAGTTGGGAACAGGGCCCGTTAAAACTGTTAGGACCACGTGGGAGGCGGCTACTCCTCCTTGTTTCTCTGGCAGAAACGACTGCGAAATGCATTTGTAGTTTTTGTTGCAAAGCGTCGATACACGTCGAACAATAAACAGGAAAGGCTATTTGCGAGAATGATCTCCTGTAGGTAGAAGTTTCCTTACTATCCTCTTATGGGATGACGAATCGGAGCAAACAGATAACACTCTGGTCGCATGCTTCTCACGATGAGTGTATGATGATTTTGCGGTTTCGTTATCACTCGGTCGTTACGAATTCCTTATTCTTAGTTCGGCTGACATCGATGCTTAAAAAAAAATACAATTATTAATCGTACAACATGGACTTTGTGTCACGTATTCGCCTAGAGTAGCGCGAGAGCTGACGTAATAAGTAAAATGAGCGATTACTGTCAGACCGTATTGTCCGGGTAAGTTCTTCACTGGTTGATCAGACAAAATTGTTTAATGGCATAAGTGGATTTTGATTTAATAACAACCGATTATGACCAAAACGAGATAAACCGCACTGCGTCAATGATGTAACGAGAAATAAATATCGATTTAATAAATACCAATCATAATCAGATAATGGGCTACCAGTGTGTAACTTGAATAAAATAGGATGAAATCTATGTGTATACAGACGTAGAATGATTCTCACTATGACTCTCCTAGCGACCTGAACATTTGAAGATTTCGTTTGTTTTTAAATTCTAATTCATCACGAAGAAGACATATGTATAGGCAAGCCTGATTTTCGTAGCGAAACCCTGGTGCATCCAGTTAGCAGCGTAATTGTCACTGTGCGCCTATTAATAATTTATGGAGTAACAGCCAGCAGTTACTCCAGTCGTTTCAAATTGCAACTCGCGTTATCAAGATATCTACCGTTTTTACGGCGACCTTTTGCACGAGATATCGAGCGCGACCAGTTCTGGTAGCATATAGTTATGCAAGTTGCACAAAGTAACACAAACTAACGCGAGTACGTGTAAAAAAGCATCGAGATCACCGCAAGGCGCGAGTGATGTCATGCTTTAAATTCGAAAAAGGAAACGTTCGCGGCAGAGAAAAAGAACGGAACAATGTCAGAGGAAGAGAGAGAGAAATTATGGGTCGCAGTTAACGTTGTCCTGTGTCCTTGACACCGATACGGTGCACCGATGGTTTGTAAAAATGGTACAGTTAAGATCTACCATAATGAGACGCATTGTGATTCAATTGTAACGAGATATGAGGCAGGTCACGCGGAAATATCCAGAATATATCTTACGACTATCTTCTAGTACCGTGTTCCCTTGAAGACCACAGAGAAGTATAAGTCCATTTTTGTTGATTTATTTATCTTTTAATGTAAAAAAGAATTTTAATATAATATAAACTTTTGAAGACAGATAATGTTTTGTAAGAAGCAAATAATATTAATTATTTATGTTATTAAAGTTAATATTGTATTGCTTTTAATTTAACTGTATGTAGAACTACTTGATAACTTGATATTTAATCTTAAAATTGTTCTTTTATAAAAGATTTGAGCGATCATGTTTTTCTCTAGTGGCCTCCAATCTTCAACTATTACACTGTAGTAATCAATAACCGTCTTAATTAATAGCTACTGACCTAGTCTAAATACAGTCCGAGTTCTTTGCGAATTTAAATTTTACAATTAATCGACTTCTAGTTATAAGATCCTATTTCAAAACTTGTTGCAATTTACTTGTTAGAATTTAAATTTTAATAGGTTTAAGTGCCATCGGAATAATTGAAAAATAAAGTTTCCGAGATGAATCGGGTCTAGAAGAAAAGTCCAGTGGAGCCGCAACATAAGAAACTTTAGTCCAGATCGATAGAGAGTACCCTAACGAAATAGGAAGGCTCATCACGTAGCAGGCTTCCTGCCAAAAATTTCGACAATGGTGGGCTTGGTGAAAATTAAAAACGAAAGGTGGTCTGTATGCCTTATTCACAGTTCCTTCGTTAAGAAGACAGCGAGACCTTTCTTCAATCCACGACCAATGCATTTCCTATTCTCTTAAGATGTAACGCGAAATCTTCCAACAAATATCGGAGCGTGTCTTTATCATTTTTTCCTTGATTAACCTCTCTCAATGAAATAACAAACTCCCTACTATTCCATTCATAGTCGATATATTATACATTTTTAAAGATCTTAGTAATTCTAGTAAAGTCACCTTCATAATCCTACAAGAAAGTTAAACCTTCGAAACGATCCATATCTCTGATACGAACAAGTTCCCATTTCAACAACTCTTTCGCATGTTAAGTTGATATTTCGAAAATAACAGCGAGCTTTCAGCAACAAGTGGTAGATAATGATATACGATTATTTTCTATCCTACTTATAAAATGAAAATTCTCTCGTGTTATCAATACCTATTCATGCGTAGGAATAGCGAAAATTCATTCCACGATGTGTGAAGTTCCTGAATTATCCGTGTAATCATTTCCACTTGGTATCTCTACAATACTCAGATTGCAGCGCTAGCTCAAGATTTTCTTTCTCTCTGCAGGCTAGCAATGGCTAGAAAAACTTAAAAGAACGGCACAATAACACGTACAACAATAAAAAAGCTACTCTAAATATAGAAATGAACGGGCAAGTATACTTCTGAATATGCCTGCTTAGCATGCTTATTCGTACATTACAAGCGGAGAAATGTACCGTGCGTAGTATAAAGGGGATTGGTAGCTCATACATTATGCACGAAGCTGAATTTTAACCGCAAACCACGATTTGGTCAATTGCACGTCGTTCATCATTTCGAAGGGCATGTTCTCTTCTTTCTTTCCATGAAGTGTTGGAACAGGATGACGTAAGCTTATTGGCCTAATGAAATTTGGCTAGTGTCAATTTTTCAATATACACGAACACCGATGTCATCCCATGCCGATTTGATCAACTCAAGTGTCCAACTTCTGACCAACGAGTCAACGCGTCTGTTTCCTTCAAGAGGAACTGTTCTAGAGGTTCGTTTCCCTTTTGATTCTCTCACAAGATAAATAGCGAGTTCGTAGAAACTCGCCCGGAAATGGTAAGAAAGAATTGAGGAATTTAACTTCACAACTTTCCCTCAAGTGCCTGTTAATGAAAAAAAAAAAAAAAGAAAAAAATACTCGTATAACACATGAAACAAAAATTCTTGCAGTTAATTACCACATATATAACCTCTGTTCGTGTCGTTCTTATTCATGGACCACGTACTTCCACAGTAAATAAAAATACATATACACTGTCATCCATAAACATTTAGACACTTCCAAATGACTACAAGTACATAAAATATACAACTCTGGTCTTTTACCCTGTCTCAGGCAACTGTATACAATAAATGAATTTAGTAAAAATAATAAATAGTATTAATTAGTAGAAATAAAAAACAATAATTCAATTGGAATAAAAATTGTCTCTTGAATTAACTCAACTTTAAATATGTTCCATTAATTGTCCAGTTTAAATTCAAAGAAAATTCTTTTTGAGTTCAAAGAGAAAAGATGCGAAATAACAAAAATATGAATCTTCTGATCGTACTGTGTCAGGTATTCAAATAATTATAACTATAATTATGTCCAGTATGTCTTCTACCGCATCTTGGTTGGAGAACAACAAAGATGATTAAACACTTGACGAGTTAGACGTCGAGAATATTCTGGCCTGATTGTCTTTATTAGGGAACGATTGTACTCACGTACATACAAATGGGTTCGACGAAACTGCCTATCGACTCTCTAAGTTTTGATGGACTCTCTGAACCGTGTGTCGATTTATTGTGTATTTTCGTTTTCTTCCTTGAAGATATTCTCGCATCCAATGTTTCTTTATCTATTGCCAATGAACATTCAACCGATTGTGAATGCGATAGCTTTGATTAAACACCGATCGTTCAGCAACATACTACGTGACACACTGTACCAAAGGACACTTTACGTACATGGTGTGAAAGTTTTTCCCTTATACGTTCCTGATGCAGAACCAGCTCAAGTTTTGCAGCATCTTGTCGAGAAACCAATCTCGTTGTAAGTAATCGTTTTCATTTAAATCTCGTGATGCAAACAATTATTGTAATTGGGAGTAACTGGTTAAAATACGAATAACACTGAAACTGAGAACGTGTTACTGATTTTTAGTTCTGAATAAATAATTCTTAATATAAAAAAGAATATCAATTGATAGATGACCTGAAACGATACGTAACCTCTCTTATGCAAATATCATAAATTTAAGATTAAACAATTTACAGTCGAATGCAAAATAATCTGATGATAAATCAAATTTAAAACATAATTACCATTACTAATTGCCATTACAACCTATCGGTTGTTGCCAGTTTCTATCAAATATTTTAATTAAGGAGAGTTGACACAACACAAGGTGAAAATTATTTAACGAAGATACGAAGAATAAAAATTGGTGTTGATAATACTGGTAAATCTCAATCTCTCGCTAGAAAATTAAGCAAAAAAGCTCGCACGAACTAAAGTTTCGTAAGATCCTTGTCTAAAGCAAGTCTCGTGCAACACCTGTCCTCTTCCATCATACTTGAAGACCGCGAAAAATTCTTTCCTCCTTCTCTCACGTTTGGCCAAACGTAAATTCAAATTTGACTTACAAATCCATCACGCTGTTGTCGCGAGTAGCATCGTCCATTCCTGAGTATCGAGCATATAGAAAGTTTTGAGTGCACGCAGAAAATATAGGTCGACCAAAATAAAATATTCGCAAACACGTATGTCTTTTTGGCCCGAGGGAAAATTTGAAATGTCATTGATCACACATCATTCTCGCTAACTGCAACTTACTTCTCAATGTTTCGGCTACAGTTTACGGTTCTATGAACCGTTCAGAGGATGTTTCAGCAGTTAATTGTACATGCATCCTGACAAGTAGGTATAAATTCAATAAATGAGCACCTCTCTCTGTACGTAAATTAGCCGTTTTGTTACTCGGCACACCTCGCTGATTCCTTCGAGTCACATTTTTTATTACGAACCTTGCATTTCATTATGTTCCGTTCCGTGCACTAAGGGGAGATTCTGCACACCATAAATACTAAATGGCATGAATGAGTTACTCCAAAGAGTAAACGGTAAAAAGCTGACAGATCTCTTGCATGGTTTTGTTTACATAACAAACAATAGACATTTAAAAGAACAGTAAAGAAGTTTGAACATGAAAATGTATTATTTGACAACAAACCAACGATGACGATGGTTACTCGCTGATTCATTCACTCTGTACTTAAAGTTAAGCTACGACGAAAGAATACAATATCTTTTTTTCTTTTTGTTTTAATAAATCAGCTACCTACAGGGATGTTTGAATAATATTAATGCATAAAAGGAAAGATTATAAAAGAGATTCGTTACCTTAGGGTTGCCGTTGCTTAACCATGGTATGATGTTGTCGATAAACTGTCCGATGTCTTGACACTCGATACTCTTCGTCGCATCTCCCAAATAATTCAACAGTAAAGTACCAACGTTTAACTTTTTCTTGATGTCCGTTGTTGACAGGAGCGGCATAAAACCGTCCATATCATGCGGATTCACCGCCATGGTGGCTAACAAACACGTCGTTTCCACACCTTTGCAAGTCTTTGAACGAAACTGGATCTCACCCGTGTACGTCAAAGCACATAGTTCACCGTAGTTTCACGATCCACGAAAATGAAACACGCGTTGTTCGCCATGTCAGTGACGTTCACCACCAAGAACAAGGTTATCGGCGAAGCGAAACTGTTCGTGCAGTTTGAAAGCCATACGCAAAACAGTACTTTTTCCCCCTTGGTTGTCTCGCACGATCGTTGTCGCGCGAGTTACACCGAAAATCGGAGCGCCACGCGAATGATATTGCTCTACGACACTTTACACGAGATTCCGTCGAGTCTCGCACAGTCTAAACAGGGAACATTGCTCCCGTTTTAATTGTATCGTGCACAAAAAATAATAACGAACATTCTAATGAAAATCATCGGCACCGTGCACGCGACGCCATTTTGATTTCTCAGTCATCTGTCTCTCTCTCTCTTTCCTGAACGATCGCAACGCCGATTGTTTCGAACGGTAGTCGCAGCAACTATCGGCAGTTCGTTATTTCAAATATTTTACGAATACGTTTTTGTCGCCTATGTATACGCCAGGTAATCGTAAACATATTGCGATCGTAATTGTCAATTAATTAATCAATTAATTAATTTTCAAAAGTTTATATATACTTCTAGGTTTATCCGTGATTTGAGATTTCCTTCTATACCGCAATTTTTGAATCAGTTTTCCAAAAATACTTACTATTTGCTCTACTGAGTTTGAATATTTGAATACGACGAAATTCAAAATTTACTTATTGATATTAATTGATTTTACCTATTAGATTCTATCTTCTCAAAGAAAAAAAACAAAAGGAGATCTTTAAAGGCAGAGTAATAGAAATATATATAAAGGACTTAATACACTTGTCTAGCTACATGTGTATTTCTGCAACCGTAATTTAATGAAGATGATAATATATACATAGTTACAATCACATATACAACATTATATATTTACAATCCCATAGTATGTACTTGCATTATATGCAATGTCAACCTTGTTACACTTTCACGCTAAAAAAAAATATCTAAAATATTAAAGAGCATAATCACTATCAACTCACATTAAAGATATCAATATGATTATGTCAAGTTTCGACGGCAATGGTTCCAAACTTTAATTATAGTTTATTTATAACATGTGGTTGAAAAATTTCACATCATTTGTTCAATAATTTGTATTTTATACAAAATTATATAATCATGACTAGTATATCACAATAGAATTTAATATAGAGTAAGAATTTAATATATCTTTCATTTTGTTTTTTTCTTATGGATAACTAAAACGATTAAAAAGATTGTTTATCAAATTTCTCAAATAAAAAATTCAAAAATAATCACTTTAAAAAAATACTTTTCATTAAAAGATATAAATTTTTATACTTTTTGTACAATCTATGTTTATATATACATATATATATACACACAAACTATAAAACCTTTATGATGAAAAAAAGCAACAGCCTCAATAAATATAAACTTATTATACTTTTATTTTCAAGTTTTATAAGATTGAAAGACAAATACTCTAATTAATCACTATTAAATATTTTTTATTGCATTTCTTTGTTCATTTTAAATTGTATTTCACTCATCTTTGGTATAATTTTTTGTATATAATGAGAAGGCCATTTGTTAAACTTTGACCTAGTTTATTCATAGAAAACTCTGTTTTAGTCTTATTTAATATATTATCATATACTGTTTACGCAGAAAATTATGAAATAAAAATAAATAATATCTGCATATGTATATATACATATATATGTATACATTACTTTTTATAAGTGGTATTTCGCATGCATCTTTCATGGAGTACTCTTTAATGTAATTAGACAATCCAACATTTTCTAAAAATATCAGTATCCAAAGATATTTTATTATAGAATAATTAAAATGATAGGAGTTAGTCTTAAGTTATCATCAAAATGTGTTTTTCCAAATCATACTTAGATGTTTAATAATAAGGTAATTGGCATTGGAACGGAACTGATTTGCGGTTAGATTGTCTAAATCCATGTATGATAAGTATTCAAATATATTAATTATGATTTGCATACATATTCTAACAACTATAAGGTACTTAGTGATAAATATTATCTATATATCTCATTATTAGAGTCAAGAAAAGATTCATTAAAAATATTTTGCTGAACCTTGGCATATGAACATTATTACAATTATATTAAAGCTTGGTATGTGGAATAGCATGCTTGTCAAAGCTGCCAATTTTCTATTTAGAATTATATTATCTTACTTAAATAAGTCTATTTAGCAGAAGATTATAATTGTTATACCTTAATTTTCGACTGGCATTTGCTCTTGCATACTTGGCAATATAAAAAACGAATTGCTTATATAGCTGTATTCTTAACGCAGAAAGATAAAAGATTTTCTAGTCTGTGGATCTTTGATGGAAAAATTATTTCTTTCACTCATTCTTTCTCTCTCTCTCTCTTTTTCTTTCTCACATACTTTCTTCTTCTCACAGTTACTCTACTATGAAAATAAATAAAAATATTTTTAATACATAATCATTTAAAACTTGTTAGATATTGCTTCTTTTACTGATTAAATATTGCATAAAACAATAACTAAAACTAAATAACGATATATGATATTTAAAACTTCTATGAATGTCATATATGTACAAATCATGTATAATTTGAGTGAAATGTTGTATATAACAATTTAATGGAGCAATTCGAATTGTGATAATTCTCTCAAGTACGAGAAAAAGATCTATGCTCGAAAATTAATTTTTTCTAATATATATGCGTAATAAAAATGCAGGAACTAATTATACACTAATTTTCATAATAAATAAAGCCTTATTATGGCTTAATTAATTCGTTTCTTTATCATTCTGAACATTTTTTATGGTTGTATCTTTTTCAACTTGATTAAATCAGTAACGTCAAGAAAAAGAGTGCTATTGTTGTTGTTGCAATTGCTGTAATAACGGACACACTTCAACTAAAGGTGTCCCTAAAATTTCTTGACATACTTGATTCATGTCAGGTTCCATCATGAGCGAAGAAATCTGATCCTCAGTTAACATTTCCACACTATTTTTTATACAATAGAATTAATAAAAATAAAGATTCATATAATAAAAAATTTAGAAATCGATACGCACCTTGCTAAGCTTTCACTATCGGATGTTTCTTCGTCAGCATTAAGATAGGTCATTGTTTTTTCTAATGGACTAGGAACTTTCTTTCCTTTTCCTTCTATTTTCTCAAATTTCTCACATTTTTCTTTGTCTCTCTCTGTTATCTTTGGTTCGTTAGAACGTCGTTCTGTAAGGCTAGATATGTTCAACATCATCATTCCGTGATTGAGGAATTCTTTTACCCGTTCTCCTGTACCAGCGCTCCATAACATATCAAGAGACTGTCTTCTACTCGAGCTTGCTATAGCAATTAATACAAGTTGGCATCTAGATTTATAGATGCATTGTATTTTAAAAAATATATAGTCAAATATACTTACTTGAACTACCTCCACTAGCTTCGCCGCCAGCTGAACTTCTGGTTATCCAATTAGCTAAACTACTATCGAGTTTGCTTTTACTTTTTACTGATGGACTTCTTGTTACTTCTGCTTTTTTTTCACTGCTTAAACTAACTTCGTTTCCTTTCGGCATGGTAGGTAATGACTTTTGTGTTACTAATTTCTTTTGACTAGTTGTTTCACTGAATAATTGAATATTTGCACTGTTGGTAGGTGGATTGTTACTTTCAGGACTCAAATCCATTGGTAACGGCTTATAAGGAATTTGATCTTCTTCGTCCGAGTATACTTCATTATTGTAATATACCTCATCTGGAGAATTATTTAAGCTAATTTCTGTCCATTCCTCTCCATTTTGTACAGTAGTATTAGTGTTTTTTAAATCCACTGGTGTTTGTATTTTCACTCGTTTCTCTATTGGAGAAAGAATATTTGATAAGTCTGACAATCGTGAGGTTGAAGAGCTTGTTTGATTTAATGTTATGATATGTTTTGTATCAGTTGTTGCAATGCTTTTTGGACGGTCTCGCTTTATATATTTCCGTGGTTCTGTCGATGAAAGATTCAAGTTACTTAGGCCCAAATATTCGGAAGAAGGTTCTCTATTAATCTGGGTAAAAATATAATAAAAGTTATTAATATATTTATAAAGTCATCCAATATATCCTATTGATCTGATAAAGTATAATTACTCTTGCAGGGATAGGACATTGTGTACTAGGACTCAGCTTGTCAGGAAGGCGTAAGTATTCGTCGCTAGTATAATCTGTACTGTCAGGTGATCCAGTAACACTAGAATCAGTCGGAGTTCCTGCATTTGGTTGTAGAGAAGGCTGGTCAATGGTATCCCGAGATTTATCAAAATCATCTACTCCATCATACTTTCTAGTCTGTAGGTAAGAAATAATAATAATTTATTTCGTGTTAAAAAAAATTGTAGGTTTGAGAAATGAGAAAATAACTGTACCCTATGAATTTCATCACTGATTTTTTCTAAATTTCTCAATGCTTCAGCATAAGTCATTTTAGCTTCACCCACTGATCTTTCTAATGCACTTACTCTTAGCTTTTGCTCTTCCAGCATTTGATTAAAATGCGCTTTCATTTCATAATATGGCCTATGTAACAAATCAGTTAATAATAAAGTTTAGAATGTACATGGCATTTTAAAGAAAAGTTTGTTATTTTTATTAAATTTTGTTTTGAATTATATGTGATAAGACGTAGTATACGAAGCATATATATACATATATATATATGAGTAAAGCAGAATTTTTCTATAAAAATGCTTATCTATAAAACATTTTGTAAAAATATAATTTGTGCATAAATAGGGTGATAGTTTAGAAAATAAATTGTTAAAATAGGGTTTATTCATAGCAAACATAAAATAAATAAATAGTGTAAAAAAATAAAAAAATAATATCTATCCTACTTACAACATGAGCAAGTTGTGCCTGTAGGCGATACTGTTTATCAGAAGCAAGCTGCGACGTGCACCCATACTGCCAACATGAATATAAACCAAAAGACATAAATATTCTAATATCTATATAAAATTAACGTAAAATATTAAACAATAAAAACATAAATCATTAAATATTCGTATGGGAAGAAAATAAATAAAAATGTTAAGAATTATTGAACTATTAGATTCTAAAATTGAGGTATATATATATTAAATTAAATGCAACACATCTCATGCATTATTAAGTAAATTAAAAAGTCGTTCAATATCACTCGCTAGATTGTAAAGAAGATGCACTAGGTACACACCTAGATTTAGCAATTGCACGTTTTAGTTCACGTTGCAATCTTTGAACTTCATGTTCTGCTTTATGATATAAAGCAGTAGTGTGTCTATGTTCTGCTTCTGATAAAGCTCTTTCATGTTCAGATTCATTAACTCTGGCAGTTGCATGATTTAACATCTCCTACAATAATTTTCAACATTATAAAATTTGGATCAAGAATTTTTTTGAAATAATATGAAATTACCTGCCAAGCATGATCAAAACATCTTCCCTCTGTTCTTAATCCTTCTTCAGCTAGGTAAACCATCTCTTTTGCTGCTGCATGCTGACTATTTGCCCTTTCAAATCTAATTGCAGCCTTTTGTGTTTCATGTAAAGCCTTAAAGTATACATTGAATTAACAATTATAGGATGTACTATAATAATATTAATTGAAAATATTTCTTACTTCTTTTGCTTTAAATCTGGCATCATAATACGGTCTAGATTTTTCTATGCATGTACCAAGTTTTTTAGCTAAGGTATCAATTTTTAATGTAGATTCACAAAGTAATTCTCTAAATGTTGCTCTCGCTTCCTGAAAATAAAAGTTCATTGAATAATCAGTGACTGAAATATAATCATGTTTTTGTACATCTTAATTCACTTTGATAAATTGGGTAGGAATGAGGTTTCAAGTCATAAAGTGTTTCTTTAGACCATGTTATAAATGACTAAAAGATGATCTTTGAAGCCATTATCCATTTACTCGTACGCTTCATAGCAATCACCTCAATGAAATGTAATCACAACCAGATTCAAGACTTACTACTAATTTGATCTCCCAAGAAGGCAAATAGTTATTTTAATTCGTTGTACAATCAAATATTGTTTGTGTAAGACATAAAACAAAAATTATTCAATTATACTTACATCCAAATCAACTTCAAGTTTGTTGATATCATCAGTAGCAGTATTCAATCTTTCAAGTTCAATCTAAAACAATTATTATTTATAAAAAGATTAAATGCAACATTTTATAAAAATTTAAATAAATAATATTATTTAAAAATATTGTTCTATGTAATGAAATATCATTAAAGTACATCTCTTGATTTGCAGGTTGATTTAATAAAGTAGATGCGGCAAATTAATCGAAAAGAAAAAGACTGAAAAAAATATAAAATATTTTATAATGTCATAAAGAAAATTTATATTTATAGAGACATCGAACTTTTCATAATAAATCCAACAATGTGAAGAATCTGAATGATTAAGGTTGATTAAGCCAGAGTTTCGCTAAAAATTGGATCCAATTAAGTGTTCTTTTTTTCTCTTAAAGCAACGTGGAAATGTCAATATCACAAGTATCTAGGTTTTAAAGCCTATAAATTATTCCCAGAAGAATGCATTGCTTTACCTGAACTCTAGGATCCACTGCATCATCGATACGATCAGAATCATCGCCACTTTCTTTTTGCACACGTCCACTCATAATTAAAGATAGTACTGAATTTTATTTACAATTTTTCATACCACCTGTATCGTCTGCTACATAGTATCAGGTGGCCATGTTGAATGTTAGAGCAACCAACAATACCGTCACGTTAAAACGGTCAAGGGCACTTGTAAACCATCTACTTTTCTTCTATAGTATTGTACAGTATTGATAAAAGTGTTGCGATATTTCTTAAAAAAATTATAATTGACCATCTGATATTTTTCATCGCAAAAGATAGAGGAAATGTTTTCAAAGTCCTGCACGAAGGAAGAATTGTACCCTTTAAAATTATTCTTTGATACGAGGCAACGTTATAGAAAGGTACAAGTAAAAATAACTACAAGGATTGTATTTCAAGATGGAAAATGCATTATATATAATTTATTTTTAGAATAACAACGGTAGTTTGATTTAACCAAGTTTAACTATACGAAATATGCCGCCACACAGTAACAAACATGGCTACCGAAGTGATTAGACATGGCGGCAAATGTGTATCTTGCTACTAGAGGGAGCTATCTACTCGGCCTGACTCAAACAGATTTTTTCTCATTCGCATTGGTGGGTTCTGTGTTGTTGGAACAGGTGAATCACGTCTAGGGAAAGCGGACGACAGTGTAGAAACGTCAATCGCCCAAGTCGCACAATAATTCATCGTTGTCGGTGAGTGAAAACATTCAATTACATTGCGACCTCGCGGCTTAAAAAATGTTGGGTTCTTTTTAATTGTTTCATTGTGTTGCACTGGTATTTGCACGAAAAAGAAAAGAAAAAGGAAGGGAACAAGCAAGGTGTTTTTAAACCAGAGACACGAGACTTTCTATTTCGGTATTTTTACGCGTTATGAGCGAATACGAGCGGCGTAGGGAAAGGCAATTAATAGACGAGGATAGATCAAGAGCACTCAGGCAAACGCAAAGATCTGCTCGCGATCTAGACAGCGCTGGAAAATGCAACGTTCCTTTAACAGAATGGCAATCGTAGATTGTGCATACTTCTCGTGAAAACATTTTTCCATTCCGCGCTTTCTGTTTTTCACGTGACTCGCGATGTTTAAGATTTCAAACCGCATCGATTCGCGCTCCTTTGCCTCATGTATTATAACTATTGTTCCGCGCATCTTATTGTAGCGATGCTTCTCGTTACATACATTTACGACTGTTAGAAATGAAATATAAGTAGGAATTTCTTCAGAAAATAAATATGTTTCATTGATACATCGTTGTTGAAATTCTATTGTAATCGTTAAATTCGTAAGTTTTAGATCGACTATGATTGATTTCACAAATATCAAGATGTTGCTAGTTTAAAATCGTAAACATTGGAAACGGCTTCAACGGACAAATCAGAACTTCCGATGTCAGATAGTGAATTAACTCAAGGACACAACCGGAATGATGCCCTGTGGATACCATGAAACGTCATAAAGACCTCTTATAGCTTGTTCCGCCGTAGCCGTATCACAGTTAACTTATTTTGTATTCGTACGGCGAAAATGTACTGATGTCACGACAAACGCATGATACGTACGTGCAGGTTCCGTTTTCGTCGCAACTAATTCGATGAAGTAGTTGCCTGTACCGAGGAAGATCATTTACCGTATTTATCATTTAATCATACACGTATGCATATTTGCCGGGTGTAGATAACTTTTCATATCACATGAACGCCTACTCTCAACTCGTTCGAATCATCACCGCTCTTCAACGAGATACAACTTTCCTGCTTTCGATCGATTTCGTTAACAATCTTCGTACTTTACATTTTCACGTGTCAATACTTTGCTTTTATTCTCTGATCAATAATTTGTGAAAAGGTTGATGATCACTGACTGGACTGACAATGAGTTTTAAATGATCACCCGGTGCATAGCCGGAAAGATTCGAGGTGCATCGTTTCGTAGAATAACTGAATGAAGCTTACCTACCTGTTCCAGGGGAACTTCCTTTCGGAGGAACATTATCTCTTTTCATTGTATCTTCTTCTTCAAATACCCTACTAGATTTCCTTTTTTCTTTCTCCTTACATTAAGAAGTTGGAAGTATTTGATTACAATATTGTACACACAAAGGAACAAGTCTTTTTATATTAAATAATGTCTCCGTGAGTCGATTAAGTTGAACACTAGCAAACATTTTTCTTCGAATGTGTATATGTATACACACATTCCGAAATTATGATTAGAAGTAATAGTCGGTCAACAGCAGCAATCTGCAAACGTGTAACTAATGTAGTCGCACTTACGTAAAAGGATTTATAAGCGAATACATATATACAGCTCTAGGATTACTGTACTTTTCGTAATTCTATTAACTGTGTTTTGCAAAATCACACTTATCTTCTGGTTGGTTGAAAAAATTGCGACCGCTACTCCAAATAATCATGGTGTCAATCTTTCAGGAAAGTAAAGAGAAAAACAGTGTTACGAAATGAAACAAGTGCAGGTGATTTTGTTCAATCTGTTTTTGAAAATAGAATACAATTCTCCCTTTTGTTCTTCAAAGCTCCCCTTATCGATTTTTTCTTACAGATGAAATATTATTCTGATGTCTCTCTAGATTTTAATCTAATCAAGACAAATCTCAATGAACAACACATTTCGAAAGAGGTAATAGACCATAAAGGCAAAATATTTACTTAGAAAACTTTCGACAGCATATTATACTAGCTACGGCACTGTGAGAAAGTCACGGGGCAAGAGAACCTACGACGTTGTCGTTTTCGTTTCGCTTTGTCTCCATGTTCTACGCAATCACGAATCATGTTGATGTACATGCTTGTGTACAAATAAATGTATATTATTTCTATTTAAGAGATGTTCCAATAATATCTCAATGATCTGTGAGGCTGTAGAACGCATTTGCTATTCTTGTCCAAGGAGAGCAGCGTGATGTTTCTTTCCAAGCAGTCTTCGCTTAGTACGCAAATAATTGTTTGCGAGAAACTCGTTAATGACTGCTCATCCGGATCGTCTTATTCTAATACGCACAAGTTTCTAATTACATTGTGTCTCATGAGACGCATCTTGCCTCTGAACATTTATGCACACTTGAATACTGCAGCCTGAGCTACGTGTCTTGTATAACGATACTGCGGAAATGATTCTTGAATGCAGCACGTGGCTAATCCTACACCATCAGCTAGAACTATATTTTCAGCTAGAATTCTCAATATTTCGTATACATAGAGTTTTCTAACATTTTCTGAAGCTTAATGATTTCACTTTTTGTAATTAATAAGAAAAGAAATTTCTTTTATGTTCTCCTGCAACTGCTTTATGCTTTGATGCTTTGCATAAAGAGTTTGGGATATTTATTATTCCTTAGATAAAAAACTACGCAATTGGAGAGTTTACTATGCAAAGTTACCCTCATCTATGATAATGAGTTTGAGAAGCAAGTTTATGACCTGTCATGAGGTACGATGTTAGCGTACGAAAAACAATAGACAGAATAGTTGCTGACGGTCAAGAGCATGGTCGAAGGAACCAACTGATTACATGCATGGTATATGGCATGGGAAGAACATGTAATTAATCTATGACCGTATTTTTACGTACACATTTGTGAATGGAAACCTCACTACGAAACGTGTGTTGCGAAAAAGGTCATTCTTCTAAATAAAATGTGTTGCATTCTAGAATCGGAGCATTGCATCGCGTCGTCCGTTACAAACACGGAAATTGCATTTACAGCTTGACCATTAACGTGTTAATTACTCTCTCGATTGTTTTGAGACTAGTACACACGGATTTGCAATTGTATACGACTCTATTACAAGCTGTAAGTCGCGTTTGGCCTGTAAAAAAAATTTAAAAAATTTTCAAATTCATTAAAATAAGAATAATTTAACATTTATCTCTCATATTAAATTCTTCGAGATTCATTTCTGCACATATGAGCAACTATCTTCGCAGAAATGCTCGTCTCTCTTTTTGATAACCTTCGTTTAAATATCGTTGACGCTGAAATTATATGTCATGAATCTATCAATTCCATTCTTTCCTCTTCCGCGATAATCTATGCTGAATTGCGGACTTAGAACGTACCCATTTAAATTATACGGGTAGTTGAGTATTCCAGCTAAGGTTTTTGCAGCTTTTCAACAATTTCATGGGTGAATGCTTCATAGAAATTGTAATTTTGTTAGAGAGCGAGAGAGAGAGAGAGAGAGGAATATTTGCTGGTGCATAGATAAGCGTAATCGTTATTAATTATCGCTTGGATTCATGTTTCCTATTTATCAAAACTCTGCGAATATGTACATTAATAGTTTCCTATTTGTCGTTTATCAGATGGGCGTACATTATTGAATGAATTCTGTTCATTTACCGATATTATATTAAATTCTCAGTATCATAATGGACATTTATTTATTTTTTTTTTTTAATTGAAACATTTCTACTTTTTAAAGATAAAATTTTTCTTTTGCAGTTCTGAATATTCTTCCTATCCAAGTCCTTTCCAACCAAATAGATTTCCCGGGCACGATATCAACGATATACAAGGAATGTTTATGTGTTGTCACTAATATGTATGTCAAGCATAGTGAATTGAGATATACTTTCCCTGCTTTCGCGCGTACCCACCGTCCAAGACGAGTTCACTAGCAATCGAGTATTGTCCGAGGTGGTTAGTAGTGAAACCGGAACTTGAGAAAGTTCCAAAAAGATCGATGTTTCGAGAAAATTGCTCCACCTGCATATACACAAGCACGTGAATGTTACTAAATGTACATATGTACATACATTTATATAAAGCGTTTATCAACGTGAAAGAATGCGACGTGAAAATGATATTCGAGATGGCAGATGATCAAAACAAAAGTTGTGTAATCATCCCTTTGCTATTTGCTTCTAGGTACACATAATGAACGAGATGTGTATGTATATGCAAAAAAAACCGGTTCTCCATTGTACCGGTGCTGAATCATATCTAAAACCTGTCGTCTTCTTTCGCGTTCACATTCACATTAATTTGATGACGTCTATTCAATACCCGTGCAACAGGAAAACATTAACAGTTCGTGCATAAATGGATTTTTCTCTTAACAATATTTTATCTTGCTATTCTTTCCGTCACGTTACGATGTTACGTCTATTTGTTGAGAATTCCGTTTGTCATTTAATTATCGGCTTAACAAAATGTCGCTTCAGATATCGAGGATTATTTTTATTATATTACCTTTCCTTTTTGGAATTTTTTAAAGATTGACTTTTGTTTGAAATTCCAGACATATACGGACGGTCGAAAATTGAAATCTTGTGGAAAAAAAATGTAATCGACATGATTATACGTAAGAATTTTGCAAAAGGAAGCAGTCTTCATTGTGAGTGTGAGATCCATTCGCGGGCTATTGTGAGAGGTATTCGCATGGAAAATATTTATTCCTGTTGCGCCAAACTCTTGAAGCTACTTTCATACGCTCGGCGATTTTGTAATCCAGCATTATTTTCTCACACATAAGCTATTGCAGTCTCGTTCTTTTAGTTACAAAGAAGGTAAGACGAGTCCATATAACGCAGTTTAACTGACGCGTTACATACACGCGCAAATATAGCGCAAGCATCCTGTTGTAAAGTCTCGTCCTAAATTTCTCTGAATTTTATGAAACCTCGGAAGTGGACAATTTTCGTGTTTACTCACTGAAAAAAAGGCCCTCTAACGAAACATACGATGCATCAGTGTCCTTCGATTGGCGATATTGCATTACGACTTGATCTTGTGAAAATCAAATTAATCGCGGTCAGGATCGATTACAGAAAAAAATTGCTCCAAGCCGGAGGGATATAAATGGATCTTGTCGTAAGAATACACTATCCTTCCCCCTCGGTGATCCGCGACAGAAGAGGATAGATGGCTTTGGTCTCGGTCGTGGCTGGTACCACCATCCTCTTATCCCTTCTCATTCTATCGAATCATCTACGATAGTTGATTGCGCCTCTGTCTTTATTCTGGTATTTTCTCTTTAAAATCTTTCTGTTGTTTCTATCTTATTTTTCTAATAATTATCTAGCAATTTTTGCAATTATACTTTAATTATGTCCTTCGTCAATTCTAACGGCAATCCTAATCTGTATGTTTGTATTTCAGTAACAATCTTTGCGAGAATGATGAAAATGAATGAATGGAAACTGTGAGCGACAGAAGATGAATGCTTTCATAGAATATCTTTAATGGCAATCAGTCGCAAACTCAAACGAAAGTAGATGAAGATAGAAGACCATGGTCTCGACCGTGGCTGGTACCACCACGTATCAAGCCTTCTCATTCTACCGAATAATCTACCAGCACCGATTCGACTCCCACGACTGGTTCCGCCAGTAGAGTCGGTCGAGATCGCTAGCGCTCGGTCCCTTCCGATAGCACTCGCTGCTTCCAAGCTTGTCTGCTCGACTTCGTTCGGTTTCATTCGGCTAATCAACGTGCGCGCCGCTCAGTCCACCAGTCCACCATGAGCCGTCGAATGGTTCGCGTTTTTTGAGTTTCTCATCTTTTCCTTTTGTTCTTTGGTACTTCCCTTTTGCTCGTGGACTCATTGCTACTCCCTGCAATTCATTCGCGGACCGTTCTCATTCGTGGGCATGTGTTACGTGCAATTCGTTTAACTTGTCTGGATATACATGTGATGAACAGTAAGGGTAAGTTTTCAAAATCCTACAAGGATGTAGCTGCATTCTTTTGTTGCATTCCACAGTTCTCTGATTTTGTATTACCTGAATTGCTTTAATATTCTTATTCGTTTAGCTGCGACGGATTTTTTAGTTCGCAAGTTTGCTTCTGTAGATTCTTACAGATTCGAAAGTCACCGCTCGTGCCTGTGAGTAGCGCGTTCCTAACTATGGAAATCGCAATTGTTCTTTCAATTTAATGCATCTGAATCAAAACGAATCATTGAGAGCAATGCTTCTCATACAAGAGAGAGAAAAAAAAAAATGCAACGCGTTCAGGATTTCACTTTTCATTGACCAACATTATGACTGTTTGAAAGGTTTACGATCAAGATTACGTTATGTTCTTTGCAAGTGAAATCTCCAGTTCTTTTATACGTTCTACTTTCTACCAGCGTTGTGCTATTTACTTTCTTGCGTGGAAATTGTTCATAATGGACCTATATACTTTAAGAATCTGATAGAAGCAATAGTAACACACGAAACATTTTGAAGTCGCAGTATATTTACATGTAACGTTCGTGTAAATTCAGACTAGCAATATCTTGAAATTAATTGGGTCGTGTAGTCTGTGTCTTCATAACTGCATAACTAATTTAAAATTCTCGAAATGGTTTTAAAAAATGCTGTAACCTAAGGATTATCGAGAACTATAATTATTGATAAATGAATGTATATAGACTATGCAGTTATCGATGCTAAAAGGTTTGATGTGTAAACTAATGTCAGAGGTCAGCGTTTGAAAGAGCATGTTGCGTTTTACGGAATTGAATCGAAAGATAATGAGTCGACTGACGCCTTTATTAACTTTTTCATCGATGCAGTTAAGTAATTATTGAAGGATGAAATGTTTGATTATAAAGAATTTCCTTAATACGTTCACAAACCAGATTCATGCTTTGAAATGTAACAGTAATGTTCACATTATGCAATGATTTGCAGCTGTTCAGACAACATTAAATTTCTATCTTCTTTTCCTTTTTTTTAAATCTCTTGCTTGATTAGAAACTCATAATACAATACTTGCGTTTTCACTGTAATGAAAAACATAAAGAAGAATATGATTCTTCTTAAAAGCACATATAGAGCAAGTAGAGACTGCATAAATGATTTTCAATTAAAACTCGTCAACTTGCTGGAATAACTGACTACTTACCAATTACTGTTTGTGAGAACAGAGACAGTTTTTTTAGTAAAAACGAGTTTAACTGGGACAATGAGTTTCTACATTGCCGTTGGAAAGCAGATAAAAACGAAAGATGCATCGCCTCGGGCGACAAAACGTTTCATTGCTGATAGATTGTTCAAAGATCAGTTTTTTTTTTCTTATAAATTGTCGAATATAGGTCATGACCACGATTCTTAACGGCACCAAGATGCTTTTTTTTCCCCTAAATGAATCAGCTGAGAATCATTCACGCTGCCAGAAATCCAAGAGAAAGTGCGACCAAGCATTTTCTAATTGTCCGCATCCGCTGGAAAAATAGTAGCAATTATGGTTTACCTTGTTAAATGTATGGTTAATCGTAGATTAATGGTGCTACATAGATTCTTCGGGTAATGACTCGCGAAAGAGTGCTTGTAAGTTCTTCGCGTTCCTTCTTTCTTCGTGCTCCTTCGTGCTCCTTCGTGCTCTTGTTCGTTTCACGCGCTAATGATTACGCGTTCGATTTCACACGTTGGTCAAAAATACTTTCGATGAATTTTCTGTGGTCGTTTTAAATTAGAAACTTTACTACGGCTACTGGTTATGCATGAATATTTGAATAGAATCGTAGGAAATTTGAGAGCAAATTCTTCAGGCAACAAGAGGTCAGGATGAGATTGAATTATCAACAAAGGCGACAATTAATTGGTTAATTCTGCAGATGGTGACCAGAGGAGGGTAAAACATGGCTCACGTGTCTGTGGGAGAATCTCACCTTGAACGTTATGCAACCCGTTATTAACATACGCATAGCTATGTTAGGTAGGGTTAGTTCATAGAAAAACTACGTTGCGTTCGTGCCTAATCAACTGCATTTAAACGGTGTCAATGTCTTGGCAAGCAATTAGAAAATTCTGTAGAATTGTTTTCCCTCGTCGATCGTAGCTTCTTTCTTCTCTGGTACATCCATAGTTACGCTGCTAACAATTACGTCATGAAATCTTCCATAGCAGTTCTTACGATATAGTGAAATCGTAAATTAAAACATCAAATAATGGTGGCAATTGTTGCAATAATATTCAGGTTGCATGCAGCATTCTGTCCTTTTTAATAGAGATTGAGTCAAGGCTAGCGGAATCTTCACGTTTTATCTTTCTTCCTTCCTTCCTTTCTTTATTTTCATACTGTCCATTTCCTAGATTTCCTCCATTCTTTTATTACTTTTATTCATTTCTCTGTATTTTCCTTTCTTCCTCATTTCTAGAATCGGTAATGATAATTAATTAGTCCACAGTCTCTTCCTCGAAATCTAATGAAGCACAGTTTGTTCCGACGAAATTGAAACGAAGAAAAATCTGGATTTGTAAGGAAGCAGGAATTTTAAGAATGAAAAATGTAAATACCTTAAAAAAGGAATTTCAGCAATAAGAAAGAATAATTCACGACAGAATAAATAACGAATTCTAGCAGTAAAAAAAAAAAAAAAGAAATTATACGCTTTGGCTTAGAGGAAATAGCAGCAAAAAGAATGGAACGTTAAAAGTTTCGGATCTTTATCTTTCCCGGTTCCTGTCAGTTCATTCGTCCAGGCCCCTCAACTTTGACGCTTGACTGATTTTAAAGCCATGTTATATCGTGGAAGTTACTATAACGTGTTCACATTCTAACGGTCACCTAATAATGTAATTATGTTGTCTCGTGCGAGATGTGTATGAATTAAAATGGCATTTCGCACGAAACCTCATGGCATCGAAGGAAAGACTGCCAGAAGAAGCAATTGTATTCATGTGACGACAGTTGTTCGCGCTTCCATCATCGACTATCGAGAATTCATTCGCGGCTCGTACGAAATTGGTGGCGAAAGTTGTTGACATTATCCGGAGTACGAGTAGGTACGCGCAGTTATGGTCTCGAGCTACGGCGAATGTTTATTCATTATTCATGACGGGAACTTCTCAGTAATTATACATTTTAATGATTTGTAAATGGTCTGGATAGTGCCTTGCAATTGAATCGTTGCATTGTTTTTTTTTTTCTTTTCAGAACAAAAAAATTCTCTAATCCCGTTTGATTTTTATAGAGCAAGAAAGTTCAGTCAGGAGACGTCTGTTACAGAGAACGAGTTAAGAAAGATACTCTGCCCGTTGCTAAACTGGATATGTACTTGTAATGCGATACTTCGCAACGGTTGTGACTTTCGTATCGTGTCAGTATTATTAGCATACACTTCTCGATGGTGCACGCATGCGATGCGATGGTGCATCATTCGAGTGGAATTCAGGAAAAGTAGCTAATATTTGTACATGCTTCACGATTTTCGTGAAGATACGCTGGAGAAATTGAACGTAGCATACCACCAGGCTAGCACGTATAGAAATAATACGTTCCTCTCACTCGCATTTAGAATTCATCCTTGTATTTTTCCGCAAACATTTGACGTAATTGACAAAACGAAATAGAAGTTAATCTTCAGTCGGTGAAATAACGCTTGTTACATAATTGGTAATAGAGAGTCAGAAATTCTGTTCAAAGTAAATTAACATAATATGTTTCAGATACGGAGGAATGCAAATGCTTATTCGTAGAGAATTCTGGTAGATTTTCATTCTAATATGTCTAATATATCAGTAAAGTCGCCGTTAACTGTAAATTCTTGTCAAGTGGTACTTAGTCGCGCAAATATCACGCACGTCAGTGCGATACACGATGCACGTGTTGTGCGTGTAAGCTGCGCGTGTCACACGTGGCACTTGTTTGCTTCCGATTCTTTTTGTTCTTCCGTCGGTCAGGGAGCATCGAGAAATGTATACCGAGCACGAGCCCACTTTGAAACGGAACACCGGGTAGAGCCCGATGCAAGCTGTCATGCAACAGGTGTTGTACGCACCGGTATCGGCAGACAGAAGTGTGCTCTGTCCCGCTTATAAATCTTCGCGTAACTCGCGAACTTATAAGAAAATTTACAAGATCATGGTTTAAACAGTGTAAGTTGCAAATCTGAGTTGTAATTACCCAGAAGCTTCCTGCATGTTCTTCACCGACGGATAGAACAAGATATGGTGATTTTGAGACAGATTTGTTCACATCGCTTCTTTCTCGGATAATTCCTTTGACGCGAGGTTCTTCGCCTTCGCGGATGAGCATAACGATGGGAAATCATTGTGTCACCGAGAAAACAACGGAACCCAGTTCTCATGAGTTCCAAGATCCAGCATGTGCACGCAAACTGAACGAACGCGATTCAAGAAAAGAACAAAGAAGATAGTTCTGCGAGTCGGACAGAAAAGGATTATGATATAGGCGCAGGAAGGCAGGGCAAGTCACGGAAAGACACACCATTCCTGATTCTATTCTGGTGTATGGTACGGTGGGTTCATATAGTGAACCACGGCAACGACCAACAGACAATACACGCAGACCAGGCAAATACTTTGGTCCGACCTCTTTGTGGCTACGTGGGAGGAATAGGAAGTCGTGCATTAAATCCGAACCTCCACCTTTCAACGCTTAAACGTTTCTCAAATAGAATGTACAGGATACTGGCGTGAACCGGCACGCTCTGCGCACAAAAGCGAGATCGTGATTGCGCTCATTTTTCAGTTAACACGCTGGAGGAATTCTCCTTCTTTCTCGTTAGCTTCATTCTGCTCGAGTTACTTCGAAACTAGCCGTTCGAGCAAAATAGACCGGGTTAGAAAGAAACTCGATGAAATCCTTCGAAATTTCATAAGTCGATGTTCGTTGCACGATGAAAGAACCCGAGGCGTGGCTGCAACGACCGATAATAATCCAGGTTGCTGAATGCACGATATTGTGAGATACAGACTCCTGTTCTTTAAGTAACGCGTCAATGCACATTTGGTCTAATTGAATATAGAGTGGTCACAAAGTGTAAATAGTGTCATGTGTGAGATGATGAAACGCGAAAGGATTTAGCCTTCGTCTCCAAGGCTGACTGCTTGAACGGCGAACAATCGTCTGCACTTTGAGTTGGTTTTACGCGGTTTACCAATCCACTTGAGGAACAATGTATCGTCAATAAAGATATTTGCTCGTTATGGTTCCCCATTATCATGTTCAAATTTTTCACGCTCGAGTGACAGGATTGCTGAAAGAAGCGAGTCTTAGCTCGCTTATTAAGGGACAGCTCGTTAAGGGAAAAATGTTTGCGCCACATAGAATTATGAAGAACACGAAATATTTTTTCAAGTGAACGATAGATAGATATTATTATAAACAATATATCATGTATCTATGTACTTCAGCTCGATTGCATAATCGAAACAAACTAATTGTAAGAAAAAATGCCTCCAGACGCTTCTCACGATTACTTGCATAAGAAAAAGTGGTTTTCATTTGATATGTTATGTAAGCTTGGCATTTTCGCTTTTAATGAAAAAAAAAAAATTGATGATTCGTGCTACTTTTCTTCTCTTTAATCTGAAAATAAACCGGGAACAAAATTCTTTTTGATTGTACACCGCATGAAATAATTTTTCAACTTTTTTTTTACAGGTGTTAGTGAATAAGTGAAAATTTTTAAAAACCGACAATATGAGAAACTCAACGTTATTGAAATGGGCGCAGAACTCGGCGAACAGTAAAAATCAAACCAGCAAAAATGGTGAGTAGATTTCTTTATGATCGTACGTATGACGCAATGTGTGTAAGTATGATTATGGATAAAATCGATGAATTCTATTTGCAGGAACGAATAGGAACTGGATACATCCATCAGATGCACTCCAAAAAGGCCACATCGCCTACTTGGTCAAGGTACAAGTTACTTTCATTGTCATAGAGCGCAGAAAAAATAGGAATAGTCAAATAAGATTTGAAAGAAAAAAAAATCATTACTCTGTGATCTCTTGAAGCTTTAGATAATACTTTATAAACTGCATATGAAGGTTTCGACGATATCAAAGTCATAATATTCGAGTTTGGCAATACGTCGAGGTCGTGTTCTGTTGCGAAATTGCCAGATTGCAACCATTCACTGGATATTTATCTAGATATTAACTTTTCAAGAAAGTTTAAGGTCACGAGATTCTTCGTGATTATATTTCTGAAAATTTAGATGAAAATTACAGCGAATGTATTGTACAAATAAATGAATTAAACTAAACTTAGATTGTTTGGTATGAGCAAATTGCTCAAACGCATCTGATGTGAGAAAATAATTTAACGTTCCACGAAAAAAGAAATAAACGATATTTTTTTAAGAAAAACGAATAAGTCATTACTGCGTATAATATTGTGTTTTAATTACTTTTTACAGTTTGTTTCAGACATTTTTCTAAAATAATATTCAATATTGTGTTTAAATTTTATTTTATCAGAAATTCAAATTCAATTTAACAGAATGCTTTGTCCAAAGATAAAATAGTCAAATTAATCGTTAGTCGTTATAAACTGCTAATTGCACGATTCCTTTGTATTCACTTAATAAATGTTAGATATTGCCTTGACCATTGATCTCGATGTCATAATATATATATATATATATATATATATATATATATATCTTTGTATGTCAGTCGAATAATTATCATGAAGCAATGGTTTATAGTTTATGGTAATCGCTGTAAATGTATGTAAGCAGTTGAAATAAATATATAAATGAAGTGAATGAATAATGAAACATCACGCAACACTTGTACACTCCATTTTTCTTTTCTTCGTTCATAAAATAAATAATTTGAATTATAATTTGTGCGTCATATTTTTTAGTATTTGGGCAGCACAGAAGTGGATCAACCTAAAGGTATCGAGGTTGTTAAAGAAGCTATTTGTAAACTGAAGTTTAATCAACAATTAAGGAAAAGCGAAGGTACGAAGACTCCTAAGGTGGAATTGACAATAAGCATTGATGGAGTTGCAATTCAGGAGCCTAAAACGAAAACATCGCCAAAAGTATTGCAAATTTTTAACACTTGCTATTATATTGTATCATTATTATACCTTCAGCGGTAACCTCTTTTACTTTTTTAGCGGATTATGCATCAATATCCACTACATAGAATATCATACTGTGCCGATGATAAAGGCGAGAAGAAATTCTTCAGTTTTATCGCAAAAGAAGAAAACGCTGACAGACATACTTGTTTCGTTTTCGTTAGCGATAAATTAGCTGAAGAGATTACGTTGACTATTGGTCAAGCCTTCGATTTGGCCTATAGGCGGTTCTTAGAAACATCTGGAAAAGATTTAGAAACGCAAAGACGCTGCATGGTACTGCAACAAAAAATAAAACGATTGGAATACGAGAATAACATCTATCGTCAGCGGTTACAGGATATAGCTGCGATTAAAGGATCGGTTGGTTTCGAGAATATGATATTTTTTTATTACGTTTTTAAAATAAATCATAATGTTTCAAGGGAATTTTGCTCTAGGCTGATGTGTCAGCATATTTATCGCAACACAATCTTCCGGATATCCTGCATGTGCCTGGCGCCACAAATGATACAGTGCAAGTAAATGGATTAGGAAGCAAATCGTCTCTTGGTATAAACGATAGTAATGGAAATACATCTAATGGATCGCAGCAACCACCTCCAGTTCCTCCAAGAAGTTTTGAAAAAACATTTGATGACAATTTCATGGGGTATTTAAAATTGTACAAATAAATTTATTATAAAATATTCAAATTTAACAATTTAATTATTTTCTATGAGAAGAGGTGAATCTACACCAACGCCGTCAGTTGGTACCAAATTGGAAGGACTTTTAATGGACGAATTCGAGGAGGATTTTAACCCTAGGGCATATGAAAGTACAGCGAATGGTTTGACAAATCATCAAACGAATTATAATAATCTTCTAAATGGCCAAGTATCCTCGAATTCCAACTTTTTTTCACAAAGCAATGGCACTACAAGTCCTCCACCATTATGTGAGTTAATTTCTTTCTATTTTTGATAGTAAACATTAAATATTTCATTGCTATTATTATTCTACATTTATTTAGTGGCACCACCACCGAAAGCAAAGGATTCCAGACGTCAGAATGGGGTAAAAGAAGATTTATTTGGTAGCATCCCTTTCAATCCCACGCCATCAGTTAATACAAAAAATGAATTCAATGATCCATTTGAAATGGGCGAATTCGGAGCTACAACTGCGGTTTCTAATCCTAGCCAACAAGAATTGGAAAACGCGATTGGCCTTTTAGATAAGAAACTGCTCGAAATGAAGGTATAATGATTAATATAATATTTACATATATTTAAATGTTGTTAATTTTTAATATACTACAACTATTGCAGGATGGTTTTAGTAGAGGTCTGTCAATTGATACTGATGATTTCTCATTGGAAAGTTTGGATCCATTGCGAAATTGAATCAAATTAAAAGTCTTTTTTGAAAAGAAATGACAGTTGTTTGTTATCGTATGTTCGTCGAGGAGCATGAAATTCCAGGAAATGAATAGGCAAATTAGGAACATACATTTATGCGAAACCAAAATTAGTCAATTACTATTATAATTATATTAATCATATATTTATCATGATGTTTGATATTTATCATATGAATATCGATAGTAGCTTTAGTCTCAATGCTAAATACAGCAGAGACTTTTCATTGTTAAAAAGTATAAAAAAACAAATGGTATTAATATTTGTATAACGCCTTTATTAATACTGTTTATTTTTTTATAAAAACTGAATTATTTTAACAACATTATTTTAACAACATATAAAAAGATAATAATACAAGACATTTTAACAAATGCATTTCCTATTGCAGTTATTTATTCTATAAGTCAGATGAGAAATTTTCAAATTAAACATTCTTTTATATAAATATATAAACATAAATGAATGAATCAACCTTCGTGCTTTTCATCAGCATGTAATGGGCTAACTCGAAATTAGTTATCAAACTTATAAATCTAATTCTTGTTGTTAAAGTTATTATTTGTAATATATAAATTTTACTGTTGGTAAATAATCCATTCCGTAGGAATCTCCAATATGAAGTATATTTAAGAACATAGAGTCATGAGAAACTATCATTTTTAATCTCATTTAAATGAATGAAATGAAAAATTCTATCATTTTTAGTCGAGAAATAATTAAGGATTTTAAAAAAATGCAATTGTCTATAAATATCATAAAATTCAATGAAGAGATGTTAGTAATATATTTTCATGCAGATATAATTGATTGTCTGTGTGTATCTTTTTGCTGTGGATTAGCAAAGGAGAAAGATATTGGAGCATCAACTAAAATAGTAGTAGATATTTCTTTTAATAGACAGTTGTATATCTAACACCTAAATCTCTTCTATCGATCTATCATCTTCTATTTGTCCTTCCATTTCCTATTATTATCGTTTATTTGGCATCATAAACATACATATATATAAAAGAACAAAAAAATATAAGAAAAATGTAAAGTGGTATGAGTGTGTGAAAGATTACAGTCGTGCAATTTCACAGATACTTATATATACATATGTACGACATGCTATCTTCAAGATAATAGAGATCGATGTTTGATACAATAAGAAAAATATTAATTATGTACATATGAAATGCTGTTTTATTATTGTTGCTCTATTGTTTAAGTATTATCGTTAATAATATATTGCATAAATAATGTAGCTGAGAAATTCGTCTTATTTAACCTACATTTCAGTTTTAAAAACATCTTCATTTGAATTGAATCAAATAATTGAATTTTATCTCAAAGTATTGAGATAACCTTCCTCTTCGATACATCGAAAATATTTTTTTGAACGCTAATAGATGTATTGAACATTAATAGATTTGTAATTTGTTTGTCGCTTTCATTGTAAAAAGCTATTGAAACATTAAAATATATTTTAAAATTATTTTACTTTCAGAAGCGTGTATTGAAAATTTTGCAAACACACGTTTTAAATTATGATACGTTGCTATTTACTCCATTGACAATAATACGTATTAATATATAGTTATTGGCTCATAAAAATATTTCAGTACTTGTAGAATTAAATTGCGAGAATATATACAAGTGTTACACCATATATTTTACGGACATCGCAGAAATAAATGATCAATTGTCTATTATATCGTTTAGATTAAGTCTCATGTAATTAGTTTCAAGTTCTGTCAATATAATCTTTTAAAAGTAACAATAGTAATACAATAGTAACATGCATTTACATTTATAAGTAATGTTCGTTCATAAGTCAATTTAAAATTTTGAAAGTTGCCGCTGCGACAAATGTCGCATAGAGCGTTCGCTAGATTACCAACTGAGGTCGATAACAGCGAGTTGCGGCGTTCGTTGTTGTGCGGCGCTGTTGTCGTAAACGTGGCGAGGCACGCGCTGCGTCAGTATTCCGCGAGCTTCCATCGTGTTCTGTTGCAGTTGCGTCAAGGAGCGGGCTATCCTGTTCGACAGTGAACTGCGGAGTACGAGAAAGTGTCTTTTCGTTGGAACTGAGGAAGAATGGCGGACGACAGCCACGAGAACGGCACGAGCAACGGCGACGTCCCCGAGATCGAGTTGATCATCAAGGTGAGTTTATACTGCGCGTGGAACGAAGACGAAGAAGAAGGAAGAGACAGAAGAAAAAGGCGATCGTTTCGTGCACGATATGGGCGTGGAACGAACGACTGGTTTTCTTCCTGTCGACTTTCTTCTTCCTTTCGATATTTCTTCTTCCTTTTCTCCTTCCATCCGGCGGCGAAGAGTCGCCCGTTGAAACGACCGTCCCTGACAAAGATACATCGCTCGCATCGTTTATCGTACCGAAAATAGAAAAGCTGCTCCTTCTGCTGACCGTTTGTAAGTAGCGTCGAACTCCGTCCTCTTTCATCTTTGTTTTCCTTATCCTTTCTACGATTCGGTCGGTCGATCAGTCCGTTGATCGATCGGACGTCGATGTCAGAATCGATCCCGGTGACAATGAAGTCGAACTTTGATACGTTACTCGAACATGGTGGCGAAGCACGAAAGGCGTTGCTCCAAAGCTTTTTTCATATTCGTCGATGACTAATTGCAAGCACAAGGGGCATCTGACGAATATATATCTATATACATACGGAACAGAATTTCTTATGGAGGAAAGCGATGTAACGCTACTCGAAGAAACACACACGTATGTATACTTGTAAAAACGGGGGATTCTGGTTGGCCGCGTTTTCTACGTCATTGACTCCTCTGTAGAAGAAAGAAACCCTTGACTCTTATCTCTTGCATGCGAGATATATTTCCGCGATAATGCATTTCTTTTTTTCTTTCTCTCTTTTTTTTTTTTTAGCTGTTTTGGTTTTACTTTGGCGGACTTGAGCGTTTCTTACTCCCCCATCTCTCTTTTTTCCCGCCTTCGAAAATGCAAGCAAAATATCGCAGCGAGCACGACGACGCATTTACACGGGCCGTATATTAATTTAACGAGATTAGAAGCATTTATACATATAGTCAACGTTGTACGGAGGATAAGAAAAAAGAAAAGAAACTGCCAGAAGATTCCACTCTATTTTTATACTAATTAATGGACAGAAACCGAGCATACCGCGAAAATCAAAATTTTTACTTTGCTAACTTTGTATGCAATGTTAAGTTCTAAAGGTATAATATAATAATCTAAATTAATCACTGATAAAATCCAGTTAATCAACTCAATAACTTTTTTGGTTTTTCGTATTGTATCGCAAGTATTATCTACGAATGAGATGTATTTTGAAACATGAATCTTTTTTTTTCTGAATATAGATATCGACCTAGACTCGCTCAGCGTTCGATTCAATCGAGAACGAACTCGATTCCATTTCTCGGAACGCTCTTTCACCATATTTTCTGGGAAAACATCTCCTTAGAGGGAAAGAGGCTTCCTTCGATTGTCCAATTACGAGTCGTCGATTAAACTTTCGCCAATTGGATCGGTTGTGTCCAGCCTCGGACTTGCTTTACCTCTGTACGTCGTTCCTAATCGTGCGTTGGCTATTTCAGGCAATGTCAAAACGCGCTAATCTTATCGCATCTATTCGTTCAGTGTGACGCGTGTTTCCTCGTAAACAGTTCTATTTCGCATCGTTGCTTGGATACACAAATAATATAGGTGAATATACGAAAATCCATTTCGTCACATATGTACGTTTTACGAGACCATTTACGTTTCAATTTTTAACCTCTTGCGCTAGTAACTGGTTCACGGACCATAACGTGACCAAACCGTATACAATAATTCGTCTTTTTTTTTAATTCATCAGTATATTACTGGATAGAAATTACTAAGAAGTAATAAATTTATTATTTGTTTTGCCTGGGTTATATTTCAATATACTTAAAACTGAGAAAATATTGCAATTTTAGGCCAAATATTTTCGACGTGCATGATACGTCATCTCAGCGTAAGAGGTTAGACTTTTATTGAAGGGTCGTTAGAACCGCTTGAAAAAGTTTTCATGAATTCGAACTAGTTTGAAAGTATCCTTGGAAGTAAGTATTACACTGTTCTTCAGATGTTTGAGATTAGATAGGAGAGAACAAAGTTTTGAATTTAAAAGGAATTCGGTCGTTGATATCAGATGTTTAAAGCGCTTAAGGCTTTTAACCTATTAATCGGATTAAATCTATAATTAACTTATGATCGCAAAATGGAAGAGACAAATCAATCTTTTGTATTCACGAATTGGTAGAATTTATTTTTATAGCTGAAATGAAATTCCTTATTCAAATCTATAAGTGAAAAAATTATGTAATCTGTATTATGTACTCTGAAAGTTAAGTTCCTATGAGAAGAATTAATTCGTTTTCCTCGGTTAACAGGTTAAGAATTTGTAAATAAAAGAAATGTTGAAGCTGCATACTCTTCCGTGGTCCTAATTTTCATGCTTCGAATGCCTCTGGATTTCTTTAATTGCAAACTAAGAGATGGAAAGAATGAGAGAAAGAGAGAGAGAGAGAGAGAGAAATAACAGTGAGAAGATTGCGGATTTAAGGAGATTCAAATTTTCGTGAACAAAACTAATGAATGAAAGGTAGAATTTCTTTTTATCTATTAAATCTATTACGTACGTTGTATGGAACATTTTGAAATTTTATTTATGGAGCAATTTAAGTAAGTCGAAGATGACAACTTTTGCTGCTTTTTAACTAACTACATTTTTACATATAAATGTATATCATGTAACACGTATACACAATTTTAGATTGACTTTATCAGTATAATGACATGATATGATAATCATATCTCACACACATGCATGTATAAAATTTCTTTTAATCAAAATACTTTGTAAGCCACTTCATACAGCCTGAGTATTTTTAGATCTGTAAATTTCCCATAAGTGCATAAAAATCCGCAGTCTAGCAATGAGAAAGCAGAGAGAGAGCCTTATAAGTAGAATCCTACAGGAACGAGAGATACCCAACGACGATGTTCGTTGCAAGAAGAGATTTAATGGTAACTGGCCGACCTTGCACTCGGAAGGCGATCATGCGAGGTCTTCGTAAGTGTGTCAAACGGGATGAAACGACGGGGAGCTCGGCGAGGTCTTCGAGATTCTACCGTTAAACGATGAACTCCTTTACCTTCCGCTTTCCTCGCTCTTCTGGCTTTCCCCCGTGCGTAAACACCTCCTCTTGCCTCCTTTTCTCTTCATCATCCATCATTATTCTCTCTTTTCCTTCCTGATTGACGTTACTTTGCATCGGTCCCGCGTGACTGCGAATCTTGTTTCCATCTCTCGAAAATGAGTCATCTTTGCGTTTTTATTCGCATTCAGGGTGAAATACCTGTGAAAAATGGTGGACGATGAATAATAAAGAGATAAAAAAAGTTAAAAGAATGGATTTGGATTATAGGTCAGTAGACGAGGCGATACTTGATTGATTACGCTTTGGATGCAACTATCCTATATTGCTATCGAGAACGAGGAAGTATCGTATGACCGTGTGCGGTTATAAAAAATCGATCGAATGTTGCGGTTTAATCTTCCCTAAGGTCATTACGTGCGTTCCCGGTCAGGAGTAATAGATGGAATTATATTCTGGTCTTTGAGCAGGGTCGCGCAAAATCTGCATTGAGTCAGCAGAAATACGTAAATGCAAATTTTCTCACGTAAGAGGATTTTTATTCGTAGCGATGTATCAACAGAGCTCCAAAAAAAGAAAAAAAAAAAAATGAACGATATGACGGTTTTATTCTCATCACATGCAAGAAACGTATGACATACATAATATGTGCATCATGAAACTGAATTCATTATCCACGTATACCGTTGATAGACGTTGGCTTGTGTGAGCGCATATTCACCTATTTACCGTATGCTGTGCATTATACGGCAAGTTGCCTGATGACGTGTTATATTCGTGAGCATTGTTCCATTCCTTTTTACATCTTGTTCTCTTCCATACTAATATACTGAAGCCAAGCATTTTAATCGCGTGTGCATTGCAGGTAAAAGTTAGGAGAGTTTCGAAAAGCTGCTCGATGCAGTTTTATAAATTTATTCATCAGCCAAGTTGAAACGGGAATCCCGTGTAGGTGCACCGGTGCGCAGAGAAACGCGCTTATTTCAGAAGTAATCAGGAATTTGCTTCGATCAACTACAAGCCACGTGTCTCATATTCGGCTCATCTACAATAGCTTGCTAGGCGAAAATTGAGGTTTTAGATTGTGTTATCTGAAACTTTTATCGCTGCAAAATAACATATGCGATAAAGTAATCGCAATTGAATTTTCAAATGAGAAAGGAACTCAGCGTTGAGCGAAAGATTATTCTCTTGCGTTCAGAGATGAGAGACGTTCGATGCGCCTCGTGACATTTGATCCAGCGTAAATACTTTCCACGCCATTGATATTTAATGACACGGATACTGTCACCGATTTCCAAAATTAATTGAACCTATGCTTGTAATTTATTTCTCATCGTTCTCTATCTAAGACCATTTCCGGTATTTTTGAGAACGATTCTTGAACGACATAATTAGTACGTCTATCATATAATTGACGTAATGAGTAATTAGCGTTTGCTAATCCGCTACTCATTATATCCTCAAAAACACGGAACTGACCAGGCATAAAAGTGCCGCGTTTTAGCCTTGGCCGAAAAGTTGCCGAGTTTGGCAAACAAGAGACCATACGTCGTTCTTTTCTTAAGGATGGAAATTGTTCGCATCATTCTACTCTTAAAACTTGGACTTACGTCATTGTGAAAAAAATAATCAGCTATATACACGAACAGACTATTCGCATGTGTTCTTCTTCCTTCCTGTTGAAAATCACTCTGCAATGGTTGCCGATTAATATCGTTTCTTTTTTTTTTTTTTTTTGGATATCCAGTCAAAACGTATGATCAGACTGGAATAAAATGGTAAAAATGGAAACAACGTTTTTGGTGAAGATTGGCACGCTATCAACGTTTAATTTACACAAATTACTGAATGATCTCTTTTCTTTTTTAATAATTAAGATAAATATATGTACTTAGAAACGAGAAAATAAATTGGTGCGTTCATGATTGATTGTGAGAGTTACGATAGGTATGTAACTGAAACACTGGTTTTTCACTCTTCAATAAGTTTAAAATAAAGCACATTTCTTTTCATAGCTATATATATGGGAACTAAAGCTTCGAAGAATATGTTCTGGTAAGAAAGAAAGCAGGGTGCGTCATCGAGGGGAATAAATAAACCGTGACATCGAGAAAATGAGAGCGGAGCAAGTACGCTAGATACTCTCAATTTGTTCAATCAATTGGAGAAGACAGATATCATTCGCTTCTTTCGATTGATTCTTGACACTTGGATGTTTTATTTTTAAGACATAGACTAGTGAAAGTCAATATTGATAACGCGCGATAAATTAATTATAAATATATTTTTGCAGGCATCCACGATCGATGGTCGCCGAAAGGGTGCATGCCTTTTCTGCCAGGAGTACTTCATGGACTTGTATCTTCTCGCTGAATTGAAAACAATTTCTCTAAAAGTGACCACGGTCGACATGCAAAAGCCACCGCCTGATTTCCGTACCAACTTTCAGGCAACACCTCCGCCGATCTTAATCGACAATGGAGACGCGATATTAGAGAACGAGAAAATCGAACGACACATAATGAAGAACATTCCTGGTGGACACAATCTCTTCGTGCAGGATAAAGAAGTGGCTACTCTTGTTGAAAACTTGTTCAGTGTATGTATAAATACTGAACCGCTTTGCCGAGAAACTATTACTACTTTCTCGTCTCTCAAGACTCGCCGCTAAACGAATACGTTATTTTACGTTCTAGAAATTGAAACTGTTACTACTAAACGCAAAAGATAAGGACAAAGACCCGAAGTCCTCGTCTCTGATGGCACACTTGCGCAAAATCGACGAGCATCTAGGTCGTAAGGGTACTCGTTTCCTCACAGGCGACACAATGTGCTGTTTCGACTGCGAACTTATGCCACGACTCCAACATATCAGGGTGGCCGGCAAATACTTTGCGGACTTTGAGATTCCAGAAACTTTAGTGCATCTCTGGCGATATATGCATCACATGTATAGGCTGGATGCCTTCTTACAAAGTTGCCCGGCAGACCAGGATATTATTAATCATTACAAATTACAACAGGTGTGATATATTTTAAAGAAACTAGGGTTTCTTTTTTTTTTTCTTTTTTATTTATTCCATTGTACTTTATTCATGTTATCGTTACAGAGCATGAAAATGAAGAAGCATGAAGAGCTAGAGACCCCAACATTCACGACTAGTATCCCAATCGAGGTCAACGACGACTAGGCTGGACCTCTGCCGTCGGGTCTATGATCTCGTTACTTTGATGCAAAGAAAATCGTCGATATCGGTGTAGACGTATAAAAGAAGTGCGAATGGCGCGAAGTATATGTATTCAACGAGAATTCTAGTTCTTCCAGTGGATAATTATGTCCACTATTTATAAAAAGTATACTACAGAGTCTGCTAGACCACTCTTACGAAAAAATTTTCATCATCTAGATTCAACTGCGCCGATCTCGCTACACTGATTTATATAACACTTTTGCTACATATATTTGACAAATTACCGTCAACACTCTTTTATGGCCTAAACTGATGCAGAACAAGTAGCTTTTTTACCGCTGGAGACAGAAGAAGATGCGTATATAAATGTATTAAAGCTTTCGAGAACGACCTGTAAGCGTATCCAGAAAACTTAAACAATATTTTCCTTTCCTTTCTTTCCAGTTTCTTTTTCTTTCTTTTTTTTCCACTACGTATGCGAATCCGCGTACGTAATCTTTGTTTAAGTAATATTATTCTTAGAAAAGGCATTTTAATCTTTTACATATACTTTAGATCGAAGCTAATGTATTTTTTGTTTTTTCATGCCTCTCTTTTTTTTTTAACAAGGTATTCCATCATCTTTTGATGGCAAATAATGTTAAGTAGAAAGTGCAAAAGGGACGTATGCATTTAAATTACAATTAACAATCGATTACATTAATGTATTGTTTCTTTTTTCTTCTTTAAAAACTGCATTGTATTTATCATGCATCCAATGACTAATCAATAAATTGACTTACTGATGGTTATTTTTCTGCAGCTGTTTACACTGACCACTATAATCCTTCATTATGTCAACCTGTTTGAATATAAGAGGTATTCTAGTCTCATGTGACGCATGTAATGTCAAAACTTTAAATAATTCTTTTTAAGATGTTTTTTTTTTATGTATACGATGGAATTCTAGAAAATTATAGTGCATACGTTTCTTCTGATAATCTCTACGTTATAATGAATTCAAATATATGAACAATTTTTAATCTGGTTATTATAAACTTCCTTGCAGATGCTGTGTATATTGAAATGGAAAAAGTCATCATAATTTTCATTAATATTGTTCAACGATTTGACAAGCTCGGTATTTTGTATTAGTAATTATATTATTACTATTGTAAATCATTATTATTATTATATTACTTTGGTTTACACATGTAGAAATGAATATATTAATATTTACATATTAACTTTTTAGTTTATAGATACTTCTACTCGTTTTATCTCTAAGAAAAACTCGAGAGATACTGTTTCCATAAAGATTGAGAATAGAATTTGATAAAGACGAGAAGCAGTACATCTATCTTAAAACGACATCGCTGTCCATTCGTATCGAGTTTTAAAATAGCACGCGGTTTCCCCTTCCTCATGATTGTGACTGACTATTACGACGTCTCTTCCATTCATAAATAGGGAAGCACTTGTCGTATTGGCGGCCATCTTAACTACGTAGTCAGTAGAACTTCTTTTATTTTGATCGTTCGAAATGCAAACTTTCATTCTTTGATAATGGGTAAATAATAAATTAAACAGATATCTTTTAAATGCATTCAAATATTTTTCTCGAATGAGAATTATTTGAGAACGTATATGGTTTTTCTGTTGATTACTGTCGTTTCAGTACGCAGTGCACAGCTGATCAGTGGTTCTAACGGACGGTTACCGCTTGTTCGTGCTTCAAAATCTACGAAAACGACAGAAAAGTTACTGTTATTCGTTCATTGTTTACACAGTGACAGTTGAAATTTCACTGTTCAATTGGTGAATAAAGTTGCGGCGCGTTTGGCAAGTGTCTTCATCGAGTGTTCGAAGTGAGCGGTTAACTGGTTTCTCATTCGTTGGACATTTCCAATGGTTGCCGTCCGGTGAGTTTCAAGCTTACGATTTAAAATCAGATTGCACGTTGAAGTAATACGATTGAAATTCAAATTGACTCTCAGAAGTTTTTTCATTGTCGAAATTTTTGTAATACTGACATTGTAGAAGGGATAAAATCGACGAAAATGAAAAAGAAAATATAATTGATATTCTTAATTGTATTTTCTCCACGCGATGCGAATCACGTTGGAATATGTTGGAGATCGTAATCTGTTAACATTAAGGTTCGTATTGATAGATATTTGCCGATGAATAAATTAAATAAATTGAATATCGAACTTGTTAATTAATCACTTTTTATCTTTATTGTAGGTTTTTAAATTACATTACAGTAATATAGTAACGCAGTTGCTTACACATATGACATGTATATATAAATTAATTCATAACATAATGTCAATCTTCTTACTGATGCAGCAATATATGCATCCAGTTAAATATTTTTCATCGGAATTCCATTTCTATGTATTATAGCGGTTCTTCTATTTATATATAGTGTCATCAAAGTTCCCTGTGAATTGGTCTTTCTTTATCTCGTATTAAAACAGGGAAATGTCGTTGCTTTTCTCAGGTATTTTCAAAAGTGAAGGATCATTATTAGTTTTGTCCTTTTTAAGTGTGTCATAGACATAAGAAGAGCCAGTCAATCTGGGTGTTACGAATTTTAATTTTCACCGACGATTTTAGCCACTGTGCCTCTCGATTTAAAAGTTATGCCCAATCAATTGAAAGTCTTGTTTCGAGCAGCCATTACGAGAGTAAACATCGTATGTATCTCCACTTCATTCCCTAATATATATCATATAGTAAATACTGCATATAATATGCTCAAGATAACATTCATTTATAACAACTCTATTATAATTCATTATTTTTTTAACTATCTATTCCAAATTATATAATTATTCATTAATTACCGTAATCTTTTCTCAATTTGATATAGGTGGTCGGTTTTGATTCTTTAATAACTCCCGGACCATCAAGGAGTTTCAACCGGAAGGTCTAAATTCAAATTTTTTGGCACATGCGGAAACGGAATTTAAAGGTCAACGATATTTATAATAGCGTGAAAAAGCTGTTTAGAGAATTAATAACGAGTTTTATGGATGCACCTGAATTATCCGTATCGTAAAGAACTGGCGTTTGTGTGCACGTAAAGCCACGTTCACATTGCTGACGATTATCGCGATATCGCGTCATATTCTGTTATCGTTTACTTTAAGTAACAATCTATTGCGAGATGTTAATTACTTCAGAAGTAGATAAAAAGTAAAGGACTTACAGAAAAGGAATTAGTTTTCGAAAGGTTTACGTAGTAGTCAACGCTGATATTTTTTACGCGAAAAAAAGTACAACATTATTTTCAGGATAGTGTTTATTTTTGCCTCGAGGCGTAACTTATCGTAGCTCTGCTTTACGTTAGCGTTGCGTCCCCCGTCAATTATTATTCTTGGTTCCTTATTTTTGTCTGCCACTAAGCTTGACGCATTTTTTTTTCTTTTTCCTTCGCTGTAGTTTCAGTTGGCCACGATTGCTCTGTTTTCATGCAGTTTTAAAATATTGCGCGTAAAACTGCGAGTTATCGACGGCTCCGGATAATTGCATTTCGTTGCTCACGTGTCTGAGAATGTAAATAATTCCCACTAGCAGGAGAAATCTCACCAGCTCCTCTTTGCGAATAGACTGCGAATAGTCATTGCTATTAGTCTGATGCGTGGTTTTATGAAGCAACAGGTGTCAACTCAATTCAAAACAGGATAATTCTCTACATCTCTCATATAATTATCACGTTGATGTAAGATTACCACGTTAGAATATAATCTTTATATCTTTAAATTCTCAGTATATCATTAACCAGAGTCTTTATTAATTTGTACATTGTCGTTGTAGGATGAAAAGGAATCATTTGGCAGCGTGACGCTGGAACAAAATTATTAGGACGTTTTCGAACGGTGGAACGAAATTAGGCTAAACAAGTCGCCATAGTTTAAAAAGAAACTTTGAAAATTATTCCAAATGCGTGAAAATACTCGCGGAATTTGCTTTTCCCCGCATTGCCAGGAGTAGACGAAAACAGCCACGCTGTGTCTCCTGGGTATTTCATGACACAAATATCTTCCCGGCATGTTGGAATTCCGCTTTTCCTTTTTCGCCTGTCCCGACGAACGACGTTCTCGCCCCTCTCTTCAAATCCATTCTGTGTCACTGATAGAAACATCCTGCGTCTGGTGTAATTAAAAGATGCTTTTCCTTTGCTCTTGATCCAGGAGAAAAATATATTCGGTCCATTACCGATCGGAAACAATGCTGCGATATTGTCGGATAGCTCGAAGCGAGTGGTTCTTACATTGGTCGTTGAGGTGAATCGCGAAGTATCGTTTATTTTTCGTCGGTGAGGATTCCGTTTGGCAGAGGGAAGCGAGTTCGGCAGAAATTTGCACAATCCATGGCGGAACGAATTCGATTCGCTGTTGTGTTTCCGCATCGAATACTTGCCCACACGCGTTTATTTGCATTTTCGTCATTTGCGTGTCGAACACCCGACCGTTTGGCAGATGTTGCCAGTGGAACCAGTAAAAACCCTCTGTGTGTGACAGATTCAGACGGATACAGAGTGGCGTAGAAGTTTGCAATTCCAAGTTTATATAGCACGAATTTTATACTTTTGTAACAGAAATACACTAGATAAAAGAAGAAAGCAAAAGAAAACAATGAAAGAACACCGCTATTTTGTAACGTTAACTTTATAAGCCTTTTCGTTGCAAATTTTGTACTAGACTGTGCGTTTTTATCTCGACGAGGAAAAGCCTCGGATTACGAGATTTTACTGCGATTTGATTTGCTTGATCCGGAACGCGATTGGCGAAACCACGTTAGAGAGTAGCGGTGTTTGAAAGAAGACGCTCCGATTAGGGCGAACGCTCTCTGACCGATGGCCTGAGTACACGGCTGCGTGCCAATAAACAGTTTTCCCTCTGATTGATGCTTTACTCACCTGATACACCGAGACCTGCCAGGTGCGAGGCGACGGAAGAAAGGGAGTCAAATTATTAGTTCTATCTAGCACTTTATTCTCTTCCATGGCCTGGTGCCAAGTGCGAATTGCACGCGCACAGCTTCTAACCTCTTAGTTTCTTTCGATCGACCGAACGACCCTCAGCCCTCTCTCTCTCCCTCTTGACTCTCTTTTCGTGGACTTTTGGTTCTATGCATCTAGATCCAAAAATGCGTAGAAGTAGCTGCGAGATGGACGGTATGTCGATTTCTGAAGTTCTTTCACGATTATTCAAGTGTGATTTATTCGAACGAGATCCTCGAATTTAGGTGTGAATTATACATTTTCGAGGTTTAACGTCGTCAAAGACGATACGGCTAAGTGTTTTTTATACTTAAGCGTAAGTTTTGTAATCTTTATTGTCTTACAAAGGGAGTCGACGGTAGAATTGAGATTAAGTTAAAAAGGAATGTTGCGTGAATGTTCCAGTTGTTTGGGAACATTGATAAAAATTCCAAAAGTTTTTTTTCAACGCGATGATGCATCTGCAGATATGCATAGGCGCATGCGTTTATGCGTGGGAGCGTGGCACGCGCAGTGCCGGCTAATTATGTGGCACTCCTACGTGCCACGCGGCACAGGTGTCCACCGTTTCTTTACTCGCTGCCAATTCCGTAACGTAACGGGTGTCTCGAAGTCTATCGACCCTTGAAATCTTGTCAAAACGCGGAACGAGTCTCTCAGTCATGGCTGAGCCTTAAACGTACCGCGAGCATCGTATTGAAACCTCTGCTAAATCTTTGAATTTGTTAAAAAATCGATGGCAAATGTAATTGTGAACAAATTAAAGTCAGATTGTGCTACTTTACGTTACATGATATTATAGATTGAAAGCAAAGTGGACAATAGTAAGTTGAAAGCAAATTATAGCGAAATGATTGATAAAAGATTTCTATCGAGCACCGAGTGCATGGTTATAGGTAAATTCATCTGATTTCAGTTCCCTTAGGTCAAACAGTCTCGGGAAGCGAAGGAACGTTTTTCCACCTTTCTCCCTTTTCCCGCTACGGAGAAAAAGTGGTTGCAGCCAGAGAGACACGTTCCGGATATATTGTCGAAACGATCTGAACGATGAAACGATGTCCGAGGACTTAATGGTCGTCCCGTTAGGGAAGATTAGCAAAGATAGGACTCCTGCTTACCAGTCGATGTTTGGTGTGGCCTTCGCTATAATTAAGAGACCGTAACGCATGATCATGTAATATTTCAATGCGTCTCTAACAAGTGAGACGATTTGCCCCGGCAGGTTCCACGGTCTTTTCCTTTTCATTTTCTCACGACTTTGTCTCCATTAATCGCATCCCCGTCCACTCATCCGTGGTTGAATAATTTGAAACACTTTCGCGCACCGACACGAAATTGCACGAAACGTCGTATTTGGAGGCCATCCAAATCGTTTATCCACCAAACTACAAAATTTCGACGATCTTGCCGGATTTCTGCTTCTCTTGCTCTCGTTCGAGTTTGTCTACAAAACATCGCGCGTTCTTTCAATACTCAAGAAGTGAACGAATCTCGGTGAAACGAGACTAGCCGGTACGAGATGCATTATTCTCATTTTCACGCACATCTCGCGTGAGATCACGCTCTGTCTCGAACTGAGGCCGATCCGGTGGCCAGTGTGACCGATAGGATCGTCAGCCGTGGACGTATTTGTTCATTCGACGTATCATATTCAATCGAACTGGTGTAACGAGAGACCTGGCACCCACAGGTAGGCCTTGCCAGGAGGATGGGGGCCCACGATGGGGGAGTGCCATTGCTCTAACATCGCTATCATGCAGCTGTTCCATGAGCTGAAGCAGCAGTTCCCTGCGCTCCCTGATCACGTCGTTTCCCAGTGCATCGCCCAGGTATAGGTGCTCTTTGTCCACCAGATATTCTGCTCCTATGCTGGTCTCTTAGAAAATTCGATCTACAATGCAATAACAAAAGAGTTTGAACATTGCACACTGTAAAATGATGATGTTGCCTCGAATTTTCCGAGATGGGCTCCTTGATTGTACAGTGTGCCTCGTAACCAGTTTAGTGAGATTTGTTCTTTTCGCTCATCCATCATGACTAAAACAATACTGATCACATTAACGACTAACCACGTGCACACACCGCGAATATCATAACCCCTCGCATTGCAAATTAACGGCTTAAAATTTCTCTCCTCTTTCATTGCACGAGCGTGGAACCTGTGTGTATAGACGTCCTTTGTGTTGGTCATTTGGTTTTTTTTTTCTTTTTCTCTAATTGCGCATTCGGAAGATGTCTCTTAATCAGCAAAAATTGACCGCATTAAACTAAATAATACAGCGTCTTTTATTCGTATTGGAATTTCTGGGTTTCTTAGCAGTCACCAAAGGTCTAATTGTAACAGAGTTTGTTCTTAGTTAAAATGAAATCTATCATTCTGAAATTGAAGGAAACTGAGATTTTATCAATTTCTTTTTTTTTTGCGCAATTTTTTCTCTTTCCATACAACCTAAAATGTTTAATTATTTTGTAGTATGTGTGGTATAATTTTATTTAAAAAAATAAAGAAATGCTAGATGAGACATTTTAACTCAAGGAGGCGGTACGTGCTACAATATATGAATATTAGAAACGTTTTGAGAGTACGAATAGACTAGAAAATCCCAGAATCTTCCAGTATCCACAAAACTATCAAGGATATGCGCGAAAAAGCCTAGCATCGTTTAACCCTTTGCCGTCTATCTTTCTCGCACCAAACAACCTCCTCCACTTACAACAGATTTATACCCCGGGATTTGAACTCAGAAGCAAGTCCGCCGTTCGTATCTGGGTAACCCAATTGGACCGTAAACGGTTAACTCGCATCACTCTTCCAGAAGGTGTCTGACCGACGAATTTGCCAGCATTGTATAAGATCCTTTGTTAGGATCCAGGAGAGGCAAGAACATTTCCTAGTTAAAAACTAAAAAGAAAATGAAATAAATAAAGAACCCTTCCGGTGTGCTAGAGAGTGATGACCGGAAATCAGTTGACGAAGGTGCATCTATGCGTTGCAGAACAGCCACGATCGGGAGACATGCGCGAGAAGTCTTCGTGCTACTCAAGAGTCACGACAGTCTCCGGGCGCATTCCTACCGGCGACACTTTGCGCCGTCCTTCAGCAGCAGCAGCAGCAACAACAACATCATCAACGAGCGAACCACGTAGCCACGCAGCAACAACAACGTTGTTGCACGATGAATCAACTGCAGCATACCATCAACAGCACGAGCAGCAATACGCGACCGCACAGACCAGCCTCGCTGGACATCGGTATGGCACGGCGTTGTCCTGTCAGCTGTACACGAGCAGTTGCGATATCAGCATCGTCGCCGATCGCTGTTAACTCGGCCAACGCGCCTTCCTCGGCGCCTGCTGCTTGCACGACGCGCGGTTTCTTCGACGATTATACGGGACCGAGCGACGCGAACCCCCTTAACAAAGTCCAGAACACAGGAAACGAGCCAGCCGGATTCGAGTTGAACGTGAACGTTGCCTGCAGTCCTGCTGGCAATCGCGGTACGCATCTACCTGACGTTTCATTACCCGAGATAGGGGAAGTCGAAACGAATGAATGGATATTCGTTATACATATGGGGAACTCTGCTTGTATCAGGTTTACTGATAAGCGATTGGAGTAGTGTTACCTATAAGGCTAGAATTAACTACAGTGGATGACACTGGATAGAATAGGGTCGTAATGAATTTTGAATTTGTTATTTTTAATCGGATGAAATATGAAGGAACGTCTACATAAATAATAGGCTGTCGAGGTGTATATTTGTGTCAGGAGGAATCTATTTACTCGATGTTAGAAACCAACACATGGCGAATCGCATCGCACAGAGTCGGTGACAGTAGATTGCAACATTGTGGCAGAGTATAGTTTGCGGTGATAAATTTGGTTCTAGTACCTTCACAGTTGCGCAGCGTGTAATTACGTTGTTCGAATGTGCCGTGATTGTATATTCGTAGAAGAGTTAAACAGGTTTCTTACGCATGCAGCCGATGGCAGCGATTTCAATTTTGATCACGTTACGTCGTGGCCTTCTGCGGCGAAGATCCTGTTTGTCTGTTAATCGTACCAAAGGTTTTAACCATTGCTACACGCCGTCGACTTCTTTTGATCTTACACTTTGTATCGTCGATCGCGTAATTTACTTGAGCTTTGTATGTAATTTGTTCGTATATATTCATAGTATGTATTTTTCTTTTCTATTTCGACCGATGACGATGGTTTAGATTTTCGAACGGTGCCTACGATCGGTGGTGCCTGTAAACGAAGCGATCTGCTCCTCGATCCACGAAATCATTATGCCGAACCATTGTTGAATGCGGAAAACACGGGGCCGCAGATCGACCACACACGAAGTTACACTTCGGTCAGCCTGACGCTGAGGCCGCCATCCTCGGAACCACAGCCGCCGATCGACATCAGATCACAGGGTTCAAGCCTGACTTATTCGAGCTCCTCTCTGGATCCTCGGGGCTTTCAAAGCCGTCTTCAGATCAGCATCGGTGCCGGAGCCGTTGGCGGTGTGGCGGCTGCAAGAATCCGACCTCCGGTGGGTCCCATCAGACCCAACAGTTTGATACCCCCGGTACAAATCGGCCCTCAAAGACCACCAGGTTTGTATTTCATGTTGTCTGAAAGCGAATCTAGTCAAATTTATTACACTTAGGTGAACTTTTCAAATCCAATTGAGATTGAATGAATCTAAATTAAGTTTGAACGTTGCAGGTCTTCCAGTAGGGCCACCTAGTCAATTACCGAGGCCCACGACAACAATGAGCGCCCCGACCACACCTTCTGTACCATCGACGACGAACATTGTCCATCCCATTAGCCTTCCAACGACACCATCAGGACCGACGACGACCTCGCCGCCCTCCAGTCCCATTGGTGAACGGATATCGGCCAATATCGATCAAAATCAATCGCTGTTGAATCAAGGTGAAATCTCTACGCCGTGTGTATCTTACCGAGCTTTGAAAATAACGTTTTAGGCTGGCTATTTTTATTTTTGGCTATGTATTTGCTTCCGTTACCAGAAAAATGGCCCCCTTTGTTTTCCGAATTCTCATACTGTAGGAATCGCGTACACGTATATTTACCTGCGAAAACCACTCCGTCGCACATACTACTCCCACGCATGTAACACTGAGAACGATATTTACGCATTCCTGACCCCACGCTCCGTCTATACATAGCCACGCTTGCGGTTACTCTACGTGGACCACCTGATCTGCTTTTCCCTCTCACGAGCAGCACCGTCTCGATGTTGACGCGTTTCCTGAACGCTACAATTCACATTTCATGTTTCCTCTTTAATCGTTTACACGCAATGAAATAAAACGTCAACAGAGATCGAGTCGAGGCTAATTTGTACCGATGCAATTGTTGTTGGCAGCTGAACATTTGTAAAATCGGTCAAAAATAGAATAACAAATGCATTCTCGAATAAAACAAGTTCTATTCTAATTGATCATATTTATTTTTACTGTAATATGATATCAATTATTTTATCGCAGTGGCGGAGCATCAAAAGAAATTGGTCGCAGAGCAATTAGCAAGAAAGGAAAGACTCGCCAGGGAATTGAGAGCCGAGAAAGGACGACTCGAAGCGATGAAAAAAGAATTACAGTCCCTCACGAGACCTTTTGATTCTTCGATGCCTCCTCAGGTGCTGTAATCCCGGTTCATAATATTTGTAATGTCTAACGTACTAAACGTTATATAATTATTTGTAGGAGCTAAAAAAAAAGTTGAGAAGCGAGATTTATCAGCTGCAGGTTGAATGCGACAGACTCGCGGATGAGGTAGATCAGTGGTCTGATCCAAGAGGTAATAACTTTATTATGGCTTCCCTTTCCATTTAAATTTTTATACTTCTTCAAATTCTATTCCTTTATTTCACTTTTTCACAGTACCTTTGGGCGAAACGAACGAAACGTTTTATCAACGTATTTACACGGGTCAACCTTTGCCATCGAGGTCTGTCAACTCCAATCCACCGCCTCTGCCAAGTCAGCCACCCGTCTGGCAACCGGAATCGAGTGGTAACAACAGTGACAGAGAAGAACGAGATGGACCTTCTTGGGTCTGCAGAATGTGCACGTTTGACAATCATCCATTAATGAACAAATGCGAACAGTGTGACATGCCGAGGCTGTTGGATCACGGAAACACAGGTACGACTTCTGGAAAATCGATAGACGACTTTACGACCTCGTTAACAAGTCCGAACATCGATCCATCACCTCCGCCACCTCCGCCGCCTCTAGGATAGAGGAAACTTGAGTACCTTAACAGCATGTTTTTTTCTGTGACATAATTTTATAAATTAATAAATATCTTCCAAAGAATATTTGGTGAAATATGGAAGATGCATAATAAGTACTTCCGTACCATATAATATGTGCAATTAAAGGTTATATTTCCTGTTGTTAAATACTTGCTCCTAAATGAGAAAGAAAGAATTGGAATGAGGACCGCAGGAATGAATATGTGATGAATAAATAAAACAGATTTATATTTAGATTTGTACTTAAACGCAACGCATGGACGTGTGGAATTTTTTTAAATAAATCATACTTATGAATTTTAATTAATCTTAGCATGTCTAATTTAGCAATGTTTCAGTGTTGTTTTTTTCTAATTATTAATAGTTTAATTCATTTAATTAGATCAACGAATTGATAATCGCAAATTGGTAAGTATCGAATCTGTAAATATTAATATTGTTAAATAAAACTATTTGTAAATATATTAATTATGATACAAAATGTAAATGTACAATATATGATTTGCAGGCGAAACTCAAGATATTCATATACGAGTCACACATCATCATAACTTCTCCCCAAGCCGTGAGTATATTTCTTTTTGTCTGTTTTTTTTTTTTTTTTTTT